CCTAATGAAATTATAAGAGAAAGGGAATTTTATCCGACTGAGCAGGAGTACAAGAATAAGGTGAAATGGCTACAAAAAGCAATCGGTTTAGCTTCATATGTCGGTTACAAGTACAGATATGATATATTATATTATGTCAACACGCTAGCTAGACATACTCTATATCCATCAAAACAAGTCATGAGTCTAACCAAACAACTAATTCAGTTTATTTGGTCAACAAGGAACAAACGGCTCATATGGCACAAGACGTCCAACTCCAACATTAACTATTTAACTGCTGTAACTGATGCTGCTTTTGCAAATCAACACGATATGAAATCACAATTTGGAAATATGTATTATCTAAATGGAAATTTGATTGGTGCTAGGTCATCTAAGTCAACAATTACATGCACCTCTTCTACCGAAAGTGAAATTTATTCAATTTGTGAAGCAATTCCAAGATTAAGAAATTTAAATGTTCTAATTCAGGCTATATCAGACAAGGAGGTCAGGTGTTCAATATTAACTGACAGTCAAACTAGTCTCCATCAAATCAAAGTAAGAGACATATCAAAAATCAAGAATAAATTTTATGGTACTAAGGTTTTACGCATTGCTGAAGAAATTGAAAATGATAATATATCAGTGAATTATATTAACACAAGTCAAAACGTTGCTGATATTCTTACAAAACCTTTGAGTGTTAAAATTTTTGCCAAGCTAACTGAGAATTGGATCTACTAAAATTGAATTGATCTATGGGTGGTATGTTGAAATAGAATGTTTTATGATAAAATAGATAGAACAATAAGATTTTAGCAGACACTAAACGATAAATTGTTGAGTAATAATTGTTGAGAGGTCACCAAAAGTTGTTGAGTTTATTTATTAAATATCTTACTGTTCGTAGAGGAAAATGGCTGAATATTAACATATATAAAGCCAAGGATTTCTTCATACATTATTTTTATCTTATTTACAATCTTTCTATATTATTATTTCTATGTTGTATATAAAGAAAGAAAGTGAAGAACTTTATTATAATTTTGTATACTAAATCTGTTTAATATAATATTGAGAATGTTTACTATATATCCAATGAATAAAGGCGCTCATTCTCAACATTTACAATGTTGTAACCAGTGGCATATGCAATAATTATTACAAAGTAAATATAACGTCAATAAAAGAGTAATAATACAGAATAGATATTACAACTTACTCTGTTTTTTTCTCCTACGTATAACAATTTATGTATTTTGGCGTTATATAAACAAATGTTCTTGTATTCTCTTATCTTGTCTATTATATATATAACATGGAATAATGTCAGAGTAAATCAAGATATATTTTAGATATACAATATATTTAAATAAAAGACATACGACTAGAAATTGAAAGTAACTATCTGTAAATTTTGAGACATGACCATGTCAAACTCAGTAATGTATACTGATGTAATTTTAAAGGATCCTATTGTTTCTACTGCTCAGTATCTAAACATCTTTATTTGAAAACTAATATATATTACTAAATTAGAATTTATATCTTTGTATTTTAATTTCAGTTTTTCACTTGCATTCACTAATCCTTAATTAAATGTGAGCTACGGCCAATGTTGCTGGATTGGATATTTTGTGCACTGTTTCTATTCTTTCTCTATGGCCAAAAGAAACATACGAATTATATGGTACAGGTAGCCCCAGGGTACTCGATTATTCTTTTGTTACAAATAAAAAATTTTAAGCCTACCGTATAAATTCTGTTTTAATTATTAATACACTAAATGATATTGTGTCAGTTTTTTTGTTAGATTTCCCATATCTCCTAAAGGGCTTGAAAACACAAACTAAGTTACATTATAGTAATTAAGAATTCAAAAGAGTAAATTAATTTCTGAAATATTTACTCTGAATGATTAAAGGATTTTTAAATAAATTTCTTGGTAATTTGAGACTGATGTTAATCTAGCTATTATCCGAATACAATTACAGCGTAGGTCCAAAGTTTTGTCTGCTGATTGCTTAAATTAATAAAATACTGGTATATTTAAGTACATAAATTATTAATGCACATACAAGAAAAATCAAAAATTGAATTAATTAAAAAAGAAAATTGTAAGCAAAAATAGTAAATATTGCCAATTCTAATTAAGAAGATGATCAATTCAGGATTTTATACATAAAAAATGAATATCTTTGAATCTAAAATTGTATTTTTGTCTGACTTATAGTTATATGTAATTTTATTATATAAGAAAAAAAAAACATTAATCATTTTAACTTTCCCATATATAACATCTTTTTATAATATGTTTATATCACAACACTATTGTTTCCATATTTAAAGTAATTGTTCTGTTTTTCTTCCAAAGCTCAAATTATAATAACGTTATTGTATAAAAAAGTACCACCCGTAAGATTATGGAACTTTTTCTCTAGGTTTAGGAACAACTATTATTACTGTATCACTTAAGTTGTCACCGTAATTTATTGCCTAAAATATTCCATGAGGCTCTATTGAATTATGCTAATTTTTGACTATGATGTAAGTGTCACTTTTTAATGTATCAGGTTAATTAATTGATATGAGTTCGTGACAACTCATTTATATAAAATGTATAATAGGTAATAAATAGATATTCAAGCAATAATGAAACTGTTGGAAAATGAGAGTTTATTACTGTCATTTTCATAAGAATTATTTTTAATTGGTTTTTCTATATATTATGTGGTGTACGGATGTACATAATATCAGGAAAACATTTTAATTGTCACCAAATATGTCTTTCGAAGATTTGAAAAGAAATGAAAAACTTTAAAAGAAAACTTAAAGTAAATAAAAGAAAACTTAAAGTAAATAAAAGAATGTATACTGAATACACTATATAATAAATATGTACAGGTATTTAATACAAAAACAAAAACAAGTATCTATAACTTAATGATGTCTATCATTATCATGGACGCAGAAGGCTCCAAGTTCCGACAAAAACAATAGGTAAATTCTAGATTTGCCAAAATCTTATGTAATCTAATCTCTTTATTATGCAGCATCTAATGTTGTAGCACGTGTATGGCTTATTAAGACAATAAATAGTTTTAGATTCATTCAGGATCTTGTGTAATCTTGATGGTAATAACTACTCTATTCTAGAACAAATGATGTTGTAGTATGGTGTGGTGAAGTTCTTTGTGTATTCCGGGGAAGCGCAAATAATATTAATAGTAATTCAAATAATCGAGACAGTAATCAACTATAGTCGATAGTATAATTACTAAAACGGTCTTATATATTAAGCGGCTTATATCGAGCTAATGTACTTATTCGAAGTTACTTGACTTGTTACTTGCTTGTTGTTCTCTTTTTGTTCATATATAATATATAGATTATTTACAAAAAACGGTCATGGAAGATGATTTTTTATCTCCTGAAAACGTTGTCCTTTTATATGTTTTCTGGAGCTCGATCGATTATTCAGATTACTACATTAATGACTTGACTGATTCAAACCCTAAAATTTATTATATTAATTTAGGTGCACTACTGGATTAGAACTGCATCCCAATTCTCTAATCATGGTGATTAGTAATACACGTGGGACTTAATAAAACAATAGGTAAATTCTAGATTTGCCAAGATCTTATGTAATCCAATCTTTTTATTATGCAGCATCTAATGTTGTAGCACATGTATGGCTTATTAATACACTAATTGGTTCTAGATTCATTCAGGATCTTATGTAATCTTGATGGTTATAACTATTCTATTCCACAACAAATGATAGCAAGCAGTGGGAGTTTGGCCGAGTGGTTTAAGGCGCCAGATTTAGGCAGTTAAGCGTAAACATTCTGGTATCTTCGGATGCGTGGGTTCGAATCCCTCAGCTCTCATTTTTACTTTTCATAATCTGAAAATTCGTAGTAAATGATAAACCCTAATCTTCATTTAAAATAAGATGGCTGATGCTTAGTTGTTGAATAGAAACGATATGTAAAATCTATTGTAAACCAGAAATAAGCTAAGATACACAGATACATAGATAAATACAATGTTTGTAAGCAAAAAAAAAACCGAGATCGTCGTTATCGACTAAAGAGTAGGCAAATTCGTCTACGGTGCCATCAGAGTAACTGTATCACAAGCGTGTTATAAAATGGCTGAAACTATTCTATCTAATTATGTTGTAAATAGTTTATTGTATATTTTGTAAGAGTTTCCAAAAACATGATATGGTAAAACATAGACTTTTAACAATAATTTAGAAGAAACCATACTATTTTGAAATAACATCATATCTAAATGCCACATGTATGAAACACAATAGTATTATACAGATTAGTGCATATTAATTTGGTATCTTCATGTTCTGTGAAATAATATCATGTAAGAATTGAAGACCTTGTCACAAAATAAAAAAAAATTAAGAGAAAAAGATAACCAATTGTGCTTCTTTATGTAGGTAACATATAACAAATAATTCTCCTACTATTCCCTATGAACATCCGTATCTAAAGTATATTCACTGTAATATAAGTATTGTAATTGCACTCTTCTTCTCGTTCCTCTGCCTCTTAACCTTCCTTCATTAGTCAATCGACCACTCTAATCTATTAGCTTTTTGCTTTTGTTTTGTCTCTCTCAACAATGTCAGAATCGTTTTCCTTTTAGCAGGATGGGATGGAGGAATACATAAACCTCACAAATAGGGGAAAAAAAGAAAAAAAAAAGAGGACGAGAGAAAAACGAAAAGACCATTAAAACTTAATCAAATATTGTTATTGAAAATTGGGGATAGTAAAAACAGAAAGTAAATTGTTAGTACTATACATAATAATATTCTTTTTAATTTTACACCTTTGCACAAATATAGGTGGTAAATAGATTATCAATATTTGATCAGCAATTATTCCACACACTTTCTGTATTTTTTGAAAGAAAAAAAGAAAAGAAGCTCTAACTTTTTTTTTTACTTGTTCACTCATCTCTCCTTTCCCCCTTAACTTCTCTTATACATGTTCAAGAAAAGTATGCTAAAATCCACCATAATTAGAAGGTCCATCCATACTGTTCCAAAATTGCCAAATATTAATTCATTGTCAAAACAAGGTATTCCTCCAATTTTGAGTTCTAAAGGGTTCAATACAGTATGGAATCAATATCAAGCCTATCTATGTGACCAATTAACTATGGCTACTGCTGGAACCTCGTTGGAGTCTTATTACCCATTTCACATCATTTTAAACACTGCTAAAAAGCCATTTCAAACTAACATTTTCAATTTAGCTTCAGCCACGCATAATAATCATTTATTTATTGAAAATATTTTACCCGTGGATAAAGGTTCTAATAGTCAAAAAGTAGAAAATCGACCATCAGATATTTTTTTAAGTAGAATTGAAATGTCATTTGGTAAAAAATGGGATGACTTGAAAGATAATATAATTGCTGATATAAACACAAAGTTATTAGGTCAAGGTTGGTTTTGTCTTGTGGAGAATGCACAGAAACAATTACAGGCATTGTATTTACAAAATAATGGAACTCCGTATTATTTTCCAAGAAACCAATTGATTGATATGAATAGTGCTATTAATATTGATGAGTTTAGTTATCTGCAAAAAATTAGAGAAATGGTTAGTAATAATAAAAATGGGAAAATACAAGACTGGACGTTACCTATTATTATGATTAATGTATGGGATTTTGCATATTTGGAAGATTATGGAGTTGCAGGTAGGAAAAAATATTTGCATAATGTTCTAAATAATTTGAATTGGAATGTTATTAATAAAAGGTTATACAACTGAATTCTGTCTTTTAACCAAAAGAATAAAGAAAAGGAAGAAAGAAGGATTGCTTTCATATTAGTGTAAATAAATAAATAAATAAGAAAACATTCTTTATATATTTCTGTAAATATTACATTTCATGCGGATTAATGTGACCATCTCATTTCTCTTACTTATACAACTTTGATAGCCACATACTTTGAGTCATCTTTTAACATTGTGGCTCTACCTCTTTTGACTAATATTTTCAAAACTTGATAAAGTAAAGATTCAGGCATCGAATAAAATGATTCTTCTGAATTTTCTTCATTTGACACAATTTCATAAAATGTTACAACTTTATTTAATTGTGTGGTTCTTTCAAACCAATATAAAATTTCGTTTGCCCATTGGTCTAAGGATTTCCACATTATGAAAAAGTCATCATCATAAACTGTATCATCATTTTCAACTGTAGTATTCGTATTCAATATCGTTGGTGGTTTGCCATCTTTGTTTAATATTTGGTTCTGTCTTTTCATAGTTAATAAAATTTCGTTAACAAAAATTTGTGAACAAGATCTATTAATCTTTGAATTTTGGAAAATATTTATGGTTTCGATTAATTCTGTATCTTTATTAATCAATTTCATATCACCATTTTTACTCATCACCCATATTTTACAACGTTCACAATTGGTCAATATTATGTTAATCCACGTCTCTATTTGTTTATTCCTTATTGTTTTATTTGGTTGTCTTGTAAATAATGGAGGAAATTGATAAATTGGAGGCAAATCAAGCTGTGATGAAGACATTTGTACCAGATATATAGAAATTAAATATCCCGATATATATATATATATATATATGTGTGTGTGTGTATTTGTGTTGGTATATCGTTGTAAAGGTAAGTGGTTTTTTTCTGGTCCAGGAGGATCGATTCTTTGTATAATAGTATGATTATTGTTTCCAGTAAATTTTAATAGTCCATCTTTTCTTTTTTAAATCTCTTCAATCTTCCTTATGTAATATTTTTTTTTATCTTTTTAATATTCGCATGATCTACTTTCAAACACTTTTTATACCTGATATACATATAGTACAATTGTTTATAGATAAAAAGTTTTGTATGTGATTAGAACTTTATTAATAGTCAATAGAATATGACTTTTTAAACAGTCAATAAATAAATTTAAGATTTCTTTAATAAAAGAGATAAGAAAAAAATATTATATGGATATATATTCTTTGATTTGTCTATATAGTTACGAATCTATGAAATATAAAGAGAAATATGAACAAAAATAAGTCGTCATTACAATAATCATATCCCAGTTATCCTGTTTTTTTTTTCTTTCTTTGATTTTCATAATAACAATAATATCGTATTATTATTATTGTTATTTCTTGATTTGTTTAACCTTGAGCCAAACCAATAACACCACAGGCAGCTCTTGCACCAGCATTACCAGTCTTTAGAGATTCTTCGTCACCGCCTTTACCCAAGTCATCTTGACCATTATGTACGACAACAGCTCTACCAATGACACTAGTTGGACCCATCAACTTGATCAAATTGTCAGTCAAAGTACCTTTGGCAGTACCGTTGGCATCAGTTTGGATGTTACCCATATCACCAACGTGTCTAACTTTAGCAGTTGGACTACCGTGGGTTTGTTTGAATGGATTATAGTGTGGGCCAGCTGTGGTACAACCATTGGTTAAGTCACCCCATTCATGGATGTGGAAACCCCTTAAAGCATTTGGATCATGGCCGGTGATTTCGTAAGAGATGGTAGTTGGTTCGTTTTCAGCAGTTTGTTCGAACTTGACAATACCGGAGACCTTAGCACCCTTTAAAATCGCAACAGCTTTGACCATTCTGTATGTAGGCGTGTGTTTATATATATGTTTGTTTATATATGTTTGTTTGGATACAGATAAATAATATATCAACTATCTATCTTGATGTTGTATGGCTACTACAAAAAACTTTTGGAGAAACAAGTAAAGAGCAATGAAACTGTCAAAGAGGAATCAAGCCGTCTTTCGTCATGATAGAATTGACAAAAGACAGTGTATCCTTTTATATACAAATATAATCCACTACATTATTTGCTCCTATCAAACAGAAGGTGGGAAAGGGGAGGAGAAGAAGAAAAAAGAAAGAGAAAAAGAAAAAAGAATAAAGTAACAGCAATCTTTCCGTACAGTAAAAAAAAAAAAAAAGAGAAGAAAACAGCGAATGTGAAAAGGGGGAAAAAGCAATAGAATATCAAACTCATCTACTAATCATCAGGACGACTACTTTATTTTTGCCCACCACTTAGTGGTGGTGCTGGTTGTTAATTATTACCAACATTATCCATTTTTGATATCAACTACACTATTTGATGAGCACATATCGAGTAAGTTGTTTTGTGCCAGTGCTATAACAACAATAATATAAAGAGATTCCTTATTTCCTTGACTCTATCTTTTTCGGCTTTGAGTATTCCCGCCTCAATTATCTGCACGGAATAATTTCCGAATTGTTTTTACAAAATTTTTTTGCTTACTAATTGCTCGTCTCTTTCTTTTCCATGGCTAGACCCTTCTTTTTTTCTACAAAAATAGTGTGCATTCCATGATACAAAGAAGGGGACGGAAAAAACACAAAGCAGTAAAGGGGAGGGTTAAAATTACCAATTAGTAAGCAGATCAGGAACCACAATTTTTGAAAATAAATCATTATTTTCTTTTTTACTTTTACCACCCCATATGTTTGTATTAGTGCATTTGAATTATTTCACTTCAGGTATTCTCCAGACTATCCATAACACAATATTTTACATCTATCAATAAGAATGAATATAGAAGAATATATAATAATATGCATTAGTAAATTTATATAGTATGAAGGATAAATATATTTGTCTATGTATATTTACCTTTATTTTTTTCTTTTGGTCTAATGACTGTTAAACATATTTATGATAGTGTACTGTAGGAAAGCTCATATGTTGTGACAACAAAGGAGATTGTATAGAATCTAAGTACATTGGATGCAAATTAATATTGTTATGATCCAGATCATTACCAATATTTGCAACTTTTTCATTGTAATAATTACAATATGACTTATAATAACCATTCTCTGGCATTGTAAGACTTGGGTCCTTTATGGGAGAAACAGGGAAAGTGTCAGAAAATGCAAAAATAAAATCCTCTTCTTCCCCATCATCAACATCTTCACTATTCCCTTTTACTAATCGAATGTTGTTGTCAACACCGTCATCAACATTGTCGTAATCATATTCATCGTCTCTACTAGCAGCTGTAATACAACCACAATTGCTAACATCTAACCGATCATTAAAAATATTCATGTTATTATATTTATGCAAATAATTATCATAATACAATGAATCATAATAGTGATCCTTTGCTCTTTTGCGGAACTTCCTTTCCTGCTCTTGTAGATAGTTGTATTTAATCTTATCGATGTTAATTAGGACCCTATCTAATAAATTTGCGTGGCCGACGACTTCTCTCAAATTGTATTCACTTTTTCTCCCACTTGTAGTTCTGTGTGATATGCATTGGTTTAACTTTTCTTTAGCTAGACTTGCCAATTTATAATGTTCTTGTAATAGCTGAAATGGATATGGGGTCATTTATGCAAAAAAAAATTGTCTGTTTGTGTGCTTTTTAAAATGAATATTTTAGTATTTGTGTTTGTTAAGGCTTTATGGAGGATATAGTATGAGCAAGGGAGAAAGACTTTGATTACAAAAAGAAAAAAAATAAAAAAAAAAAAAGAAAAGGCTTTATCTCTTTCCCTTGAGTAAAACTTGTTATTTATTGTTAATGCTTTTAGTTGAAAGAAATACGCTTAATCGAAGAAAAGCTAAACATATTATAATCGAGGTTTACAAGAATAGAGGTAAAAATTTTATTAAAACCCGCTTGATAGCCAAAGATTTATTTGGCTCTTTGTCGAGAGGTTTTAAGAGTGATAAAATTAAAAGAAATTCTTTTCTGCTTAAATATCTTTTCTCTTCATTTTAGACTGAGTTTAATTAGTAACTCACACTTGTATATTAAAATTAGAAAATAAACTAAAACAAAAAAGAAAATTTCTTTTTTGTTATAATAAAAAGAAAACTGGATATATTTTCGGACAAAAAAAAGAACAATAAAAACCCCAGTTTAATGTATAAAATTCGAAGGAAATATCGTGCCATACAATAGAAAGTATCAAAAAATCGGGGTAAATTCAATTGTATGTTTCTAGAAAATTAAACTTAAAAAAACTTTAAAAGCGAAAACAATAAAATGTATCAATGCAAAAAAAAAAAGAGTAGAGATCATAATCTCTCCTAAAAATTGTATTTCTTTTCTTTTTTTTTTTTTTAGACATAATTCGCTTAGAGTCCTTCTTATTTTTGATTTTGTTTTTTTTTTTTTTTTTTTTCACCAACAGACCTATACTAATATTAGGACAAAAAGAAAAAATTAAAAGTGTTACTATTCTAGACACAGAATGAACCCTACTTAAACTATTTCCACGGAAGGTTGTTAATGACTTACTAGAAAATTAAGATCAAGAATAGTTCGTTAAACTGAATTCATGATGCTAAAGCCCTGAAGTGTATTAGCATGCCTTATTAAGTTTACTAAAATTTAGATTAGTGATATATAACTGTATTTATATCAAATTAAGGAATACTTGTATAGTAATAAACATGAGGTTTAAGTATATCTCATTGGAACATCAGAAATCCCTGTTGTTGTTGTTATCTTCTGTTTTTTTTTTTTTTTTTTTTTTGTTTTTACAATATTTCTTGTGTTTAAAACACATGCAAATCGAAATAGATAGAAATTGTAAAAGCAATAGAAGAATAATACTTTTAGTTTTATTTTTTATATTGGAGTAATTAGGAGAAGGTTTAAAATATTTTCTACATGTTAAAGATATTTTATAAATAGTTATTAATTAAAAAAAATTTATGTTACCATATATTATTAAAGTACATATCATTGAACTATTTTACACAGGAAATAAATTTTATCATGAAAATAAAAATGAAAAAAATAGAAAAAAGCAAATTAAATAAAAGGAATCCAGCGATCAGAGTTAGGAAATTACATTGGAAATGGTAATACTTTTTTTTGAAAATGCACTATGATCTTATTGAGAATTAATCTAAATCTATCTTTTTTTTAAACTGGACCCTAAAATTATTAATTTAATAAAAGTAACGTCATATACAGATTATCGCTCAAACAACACTAAATATACAACGATATGCAATAAGAAATTAAGCACTAATTATCCTTTTTTTTCACTCACATGCATATCTTTGTTATCTTTGTATTACAAATGTAAAAGAATACAATTAGATTTATAGAAAATCGAGTACATAAAGAAGGTAAGTTAATATTGAGTTATCTAAATAGACTTTTTTTTTCTGATTTATGTATAAGATATGTGTGTATAGATGGTTTTAAGATATCTTTTTATAAACCCTAATGTCAAATAATCATGATAATCAAATCAAAGAAACCTAGAATCTTGTTTTTAGCCCAAAGTTTCAAATGTCGGTATTATACGTGCGTCTGTTTTTTTTTACTGTTTAGTTTTTTGTTTCTAAATATTTTCCGAATACTGCTCTTTTCCACTTCACCTTAATCTGGGGTGGAGTATTTTGGTACATTCATTCAGAAATACATGGTGATATATCTAGACTAAAGAAAAAAAAAAGAAAGAAATAGAAGTTTTTTCATTTAGATTATGTAACACAAAATTAATGCAGGCTACAATTTAACACCATTATGTTAAACAATACAGTTATTATTTTAGATAAAAACTAATTTTTTTTTTTATCCCTTCCGCTTTTACATTATTTACTTTTATTTATTGTCTTTCTCCTCCTTTTTTATGTTTTCTTTTTTTTTTTTTAAACGAATAAGATTTTTTGGCAAACAAAAATAAAAAAAAAAACAAAAAAAAAATAATAAAGAAGAAAAAGTAAAACTCCGAATATAGAATATGAAAATATTTTGCGGAAAAATTATTATCCCTTTTTATTGTTATTAACACTTTTTTATAGTAGGGGTAAAAAAAGAAAAGAATGTTCCATGGTTTTTCTATGTTATTGTGTTTTTCTTCTGTTTTGTTATGGGTTACTTAATATTTTGGTAAACGATGAATAAGGGATATTATTATTATTTTCCTATGACTAATCACACACTCATATCCTAAAAAATAATAATAAAAAAAAAAGATTCAGTAATACTATCAGCAGACTACATGCTGGTGTATTATAAGGGTGCTTATTATCTTAATATTGTGAGACAACGTTAGCATTTTGATCTTTGTATTGCTATTGTTGATTTCATAGTGTTTTGGAAGAGTTCTTGCATGAGAATTCCTGGACCACTTAAAATATGAGGTGATTATTTTATGCAAAGGCTTATTTCTAACTAATGTGATTACAAAAAAAATTTATATACATTACTTTATTTTAAGATATAGAAATTTTAAAGGTGGGGAATAATAAGTTATATGTTATAACGGAACATTATGAACCGCTATTTTATAAGAAATCACTCACTGTATTAGATGATACAAATTTGATATCCAAGACCATATGTCGTGTATATAAAGTGTTGGGTAAAAGAAATTATTTGTAGTTTTTATATCTTGACCACTTTTATAATTATCTAAAAGCTAATTTGCAGAAAAAAACTTTCACAAAATGTTTATTAGGTCTGAGTAATGTCTCAAAACAGGAACATTTAAAATCTCCTTGATCAAAATATTTGTTATTATATGGATTTTTATTATTGTTTTACACACTAAATCTATAGCGTTGATATATAATACATAATATACGGTGAAGATTTGTATTACACCTATAATGTAAGTTTCATAAAAGATATTTAAGAAGTCTTTTTGCTGAGTACCTCCCTCTAACTATAATAATAATAGTAGTAGTAATTACACAATTCCCATAATTCCCCTCTAAATTATTAGTTGGTTCTATGACCAACATATTCCTCCCAGGTATGAACTTCGTTTGGAATTATAATTTTGTCAGAATTCAAAGCTGCTAATTTGTCTTTAATATGTGTATTCACAGCCTTAGCAAACAAGATAGCAGTCTTTGGCTCATTGAATAATGGAATGGCGAAATCAATTGCGTTTCTTCTCATTTGATAATCTAAATCATCTGTGCTTTCTGCTCTTTTTGATGCTAAGTTGAATACCGTCTTAATATCATACTCTTGGAATAATGTACGCAATTTTCTCTTATCGTTCTTTGGGAATTCGATTATCTTAATCTCATAATTCGACCCGATATATTTCTTTAAGTATTGCTTGGCCTCTTCCGTGGTAACATATAATTTATAGTCTAATGGGGCAATCAATTTGGCAATAGTGCCTAAAGCTTCTTTAGTTAAGTCACCACCAAACAAGATGCCGCAAGGTGGAAGTGGAACTTGAAAATTCATTGTGCTCTGAATAGCAGTCCAGTAACTCTCGATTTCATCTCTACCAAAGGAGGCAACTTCACCAGTAGACGCCATCTCTACACCAAGGAATGGATCGGCACCAGCTAATCTTGTAAATGAAAATTGAGGAACCTTTGTGGCTACATAGTCATATTTCTTATCCATCATCAAATCAACAGGTTCTAGAACATATTCACCACCAAGAAAAGCTCTAACGGCAACATCAATAAAGTTTACACCAAGAACTTTAGATACAAATGGGAATGATCTTGAAGCTCTAATGTTACATTCAATAACCTTCAATGGTTTGTCACCATCTTTAATAATTTGCATGTTGAATGGACCAGTAATGTTCCATGCTTTAGCAACCCTGTCAGCAATACTCTTCAATTCTAATTTAACTTTATCAGATAGATGTTGTGGTGGTAAAACTAAAGAGGCATCACCAGAATGGACACCAGCATTCTCAATATGTTCTGAAATGGCATGAACTAATACCTTACCTTGGTAAGCAACTGCGTCAACATCAATTTCTTGTGCACCTTGAATAAATTTAGACATAACAACTGGATGTTCCTGAGAGACATCGGAGGCTAAAGTCAGTTTAGCTTCTAATTCAGATTCATCTGTAACAACACTCATGGCAGCACCAGATAGGACATATGATGGTCTGATTAATACTGGGTATTTAACACGGTTTGCAAACTCTTTTGCCTCTTCAACAGAGGTTAATTCTTTCCATTCTGGTTGACTGATATTAATGGAATCTAGAATTGTGGAGAATTTGTGTCTATTTTCTGCTCTATCAATGTCAACTGGACTAGTACCTAAAATCTTACAACCGTTATTCAATAGAGGTAAAGCAATGTTTTGTGGCAATTGACCACCAACTGAAATGATACAACCTTCACTATTTTCCAATTCATATATATCCATAACTCTTTCGTAGGATAATTCTTCAAAATATAGTCTATCAACTTCGTCGAAATCGGTGGAGACAGTTTCTGGATTGTAATTAATCATAATTGTTTTCTTACCTGCATTTCTTAAAGCTTTTGCTGTGTTGACGGCACACCAGTCAAATTCGACTGAGGAACCGATACGGTAAACACCAGAACCAAGAACTAACATACCATGGTCATTAAAGTCAACATCGCTCTTAACAGCATTGTATGTGGTGTATAAATAATTGGTAGAAGCAGGGAATTCAGCTGCTAAAGTGTCAATTCTTTTAACAAATGGAACAATATTCATTGATTTTCTCAATGCTCTCACATCAAATTCACTGTATTTATAATTTGAATCAATACAATATGCAATTTGTTTATCTGAGAAACCTAATTTTTTGGCTCTAATCAATAAACTTTTATCTAATTGTTGTAAATCGTTGACTGCCTGTAATTCCTTGTACATATTTACGATATTCATACACTTGAAAAGGAACCATTTATCTATTTTACTTAATTCATGTACTCTTTCCACAGAGTAGCCTTCATGCAGAAGTGCTTGACCGATGGCAAATACTCTTCTATCGGTTGGTTCAGCTAAGGCTTTGTCTAAGTTAGCCCCAAATTCATTCGAACCTTGGAAACCTAAAACAGTTGGATCAGTTTGTCTTAAAGCTTTTTGGAATGCTTCTTCATAATTTCTACCAATTGCCATAACTTCCCCAACAGATTTCATGGAGGAACCAATGGATCTATCAACGTACTGGAACTTGGATAAATCCCATTTTGGAACCTTTGCAACAATATAATCTAGAGATGGCTCAAAATTGGCCACAGTTGTCTTAGTAATTGGATTTGGTAGTTCTGGTAGGGTGTAACCCAAGGCAATCTTAGCAGCAGTATAGGCTAACGGATAACCTGTAGCCTTTGAGGCTAATGCAGAAGAACGAGACAAACGAGCGTTAACCTCGATAACCCTATAATCTAAACCATCAGGTTGTAAAGCGTATTGGACGTTACATTCACCGATAACACCCAGATGTCTGATAATCTTGATTGCAGCAGATCTTAACATATGATATTCTTCATCGGATAAAGTCTGTGAAGGAGCAAAAACAATAGAATCACCGGTATGAACACCTAATGGATCAAAATTTTCCATGTTGCAGACAGTAATACAGTTTCCTACTCTATCCCTAACGACTTCGTACTCAACTTCCTTCCAACCTTTAAGAGATTTTTCCACTAAGATTTGTGGGGCTAACGATAATGATTGTGACGCAAGTTGTTTCATTTCATCTGCATTATTTGCAAAACCAGAACCTAACCCACCTAGGGCATAAGCAGATCTGACAATGACAGGATATTTAACGGATTCTGCAGCTTGTAATGCTTCATCAACAGTCTCACAAGCAATGGATTCAGCAATTGGGATGTTGATTTCTTTTAAAGCTTGTGCAAAAAGGTCTCTATCTTCTGATGTAACTAAGGTTTTAATTGGTGTACCTAGGACTTTAACATTATACTTCTTTAAAATACCGTCTTGATCTAATTTGACACCACAGTTTAACCCAGTTTGACCACCAAAGGTCAATAGGATTCCGTCAGGTCTTTCACGTTCAATTATATATGTTATATATTCTGGTGTAACGGGTAAATAATATATTTTATCAGCTAAAGAATGGGAGGTTTGATTAGTAGCGATATTTGGATTGATTAGTATGGTAGTTTTATTAGCTTCCTTTAAAGCTTTAATAGCTTGTGAGCCGGAATAGTCGAATTCACCTGCTTGACCGATCGAAAGCCCTCCAGATCCAATAATTAATACACTTTTGACATCATCGATTAGTTCTGGGGCATATGTATCACGGTTATTAAAAGTTGAAATTGTGGGAGTGGTAGATTTATATATAGAAGTCATTGCTGTCGTATATGTAATAAAGAGGAGCAAAAATAAAAAAAAAGAAAAAAGAAAAAGAAAAAAGGAAGACGTAAGTTATTGAACACTTGGTATTAGCTAAAACAGTTTAGTCTATTTAGACACAAAAGAAGTAGGATAGGTGGGTGATAAATAATAAAGAAAGATATTTTAAAATTCTTTTTTTTTTTTTGAAAAGAAAGATAGTCCTATATCGAGAATGTTATGTGTTTTAGTATTTCTAAGCCATAGTATTTATATATACAGCAAGAAATGAGGAGGAGAAAATGTGACAGTATTGAGTATTGGAAGAGTCATGACATCACCAAAGACAAAAGCATTAAAACATAGATACTAAAATATTAAATGAGTCAAAGGAGAGAACAGCTAATTTTTATGGAAGACATATCAAACAGGGAAAAGTAAATAAATACAAAGATCACACTCGATGCCCTTCCTTTAGGTTTCAAACAAGTTACAATGTTTCCCACAATAGCCACCCTATGAAGAACACAAACAAAATTGAAAAACGTTCGAGCGACAGGAACTGAAGACAATGGGAAAAAAAAAATACTTATCGAGAGTATCACACAGCAAGAAAGAGGGAAAAACACAAAAACAAAACAAAAAAGAAACTCTTTTGTTTGGATCGTTTTTTGTGTTTTGAATGATTCACGATACATCCGTACATCCGAGTGTATTGAGAACTAGTTTGTTTAGATGATTTTATTGATTCAATATATTGAAGGAAACTGCTGTTTTTAGGAGGGCGTGCTTCCCTTAGGTATCTGGCCATAGTAAAATATTTGCTAACAAGTATACTCTTGAAATTGGAACAAAACGACCAAAATATTTTTCAGAAAAAATAAACTTTTTTATAGAACTTATATACTATGAGACACATCTTTAGTATGTATGGTCTTGGTTAACTCTCTTGTGTTCTGAACTTCCTGGTAAGCTTACTTATTTTTTGGTGTTTAGTTTACCGTTAAGTGCAACAGTTAGAGAATTTCCCTCTATATCTTAGAAAATATGGCCGTTAAGTGCAACTGCTAGAGAGAAAAATTTTTCAAGAAAACAATACTCAAAAAAGACAATAGGCAATATCTATTACCAATGTTTGTACGGCACCGTTAAGTGCAACTGCTGGCGAGATATCATGTTTTTTGTTCTTTTCCGAAAACAAAAGAAAGGAAATATATATCCGGTGTCAAAATAATAAAGAAAGAAAAAGAAGAACAAACAATAGACAAAAATAAAGTTACCATAAAAAACTGCTTTCGTGACAGAAGATAAAATACTCACAGGTTTATTTGAGGGTAATCCAAACAAAGGGCAAACAAATATAAATTGGTATGAAGCCTGTAATATGATAAAACGGGGAGCATCACAAAAAAATAAAGTTAACGTAAAGGTAGGTTGGATATGTGAGGATAATATACACACTCATATATATTTTATTTATGCTACTATACATATTTAAAAAGGGTAATAATTAATGAGTTAAGTAGTCTGAAATTTTTTATTTTAAGATTCTTTATCTGTACCTAATATATAGAGTATTTGTATTTTCTTTTTTTATTTAATCTTTTTAGTGCCATATTATTAATATTGAACTATAAGGCATCTGTAGAATTTACATGTAAAGCCTGAAGACATTGCATTATTTTTCCTAATCAAAAGTCTTGTATCTCCATCCCTTATGTGCAATTGCATATCCCTATATATATATATATATATATGTATAGTAATTATGTCATATTTATAGTAAAATTATTAGGTTACACACTTTTTTTATATTTATCTCTTATACATATATTGTCCTTTTTCGTTTGTGTTGTATTATATATTCTTTTCCTGTTTCTTTTTATCATGTATGATTTTAGTTGAAGAAACACTGAGAATGTAAAAATATTTGGATTCTAATAGTAAAGATTTGTTCAAATAGACAAGCCTAATCACAACAACCTCTGTAAGTTTATATTTCTTTGCCAATAGTTGTTTTCTTTTTTTGGTTTTTTTTATTTTTTGTAAAGAAAGATATACAATGGGCATAAAATTATCTTATTATATCGAATATTTCAACGAAGAAACCGTATCTTTAACTAAAGGTAAAAAAATTTGTGAAATGGAAAATGATGATATTACCCCCCTCCAATCAAGCAACCCCCATTATATAAATAAATTATACCATGAAATAAACTTAATAACTGATCTAAAACAAAATATTAATAGCCCCTCTTACCAACCTTTTTTAAGACAGGATGGAAAGTGCCATATATCTGAAGTTTCAAGCATTTTATACTTAATTTCGTCAAACATAAGAAAGAATCATGATGTTGTCACATTTGGCTGTAAAACATGCAAAACACATCTAGCTACATCCTTGAACATCATATCTAAAGATTTCAGAAGCTCTACAGGTATTGCTTTTTTAATGTCTGGTATTATCAATATTGTTGAAAAGTCTAGTGTCGTTAAACATATGATAACTGGACAGTATCTTATATCTACGATTCTTTGTCATTTATGTAAAAGTATTGTTGGCTGGAAATATTTAAAGGCTCAAAGAAATGATCAAAGATTTAAAGAAGGAATGTACGTATTAGAATCACAAACTGTTACTATAGTAACATAATTAGACCAACTGAATATCATATAACAGACCTACTATTTTATGTACCTTAATATATACATGTTACAGTTCTTTTTAGCAACAATCTATATTCCTCTTTTAATAACAGTAACTATTAGATAGAAACAATTTTGTGATATTATCTTTTTTTTACAATGAGGTAAACTATTTTTTCTATATTTCAAACATTTTGAGAATAGATAAAAATACTAAAAGTCAAAAAGAAAGTACACTAAAGAATAGGGATTATGGATGAAACCAACTAATTATCATAGAGCCACTAATTTACAACCTATATAAATCTATCACACTTCATGTCTGTCATATAGTTCTTTTAATTTGTCTTCTTTTTAACCAAAATTTCCTTTACTTCTGATTTCATCATGGAGTATATTAAGATTGCCAAGGTTGACAATGTCCTCTTACATAGAAAGGGTAATCCTCTAAAGGGGGCACTCCATTTGACAACCCACCATTTAATCTTTACATCTGATTTGGTATCAAATGAGTTTTGGTTTCCATACCCCATGATTAGTGCTACCTTTAAAAATAGGGGAAGTGCTTTGTTATCTAAATATAATGATAAAATACCCACATCCTCCTTATCAGTAACAAAAGATAAAGATAAGAATTATAGTGACAAGAAAAAAACCACAAACACCCCACTTTTAGAAACTTTGAAATGGTATTCAAATAGAAATATTTGGTCAATGTCAAATGTCAAAATTATTGGAAAAGATTATACGATCTTTTCTCTAGATTTTGTTAACCAGAATGATGTAAATGACGTTTTTGATACTTTAATGAGATTGACTGTCTTACCAAATGTGACAAACTTATATGCATTCATATATCAACCAAATGATAAAGAGATGAAATTTAATAGTTGGGAGATATATGGCCCTGAATCTGAATTCAAAAGACAAGGAATTAGATTTGATTTTGATTCGTGTCCTTGGAGAATTTCCAATATAAATCAAGATTATAAATTTTGTCCCAGTTACCCTAACAAAATTGTGGTTCCCAAAATGGTGTCTGATACCATATTGAGTTATGCAAGTAAATATAGATCAAAGAATAGAATTCCAGCTTTATGTTATTTCTATAAAAAAACAAATAGTTCTATTAGTCGATGTAGCCAGCCATTGCCTGGCATAACTAAACAGAGATCATTACAAGATGAAACATTGGTAAAAACATTGTTTCAGTGTTGCAGTAATGGCTCCGAAGAACATAAATCTACACCGATTTTGCAAAAACGTGGACTTATTGTAGATGCAAGGCCAATGACGAATGCTATTGCACAGACTGCCCTTGGAGGTGGTACCGAGTCCAAAGACAGTTATAACTGTGAAAGAATATTTTTAGGGATAGATAATATTCATGTAATGTCCGATACAATGACCACTTTTACCGAATCATTTTTAACTGATACTGATGTGAATAAGGATTTATCGCCATCCATGATTCACAAAAAAGCACATCATTGGATGAAATCAGTTAAATTAATACTAGCCAGTGTTGATAAACTTACAAAAGCTATGATTTTTAATAGTGAGAACCTTTTAATACACTGTTCTGATGGGTGGGACAGGACACCGCAGGTGTGTTCTCTAATACAATTATGTTTAGATCCCTATTTTAGAACTCTTGAAGGGTTTATGGTTTTGATAGAAAAAGATTGGATCTCATTTGGACATAAATTCATGGAAAGATCCGGTCATTTAAGTTCTACAGAAGTATTTCATGATAATACAGTAGATTTCAAGACCACTATCACAAATCATACAACTGATCTCTTGTTTGGAAAAGAAAAAACCAGTTATTATTCCGAGAACTTTAATTCATTTTTAAAAGGTCCAGCGTATTGTGAAAATAACAATGATATGAGTCCTAGTTTTGGTAACACAATTTCTAACAGTTTTTCTGCTATTTCATCTTCAGGTCAAAAAATATCAGGGGTTCAAAATACAGTTACTAATCACTGGACCACAAACTTTCAAAAAACCATTCAAAAGAGAACACTTAAGTTCACATCCCCAATATTTCAACAATTCCTTGATTGTGTTTATCAATTACTAAATCAAAATCCAAAAAGTTTTGAATTCAACGAAAGGTTCCTAAGAAGATTAGTTTACCATTTATATTCTTGCCAGTATGGAACATTTTTATTTGATTGCGAGCAAGAGATGGAAAAATATAATGCAAGAAATCAAACAAAAAGTGTATGGGATTATTTTAAATCAAAAAGAGAAGACTTCTTAAATACCTCTTATATTCCTATAACAACACCAAAAGCTGGAAGTACTAAAGCTAATTCCAATGAAATAGAAGATTGGATCCAGCCCGACTTGAACAAAGTTAAATGGTGGTGGCAGTTGTATGGAAGAAAAGATAATGAAATGAATATCGTTCTAGATGGTACCTTTAAGAAGTGGAAATTGGATAAAGGTTCTTCAAGAGACATTATACAAGATGAAAAAGACAAACTTAATACCAATTATAATTTTTTAAATCAGACAAAGGATTTATTATCATCTTTTAATATATTAGGTAGAAAATAGTTATTTTGTGGAGCAGAAGAACATACCTATTTTTTCTTTTCAAAAGTATAAACTAATAAAATAATGCCGAAAAATTGTCGAATATAAAGTATATAATATATCTGGATGTGTAATTGGGAGTATGCGAAACTCTTCAATTAAAAAAACACTGTAATGCATAAATAAACTCTATGCAAAAACCAACTTCTATGATGTTAAAGAAAGCGAAGTTGATTCTCTTATATTATTTAGTATTTATGAGCAATTTTTTAGGTTTTAATTTTACAACACCATCTGTCCATTTAATTCCACACCATTCAGATACTAAAATTGCCAAGGTTCTTACAGCTTCAACACTTTCATAATCACACCCAACGTTGAGTGCACCTCTTAAATGACCCTTTAATTGAGGATTGACATCTTGAGGAACCAAAGATGCAATGACAACCATACTTGTTTCTGGTGATGAGAGGATTTTATCATAAGAAAATAAAGGTCCATAACAATGAACTAATGTATAATACCATAAATCAGGATAGGAAGAATGCAAATTATTCACCACTCTATTAGAGACTTTATTATAGATGTAATTCCATTGTTGAAGACCTCTGTGGACGATATTTACTTGATCCTTTTTATTCCCCACCATTTTCCTTAATGTATCAGGACACGGTATTTCATCTCTTACAGCCGCTTCCCACGCATCAATCTGAGTAGATTTAGAACGTAGCTTTGAAGGGGTATATTCTTTTAAGGCATGTAATCCATTAATAGCTCTAGGTAACCCGGCTAGAGGCCCCGTCTTTAATAACGCTTCTCTTAATTTTTTGGTAACCATAGCTTGCTGTTCTGTTGGGAATTCATATTCTTTTTCAATAGCTTGTCTCCTTTGTGCTGGATCATAGTAGTTTAACAATTCTATTGTTCTGTGTGCTAGCGTAACATAATACTTATCAGCATCCTTGGCAGTTAATTGCATAGCATAATGGTATACTTTAGGAATTTCTTGAGGGTAATTAGCAACACTTAATGTGGCAGCTGCAACTAAGTACCAAATGTTTTTTAGTTTAGGATGGAATTGATACAATTGTAAAAGTCTTTGTTGATTCAATAAACTGGTGATTTTTCCTGAAGAATTCATTTATAATTTATAAAACACAATAGATATTATAATAATATACAATATTTATTCCTCTAATAGTAATATTACACTTTGTTACTGTTATAATAATAGCAGATGTCTCTAATTTCCTTTTTCTTTTTTCTTTTTTGTTTTATTTTTTTAGAGTCTATACCTTTTATCTTAATATGTAACAATTGTGAAATGACTTGTGACTAGTACTCTTTTACTATTACAATAACAGATTATGCAAATAACTATATAGATGCCATAAAATGGCTAGTTAGTTGTTTTTTACAAAAAATTTCCTGTTGATACGTTATAAGCCATTTTAATCTTTAATTTTTTTTTTATCTATTTATTTTTCTTTTCCAAAAATATCACATGTGAAATAATTAAATCAAGCAATCCAACAAAAATAAAAAGAAGAACGAAACAATTAGATCAAAAAAAACAAATAGGTAAAACAAAAAATATTGTATGTGTAAAATTAGGTTCAACATCAAGTAAATGTGAGTGCCTTGTAGTTAGCCACATATCGATATATGAATATATATACCATCATATTTTAGTCATGGTTCAAGAAACAACAAATGTACAAAAAATACGGTTTTTAAGATTAAATCAGGTGTTTGATAGGGCACTAAAACAGTCATTGGTGAAATTTCAGGACTGGGAAAAATTCAGCTCTTGTTTTCCCACATACTCCAAAACAAAGGACGGCATTACTCATTTAATGAATTGCCAGAAACAAGTTGTTCAATTCTGGATAGGTTTAAATCATAAAGAATTTGAAGAATTGTTAGTGGACCGTCAAGTAAAAGAGAAATTAGATGAGTTAGATGAGTTATTATCAGAAGCTAATACTAGATTGGAGTATAAAATAAATAATGAAAGCAATGATGAGAAAGAGAAAGATAGTGATATTATGGATAGACCAATAAGCGAACTGACCCCCAATGAACTTCTAGATTGTAATCTATATACTGAGAGGCAAGGTGCCATCGAAAAGTTAGATGAAAGATTAAAGAAAGTTAGAAATATTAATGAGGGGCTTTTACAGGAGATAATGCAGTTAGAAACCGACGTTAAAAAAGATATTAAAGAAATAGATGACACTTATTCACGATTTTTTGGCCAAAAGATACTAGACGCTCCAGATAAAGAATTGACAGAGGGTTTACATGATATGCTAATACAAGAAGGAGAGTACAACAGGTAACATAATCTATAGTTATAATTCTAGCAATAAAAGACATGGGACTTTAATTTTTCAAACTGGAAAACAGAATGACGAATAAGGAAAAATCCAGTATAAGAAATCACATCTGATGAAGAAAAAAAGGAAGATAAACAGAACATTCACTCCTTAGTTTATCTTAATGGACGATAGAAATGGTCACCTTTTTGAAGTATAAAATTGTATCAAGACTATATGTAACCTGGAAACATTCAATATTTATAGTATGATAAAGGGTATCTTGATTTTATAATAATGCTTACATCTATATTTTATAAAGTAAATAAAATTCTATAAAAATGTTATCAAGTGGCACATACACAGCACTCCACACTGACTTTATTGTTGAACTATTCGTTCGACTAATCTGAAACCAAACTTCAACTCAATTACGTCTAGTAAGAGGAACATCCATTAGTATTTAATTTAGCTTGTCTCGTGTCACTCTACATTTTTCTACAAGAAAAAATTCATCAAACCTTTTCTATTAGTGTATTGTATTGATAATTAATTGTTAACCACTTTTTCTTCATATTCTTTGAAAATATTGTTTAAATTCTCCAATTCCTTTCGTAAATTTTCTACTGTTATTTCTTCTATTTCAAAATCTTTCTTAGATTGGTTTAGTAATTCTACTTTTGCTTTAACCTCTTCTTCCTTAGCTTTTATTTTTGGTTGTAATATTGTGGTCGTCGATTTCATAGTGTAAATATCCTTTTTCACTTTTTCGTTTTGTTCATCACAATCCTTAACTTCTTCATCTAAAATTGTTAATTTTGCTTCCATTGCATGATAGTTACCTTCAGCAACAGCTAATTGTCTTTTCAATTGTTCTGAATTTTTTTTTGTTGTAGCTATAGTTTGTTCCATTTTTGCTATTCTTGCGGTGCTCTGCTGTATGGAATCATTTATACCGTTCAATTTGCTAACCAAGGAATCTTCAATCTCTTCTAATTTATGTAATTGTGATTTACACTGACTTTCAGTGATACTAATCTCTTCCAACTGTTTATTAGCTTCTTCGATTTGTTCTTTTAATTTTGAAATATTTTGTTTCTTTATTTCAATCTCCTTCATCGTTTTTGTTTGTTCTTGTTCAGCCTCTTTCAGTTTCTTCTCAATACTAGAGTTTGTTTGGATATTAGATAAAGTAATTCCAAGGCCTGAAGTGGTTTCTTTCCCCATACACAGAGTTGCTGATTCCGCATATTTCTTAGCCAACTTTTCCACAGATTCCAACAATTCATGTGGAAGTTTATAAGGTAAATTTGTTCTAGTCACTCTAACTCTTTGGATCAAAAACATGGCAATAATAAATTCTTTTTTATTTAAAGTACCAGTCTTGTTCATATCAACCAAATCCCAAACATTTGCTAAAGTGTCTCTAGTTAAACCAGATTTCATGAAAAATGGAACTAAAATATGTGGACCTAATTCTTTTGCTTTATTTCTATCTAAACTAGCGAAAGTGTTTTGGAAACTTTTATACTGGTTAGATTGAATCTCCCATGAATTTTCAGATAAACTGACTAACGGGGTGAAAGGTGATAAGAATGCATTATTATTTGAATTACGTGACGATATAGAGGACCCACTTATTGTTCTTGTAATTACTGGAGACTCTGTTCTTTGACTACTATTATTTGATAAAGTTGGAGAGTAGTGACGGGAGGAACGTCTAGAGGTGGATGTGACAGATCTATGGGAAGAGGACCTAGAAGGAGAATTGGGTGCTGCGGATGAAGAATTCAAAGAAGAAGGGGAAGAAGAAGAAGTGGTAGTAATAGTAGTAATAGGGGTAGACGAACGGGAGGATTGTAAAGTAGAATTAGACGTTGGCAAACCAGTAGATACCCATAATTTTCTGGATATTTTTTTGGGAACAGGATCCATTAATGGGTTTTGGGACAATCTCAAGCCAATCAAATGCATCGCCATTATGAACTCATATTTATTCAAAAACCCATCTTGTTCTCTATCACATAAAAACCAAATATCACCCAATACATCTGTGGGCAAATTAGCTTTTATAAAGATAGCTCTAGCCTTATCTCCAGGTAACAATTGTTGTCCAGCTGTGGTCCTGTCAAATAATTGGGAGAACCTAGACACATCACTATTAGAGATTAAAGGTAGTGGTACTGATTTGATATTATCACTCCTTCTATGTCTTTGTCTATTATTACTATTATTATCTGGTAAATTAAATTGAACAATTTTAGTAACGGGGAAATCATAGAGAGAAGAAGTTATTGGTACAGAGGGTGTTGCTGACAAATGAGATATGCATCTAATTAAAGCACAAAACTCTTTAAATATAAGAAAACCTTTCCCATCTAAGTCTACAAGAGACCAAATTTGTCCAAGTTGTCTACCAGACAATCCAGTTTGTTCCAAGAACGGTTTTGCAACATCTGCAGTAACCACGTTTGTGCGATCTGGATCTAGTGCTTTGAAATAACGTCTATAAACCTCATTTTCTTCCTTCGTTAAAGGGACTTTTAACTTGACCTCTACCATGAATGATTTATGCTATTTTCTTCCTGTATATTGTTATATTATGACTAGATTCAGTTTCTAAAAAGTTATAGGAACATCCTATATGATATCAATATAAAAGAACGCAAAAATAAAGTAAAAAACAAAGTTAAAGAAGAATGGATAAAAAAAAAAGAATGAGAAAAAGAGAGAGAAAGGAATCAGACAAGATGAGGTTTACAAGGGATATATAACAAGGAATTTTTCAAAAAAAAAAACATACTTTATAGAGAACAAATTGACGTACCTCTGATATCACATCTTATTGGTGCCCATACCAATACCAATGCCAATATCAAAAAAAAAACCAGAAAAGGTATTGCCATGTCAAAATCCACTGTCAATTCATCGAGAAAGTCATCGCACGGATTACCCAAAACGGCAAAGAAATAGAAAAACAGGAAAAAAACAACAAAAAATCTCAATTCCGGCTGTTTGGCTATTACCCGATTCGGTTATCTCATAGGAGTTTCGGTCCCAAGAAAATTTACACTCAAACAAAGTTTTACGTCACAGAACGTCTGTACCTTTGTCTACATTACGTATTAGATATTTCATAGTGAGGTTATGCACCCAGTACATAGTTAAACATGCAGGTTTTTCTAGATCATATGGTAGAAATAACCCAAAATCAAACAAACAAACAAATAACAGCAGAGCTTTTCTAGTAGCTGTGATGTTTTATTTTATTTTATTTGAATATTTATGGATTAAGATATTTTATTATATATATATATATATATGTACAAGTTGTGCAGTTCAGCCATTTTAATATATCCATAGACAATTAAATATATACTTTTATCTATATGTAAGGGTGGTACTGTATGAACGCAAAGTAAAAATTAATAAAAAAGGTAAAACGTAATATTCTTATAAATGTCTTCCACTTGTTCATCTATTAATGATGTTATTTCAATTTGATGTAAGCTCTATGTGCAATAGCCATTTTATGAATTTGGTCTCTCTTGTCAAACCCAGATCCAATACCTTTGGATACGGCCACCAATTCTTCTCCTAATCTCACAGCAAAATCGCTTGAAACACGTTTATTAGCACCCTCTACAATCCATTTCCACGCAATTCTATTTCTTTGTCTTTGGTTTAATGGCACAGGAATGACCGCAGATTTAGCCACTTTTGTACTAAAAGTCTTAACAACCATTAATGGCGCCATTTCATCTAAGGATTTCTTCAAAAGTTCCACTGGATCCTTTCTTGTTTGACAATATACAAGATGTAAAGCTCTAGACATAATTCTTTCAGCGACCTGTTTCTTCCCATGACGCATAATCATATTAGTGACATGTTCCAAGACAGGATCCTTACGTAGTGGCAATGGCACATCTTTTAATGCTTCGTATTCTTGGATTTGCTGTTCAGTGGGAGTAAATTCCTCTTCGCCGTTTATGTCGATAGTCTCACTTAATAATAAACTTTTATCTAAACTGTTCTGTCTTAAATTTAAACGCGCTTTACGAATAGTTTGTAACCACTCATTTATATCTTCGTCAGAGAAGGGTTCAGATTTATCTGCCGTTGTCGTTGTTGTCGTTTGAAATCTATTAGAAATTAATGTAGTAGTTGAGAGAAAGGGAAATGTGGTTTTCACTAAGGGGAGAATGGGAAGAGCTTTTGTTGTAGTGGTTAATCTAAACATTATCAATATCCCAACAATATTTCTTTTTTTTTTTTTTTTTTTTTTATCTAGATTGATAAACTCAGTTATTGATATTGTATATGTAATTGCATTAAAATTTCTCCTTCTTTTAAATCTAACCCTTACTGTCTTGTTGATGTTTGTTTTCTTTTGATTATTTTATTTTTTCTTTTTTTTTGTTTTTTTAGTATTTTTTCACCTTTATTTTCTTGCATTGTGAATAAAAAAAATAGTGAAATCAGAAATAATAACAAGGGTAAAAGAAAAAGATACTCACACCTCCAAAAAAAGGAATATCTTTTATGAATATTAACGTGAAATAGAGTTGAATAGCTTTCTACCACGATGAGTACTATTTTCCAACAAACTTAGATTAATACATATGTCTACCAGCCTGTGTATATTCAAGAATGAAAAAAAAAGAGAAAATATACATAATTATGATATTGTGCTATCATAAATATAGAAAAAAATAGTAATACATATTAATATTTGTGGCTACATATGCACATAGATATATTTGTCTTTTTGCCAATATTCTTCCTCAAAATCTTGTAATTTTTCTACAGCTAATACTGTTCTTTTTTTATTTTTATTTTTATTTATTTTTTTGTATATTCACTCTCTTTTCCTATCTTTATCATTAGATGAGTTTGCTAGTTTTTTAGCGATCTTAACCATTTTAGAGAACCAAAACACGTTTAGAGAATTCAAAATAAGCGTGATAATAGCCAAAATTACAGCCAACTGTACCTTCAATGTAGTCATGTCCGATCTATACTTATACATCTGATAGAAATATACGAATTGTGCCAGGTTGCCCCATAAGATTCTCACAGAGAAGAATATAATCATTAATAGGACTCCATTAATCAGATTTAACCAGGTTGGTACTTTAGCAGGTTTCAAATTAGACTTTTTAGATGGTGCCAACATCTGCATGATAAACCAGTTAACGTTAACAAAAGGCGTACTGGCTTCATATAATAAAAATTTGGGGACCCAGACTTGACATACTGGTAACAATGGGACCAAGGAAGCGGCTAGAGCAAAGATGGCGTGGATCAAATATTGAAAACCATAGACTTTGAAATATCTTAAACATACTATTAGATCCCAAATAAAATAACCTGCAGACAATGAAGTCACCATTGAACAGTAATCGTTTTGATACGTGGCGATGTTATAGGATGTTAATGGTAATGTCAATACTGGCCAAAGGATATACAATGATACACATGCCTGGACCATGGAGACTATATGAATATCAAAATCAATCTTCAATTCTTGATCTGCTATCTTAATGTAGCGGTCGCCAAAGACAATCTTGTTAACCAATGGTGCCAAATATGTGGATACGAGCTGATAGAAAATGAAAGAATAAATGATTTCATGTAAATGTAATAAGTAATAGTTCTGAGATTTAGGAAACCATGAGTATTTCAACAAAGGATCAACTGTTTGAATGACTTCTATTAACCCAGACATGGTAGTATTATTACTGGTGATTGTCATGATGAATAAAGATATGGTTAGTCTAGTAGAGTCGATTCAACCTTTTTATTTAACACATTCAAAAAAAAAACAAGCTAGAAGTGGTCCTAATATTTCATTGTAATTCAATATCACCAAAAATAAACAAATAAGTATATATATACGCACATATATATATATATATATATAAGTATTCTAAGGTGACTAGATTATTATTCTCGAATTTATTGTTAGTATAATATATTTCACTAAACAATACCAGAAAAAGCAAAACCAAGAAAAAGAATATTATTATTATTTTTTTTTTCCTCTTTCTTTCGTATTTAGTTTCAATTGGCTTGACGTTTTTCAAAAAGAGTGATTTTTGTTGAGAATGAGAAGGTTGAAAGATAGGAAGAGATGAGGGTGGTGGTAGTAGTAGAGAGATGGTCACAGACATGAAACATTATTAAGAAAAAAAAGAGAGGATAGGAAACACATAAGAATTACAGTCTTTCAAAGGAAGAGAAATAACAAGTTTAAGCCCAAACCGAAACATAGACTTAAAGGCAAGAGCCTAGAAAGAACAAACAAACGAACAAAACGCATCAAGACACAATGTGTCTATGCGGACGGGACACATAATATGGACCACAGGCTGCTATTGATCTGCTCCAAATAACTTAGACCACTACTTATCCAAGAGAAAGGAACCAACTACTCCTTTTTACTAGTGCAGTTGTCTTCAAAACTGGAATGCAAAATTGAGAAACACACAGATCTCGAACAAAGCCAACGACACCATCACAGATTCTGAATGGGTGGTTTCTCTCTTTTTATTTTATTTTATTTATTTTTTTTTTCGTCTTCTTTTTTTTGGGGGAGGGTTTTTGTCTTACAAGGATCGGAGAATTGGCGGAAACATAGCGGGAACATAATTGTGGGTGCATGGGTGCTTGAGATCATATAGTCGGACAAAACTTTTCAAGTCGTTTCTTTTTCCTGCTTTTTCCCAAATTTTAAATTTTTTTTTCTTTTTTTTCTCTTTTGTTTTTTGCTTTTTGTTTCTCGATGGTGGAAAATCTTGAGAAAATGTGAGGATCTCGAAGGCAAAAACAAGCAACAGAGAATAAACCTCTTTCAAAGACTACAGAAATAGAAATGTTTTCTAACAAGGTCGTTAAGTACTGCTCTCATACTTTCTGTATGCTCCATAGTGGGCTTGTTCATGCACATGTTGGCTCATTTTCAATCCCTTCATTACTGAGAGAATTATTTTTAATCATGATCTCTTTTTTGTGGACTGCAGTTGGTTCTTGAAAACATAGAAAAGTGAATAAATATAAACTCAACAATTGCTCACGACTCCATAGCTAACTCACCATGTCTTCTTTACCAGAATTATTAGTACTTTGTAACCCATTACTGGATGTTCAAGCTACTGTCCAACCTGAATATTTAGCTAAATATAACTTAAAATCCAATGATGCTATCCTTATCGAAGATGCTGCAACTGATCCAAGAATGAAAATCTTCGATGAAATAGCAGACTTCCCAGACGTCAAGTATATCGCCGGTGGTGCTGGTCAAAATTCTGCGAGAGGTGCTGCTTATATCTTAGGTCCAGGTAAAGTTGCTTATTTCGGCTGTGTAGGTAAAGATAAATTCTCAGAAAAATTGTTGAGTGAAAATGAAAAAGCTGGTGTTACATCCTTGTATCAAGTCGTCCCAGAGATTGGTACAGGCAAGTGTGCAGCTCTAATTAATGGTCACGATAGATCTTTGGTCACCGACTTAGGTGCTGCTAACCATTTCAAACCTGAACATATCGATAAACACTGGAACGCTGTCATTAACTCGAAATTGTTCTACATAGGTGGATTCCATTTAACTGTCTCTCCAGAGGCCATCATCAAATTAGGTAAACATGCCAAGGAGAGTGGTAAACCTTTTGTCTTGAATTTCTCTGCTCCTTTCATCCCACAATTCTTTAACACCGCTTTAACTGAAGTTCTTCCATATGCTACTCATATCATTGCCAATGAAACAGAAGCTGCAGCTTACGCAGAAGCATTCGGTCTAACCTGTGATAAAAATGATCTAGAAGCTATTGCTAAATCTATAATTGAAACAGATCCAACAAAAACAGTCATTTTCACTCATGGTTTGGAACCAATCGTTGCTGTCACTAAAGATGATTCTAAAAAGTATCCTGTTAAACCACTAGATCAATCAAAAATTGTAGACACTAACGGTGCTGGTGATGCATTTGCTGCCGGGTTTATTGCTGGTTTAGTCAAAGGTAAAGATCTTAATATCGCTATTGACATGGGTCAATGGTTGGCATCTTTATCTATCCAAGAAGTTGGTCCATCTTACCCAGTTGAAAAGTTCCAATATCAATAAATAAATTCATAGTATATAAGAACATCCATTATTCACACATCTAAATAGTTCATGTATTTTATCAACTTACATACACATCTATCTATGCCTATTCTATCTTGTGAAATATTTTTATCTATATAATATTTTCACTTTTCAATTCACATTCCTCATTTTATTTTTAAATTTTTGATAATTTCAATTTTGTCAATATTGAAAAACCACTAAACTTATACATACATATATATATATATATATATCGTTGTTAACCAAGACTACAGAACAGCCCAATTAACTATAAAAAACATATTAATAACTAAACAATTATTGAATCGATATTAAATATACATATACATATACATATATATATATATACGGTGTCACGTTACATATTTCATAGTGCCATTTTTTCTCTCTTTTTTTATTTCCTCTGTGTGTGAACTGTTTTCTTTGTTTTATTACGAAGTTTATGATCGAATAAGGATGGAATGGGTGTTAAAATTAACACACCCAGTGTTACTATATGCTAATCCATCATGGTCAGTTCAATTTATTGTTTTCAGTTTAATTCATATCATCCTTTCTTTTGTACTTTTGGGGATATGTGCATCTGATTATTTATGTCCTAACGTGACAAACATTGTGGAGTTAAAACAAAAATCCTCATCAAGACATTCAGCCATATCAGCATCACCCAGTATTATTAAAGTCTCTTCAAATGCATCTTCTGGTATTATCATGGCTGTATTACTTTCATGGTGTAATTCTTCCCCAGATTTATTTTCAAATTTTTTAAGTTGGACCTCAGCAACCAAGGATAACTTGACTGTGATATCACTATCGATAGGTGAAGTATTGGGTGCATGTGGGATCATACTTTGTATTGTACAGGGAACCATAATAATTATTATGTCTTCTATTGACTTGCAAATGATCCCTGTTCAAAAATATAGTATCTTTAAAGATTTAATAATGGTTTTAATTGCCATGTTATTGATGACATATATTATATTACAAAATAAAATCACAATTATGAATTGTTTGCTTATGTTATTTATATATTCCTTTTATATTTATTCCAAGTTTTCACACCATTTTTCCAAACCAAAACATATTGATAGTGACACCATCAGCGATAGTAATATTGTTGGGAATTCATTTGATGGCAATGATATTTCAAATTTTTCTAATGTCAATAGTAATAACAATGCAGATCACATAGGATTCAACGAAAATGCTACTGATAATGAATTTTATTTACAAGCAAGAACACCTGATTTAGAAAATATTAGTTCTTATTTTGAAGGTGAATACGATAATGTAGATTTCACAACTGGAATAAAGAAAAATCTGATTTCTGCAATGGATTTCAATAATTTATTAAACATTTTAGAAAACTCACCTTTGTCATCCACAAATGTAGCTAATTCTGAACACGAAATGATCAACTTCAATAGTTCCAGTTCAATAATATTGGATACGAATAACAACCATTTATTACCACATGACCGTCAAAGAGCCCTTTCCGAACCAATATATTACCATGTGAATACTTTAAATATTGATTCTAACAATGTTTCTAATCATAATTCCCAAAGAACCGGTTTGAATTCTGCACCAATGACTTTAAAATCATATCATGATGTTGCAGACCTGGTTGAAACTGAAGCACATCAATTGAATGAATTACCGTATGTAGAATCTGTTTCATTACACAACTATTTGAAGAGAAATCGAAAATATCGAAATTTGTTGTGCCAAATTTTAACTCCTCATTTATTAAATTTTAAACAAAAATCTAAAATAGACGCGACTTTGTCGTTATTAACTACTCCGTTTGTTTTACTACTTCAATTATCTTGTCCTCGTTTGATTAATATATTAGAATTTGATGAATCTACTACATACTACTCTCTACCTGTTATCAAATCAATTACATTATGGGCTCAATCGTTAATATCACCAGTGATGACAATGACATTAATTGCATGCTTATGCTCATGGTCGAAAATACACGTTATCTTATGGATTGCAACCATTCTAATAATTTTAGGATTGATTGCACTTTTAGCTCATTTTCAAAGACAATTATATTTACATAACCAATTTTCGTTATTAACAACAAGTACCTCCGTGGAAGATATCGAGACAAAAAATAAAGAAAGAAGAAATTTAGAAAAATTACAAACGGTGCTAAATATCATATTTTTATTAATTGGTATTGTGAATTCAATTCTTTTTATATCTTTAATCGCCAATACTTTAATTGAATTAATGGAATTATATCAAAAATTAACAGGGATATCCAAAGCTATTTTAGGATTAACTATATTTGCTTGGGGGAACTCCTTGAGTGATCTGTTAACTAATATAGCAATGTGCAGATTATACTTGAAAGTGCCCAACAAGGATCATATCGAAATGATAGCAACCAAGTTTTTTGTGATTTCTTTTCAATCCTGCCTTGGTGGTGTAATGTTGAATTCTATGATTGGAATAGGTCTTAGTGGTTTAATTACCATGTTTTGGTTACAATCAGGAAATACTAATTGGTGGTTTTTAAGATATATTGAATTTCAGGAATCATTAAATGATAGCTCTGCGAATACAGGAATTAACTATCAATTTGTTGTGTGTTGTATTACTATTTTGATTCAAAATTTGTTATTGTTAAACCTAATTGGTGGTGTTAAACTTTGGGACAGATTGTCAAAAAGAGAGCTTAGACTAGTTGGTATATTCATGTGTGGATTATGGGGTATTGCGACATTTATTAATGTATGTTTAGAAGTATTTAATCAAACACAGAGTATTTCATCATAAATTCATGGTATACACTGTATCAGTTTATATCTAAATTATTGTATCATTTTTGATAACTCTTATAATTAAAAATTACAAAAAAAAAAATAAAAAACAAGAAGACAATGACAGTAAATCTAATATGTCACAAAATGATTTCAAAAGAGTCAATTGTCATAATAGTATAATATAAATGTAGATCTGTCTCTGTATAAGGATAAAATTAACATATTCATATATTAATATATATAAAGATGTACAATAAATCAACTATTTCAATGTATTCAAATCGAACATTTTATGTAATTATGACAATATTTTTATTTTTACTTCAGACATTTGTACAGAGCAAAAATGTTGTTGACTTCTCCCAAACCCTGAAACAATTCAATGAGAAATATGATGTTAAATTTTCAGATAGTGTGTATCAACAATTAACCTATTTTGTTAGATCATCTGCTCTATCTAGTTGTATCACTCATTATGGGTTAAACCCAGGTTTTACTTTAAAAGATGGAGGGTGCCCTGCCCATATTGAGTTTTGTCATAACTATACATTAAATCCCAGTATAGGAAACTCCACCATTTCTGCTGTTTTTGAAGCAAGCGAAGGAGAATTAGGAACTGGATACGTCATGGTAGATTATAGTAACAAGACAATTATTGTTGTGTTTAGAAGTTCAACTACCAGCGAAGATTGGTTTAGTGATTTTACAATCCAGCCAACAAAATATTCCCCAATATCTCAAACAGAATATTGGAAACTAGTCAAAAATAAAAAATTATCACCCTGTCAAAATTGCCAGCTTCATAAAGGTGTATCTAAATTTACAAAAAGTTTAGGTAGAGATTTTTTGGTTAAAATCGAACATATATTGAAAAGATATCCCACTTTTAAAATTGTGATCACAGGTCATTCGTTGGGTGCTGCACTAGCAAGCATAGTTGGAATCGAATTACGATTAAGAGGCTATCATCCACTTGTCTTAACGTATGCTTCGCCTAAAATATTTAATTCTAATTTGAAAAATTGGGTTAATGAATTATTTGACGCTAAAATGATCCATAAAAATATTTTAAACGCTGCGCAAGTTGAATTGAAAAGAGGTTATTTTAGAATCGTTCATAAGAATGATTACATTCCATTAGTTCCACCATTTTATAAGGCAGCCGGTTTAGAGATATTTATTAAAAAAATATCTTTACCACACGAATTGGAAGACTTGCAATACAATGGTATGATTAGTGACACATTTCCATTAATGGAATATACTGACAATATTTCAGGCCTTGTGGATCAATTATTACACACACACGAACACACGTCATATTTTATTTATTTAAAAGGTTGTAAATATTTTTAAACCAAAAATTACAGTGTGCTTTTTATAAATAAAATTTCTTTTAAATCTATATATATATTTATTTCATACTATAATAATAAATTTTAATACTTAATGGTATGAAAAATCTTTTCTATCAAAGTTTAAAGTGAATAATAATGCATGTATGTACAAATATACATAAAATTTTATATTTAAAAACTACCTAATGTCCCTGTTACATATATATATATATACATACATTAACATTGCCTCTTTTTAGTGACATTCATTATACTATTAGAGTCATCATCATATGAATCACGTTTCCTTACTATTCCTCTAGCTCCCATTCCCGTTGCCAGAGGGTTTAGTTCAGGCAGCTTTTCTGGATTGTTTCTTTTATATATTTCTTCTTGTTGATATTGGATGAAAGCCTCATTAAAGTGTGTCGTTTCGGAATAATAAGTGTACTCTTCAAATGGATCATAAAACTGACTCATAATTTCGAAAAGTTAATAGTTAAATTTTTATTTACTTCTTCTTCTTCTTATTATTATTATTTTTAGTGTTACATGAATTAATAAATATTACTACACAGTTCAATTTATAGATCTGAGTGTGACGTCTTGACATCAGTAATCTTGTGTGAAAAGTTCACAAATACTCTTCAATTCCTCTTAACCATTCCATGTTGTTATTAGTTTCTTGTTCTTAGATTTTATTTTCAAAAACAACGTATATATAATTACTGTGTGGTATTAGGATTCACTAAAAGCGTTTTTTTTTCTTGGAACTCGTTTAAAAAAAAAACTCAAAGACGTCTGTTCGAGTCTTGAAGGAAAACAAAAAATAAAAATAGGCAAAGTATCCTTTTATACGAAAGCTCAATGGCTTTTTTTCTCGTAAAGTAAAACAAAAGAATGATGCAGTCCATTATTTACATGAAGTGGCAATACACAGCTACTTCTGTACTCATGTTGAAAACACTGCTTTAAAACTCACACACTTGAAATACTTCATTTATTGATTGAGTAAAACAATAATTATCATTATTAGTTGAGAGGAAAACACTATTAAAAAGTGATCAAAGCTGATACTAACATTGGAAAAATGACTTTCCTGGATTATATTTCAGAAGCTATTCAACACCCAAACTTTCCATGGAAAAAAATTGTAATTGGAATTTCAATTGGTCAGTTTGTATTTGAAACCTATTTATCCTATCGTCAGTATAGAGTTTTATCTAAAAAACAGTTACCTTCTGTTTTAGAAGGCGAGATTGACAAAGAGACATTTGAAAAATCAGAAGAATATTCAAGGACTAAAATTAAGTTCTCTGTCGTCTCTGATTTAATTTCCCTTATTCAGAATTTGATCTTTGTTAAATATGATGTGTTACCTAAATTATGGAACATTGGTAAATTTCTTTCAAAAAATATTTTCCCTGCCAAATATCAAGCTGTATCTGTTGTGGCTCAAAGTTTAATGTTTTTATTCACTCTATCTAATCTATCAACTGTATTAAGTCTTCCAGTCTCATATTACAGTCATTTTGTCTTAGAAGAAAAATTTGGTTTCAATAAATTGACCATTAAATTATGGATCATCGATATGATTAAAGGTACTTTGTTAGGCTACATTATTGGAGGTCCAATCCTTTATTTCTTTCTCAAAATTTTCGACTATTTTGAGACTAATTTCCTTTGGTACATATGTTTATTTGTTCTCGTAGTCCAAATTTTGGCAATGGTCTTTATTCCAGTGTTTATTATGCCTTTATTCAACAAGTTCACTCCATTGGAGGATGGTGATTTGAAAGTTTCTATTGAAAATCTAGCTAAGGATTGTGGATTCCCTCTAGATAAGATTTTTGTGATTGATGGATCTAAGAGATCTTCTCATTCTAATGCTTATTTCACTGGGTTACCATTCACTTCCAAGAGAATTGTTTTATTTGATACATTAGTTAACCAAAGTTCAATTAAAGAAATTACTGCAGTTTTAGCTCATGAAATTGGTCATTGGCAAATGAACCACATCTTAAATATGTTGGTCATTTCACAAATTCATATGATAGCAATTTTTAAATTGTTTACCAGTGTTTACCGTAACGAGTCACTATATAATGCATTTGGTTTCTTTGTAAAGAATAGTGATACTGCTTCTACTGCATTATCAAATAGTAACTTTGTGGTATTCACCCAAGGTTTCCCTATTTTAATTGGTTTTATCTTATTCAATGATTTGTTGACTCCATTAGAATGCATTCTTCAATTTGGTATGTCTTTATTACAAAGAAAACAGGAATATCAAGCTGATGGATATGCTAAGAAACTTGGATTCAGCAAAGATCTATCTCGCGCTTTGATTACTTTACAAATCAAAAATCTATCTACAATGAGTGTTGATAAATTATATTCCGCATATCATTATAGTCACCCAACTTTAGCAGAAAGATTAACAGCCTTAGAGTATGTTAGTGAGAAGAAGAAGGAATGAAAAATGAAAATTGGTTTAATATACCTTTGCTAGCTTTTTTTTCATTCTTGTTGTCAATAACCATACTGGTAATAATATTATTATACCCATATGTATAAATAGATATTATATAATCATTAGTATTCTTTCTATTAGATCATACATCATAACTGTATATATGTGCAGAAAGAAGAAGAAATATAGTTTTTTTTATTGATTTTTAGTATGCAGCCCGGAATTAAGATTTTTTTTTTTGATTTTCAAAGTTCAGCATCGTGGTTATATTTATACATAACAAACATATATTAATATATACGTACGTTTATGTTGATTAGGAAATGAAGAGGAAAGATACTAAATTAATAGGGATCAAAATTGGATATACATCTGTAAATTCCAAACATTTTTTATATTTTACTATTTCATATTTTCGTTATAATTTCTCTCCCCTGTCTTCTACTTTACTGATACCCTCTAAAATTCGGTGAAGTATTTTGCATATGGATCATCTGTTTGAATACCATAATCAAATCTCTCTTCAGGATATTGATCAAATAATGAAGTATCACCGACACCAGCAATGATTGGAGGCTCATACGGAGTCTCAATATCTTTATTCAATAGTTTTTCCCAAACAACTTCACCGAACCATGGATGTGATTTGATATCCTGTGATCCACTTTGTAAATTACCTATTCTTCTTGTTAAATCACTTGTAATCAATTTACTTAATAAATCTACAACATCAGGATGGAAGAATGGCGGATATATCACTTTACCCAACAGAATCTTTTCATATGTCTTCATTGGAGTGGTATCATAAAAGGGCGTGTAACCTGCCAACATTTCAAAGATCAGTATCCCTAAAGACCACCAATCGACTGATTTATTGTAGGGTTTTGTAGCAATTACTTCTGGGGCAATGTAATCAGGTGTACCACATAAAGTCCATGTCACCGATTCCACTTCTTTTGCGAATCCAAAATCAGTTATCTTAATGTGACCATAACGATCTAATAAAATATTTTCTGGTTTTAAATCTCTATATATAATATTATGGAAATGCAAATATTCCAGTGCTAGGGTGACTTCAGCAGCATAGAATTTAGCCACAGGGTTAGGAAATCGTTGTGATTTTCTTAGTAGGAAAAATAATTCACCACCTTCAATATAGTCCATGACCATAAATAAATTTCTTGAATCTTGAAAGGTTCCCCACATTCTAATTAGAAATGGATGTTCAACTAATTTCAACATACGTCTTTCATCATTGGTATGCTCAATTTGCTTCATTCTGACCACTTGCTCCTTCTTCAATACTTTAATAGCATAATATCTACCATTATGGACTGATCTCACCAAGTGGACTCTACCAAAGGAACCTGTCCCCAAAGTTCTCATAATCTGAAAATCATTTAAAGAATACTTACCCTTTGAAACAGTCGATCTTTGCGGTAATAAAGATTTTTTCACAGGGTTTTCACCGGTATTATTATTATTACTACCACCGCTATTGTCATTATTATTATTTGCACTATTAGTGGTGATATCTATAGCAGTATTACTGGAGATAGTAGTTGTTTCACTAACAGCCTGGTCCATTTTATTTATTTAGATTTCTTTCGTAAAGTTTGCGGGTTGAAAATAGCTAAATATGATTACAGGCCTATTATTATTATTTGTAATACAATAATTAAGATTGTGCTAAATATGTGAGATACAATATGATACAAATTGAATATGAAGAAACTTATACCACAATATACTACTAAACAGAAAGGAATAGATGAAATCGCCTAATAAATAAAAAAAACAAAAGTATTCTTACTTTTCCTTTCACAGGTGTCTAAAGATAAATTTATCTGCAACGGCTATCAGTTGCAATAACGTTTAGTTAATGTTTTGGTATATGTTAGGGAATATATTGGGATAGAGTTCCTTTCCCTAACTCTTCCCACCCTTGGAAAGTCCGACTGTCCATATCCAATTACTGCCCTTCCCCCCTCTTTCCTTCTCCCTATAAAACTGATTTTTTTCCTTCTATATAATCTCAAACAAAATCAAACAAAAAAAAAAAAGGAATACAAATTTCGGAAAAAGACATGAGATCAAAATTTTACTCCTTGATTGCTCACCTAAGCAAAATTAGTCATCAACTGTTCTGGTGGCGGATTCGGATCCCGCAAATAGATTATGTAAGGCATTATTGTTGTGTATTAGTAATCATCATAATATAATATAAAGTAACAATAAATACTTAATCATAATAATACCCAGGGTGATACCTTTTACTATTTGTCCACATTAATATTACAAACTATGACGCTACTTCCTTTATTTTATACTCTATATATATATATACTTATGTAACTGTAAATTAATCTATATTTTATATTTGAATTTTAATTAAAATAGAAATAAAAATAAATTTATTGATTGAAAAGCACTAAAATATAGCCATATCCTCTACTTCAACTATCCATCGCATAGTGTGTTTATCTTTTCTTCTCTCTTTTTTTTTTTGTTCGAGCTTTTAGGATATATTAAAACCTTAGTTTCTATAGCCAAAGATTATTATTACTTTGTTGTTGAGACTGATGCTGCTGTTGTTGTTGTTGTTGCTGCTGTGGTATGCGGGATTGTATGTGTCCTGGGACAGAAATCTGAGGAGGATATTGAGTAGAACCAACAGGTCTATTTATTTGTTGTTGAACAGTAGGAATATATTGTCTTGTTGGATCTCTTCTTTGCTGTTCCAATAACGTTTCTTGATGTTGTTGTAGATGTAAGTTCTGACCGTCTAGTTGTTCACTTGATTGTTGTTGCTGCTGCTGTTGCTGCTGCTGTTGTTGTTTTAGTTGATCCATACCTTTATCCACAGCATTTAACAATTCTTGTGGCAATGAAGAAATCAAATTATTATTGTCGATGGTTTGTTGTTTAATTTCTTCTGGAGTCGGATTGTATTTACAATCTACTTTATAATAATGGAAATGAGATGCAAATTTTTTCATAGTTAACAATTTTATCTTTTCAAATGCTTCATTTTTATCTTCTTGTGTAGTTGTAATATGAGAATTATTAGTATTTTGACCATTTGGATCTTGAGTAGTATTGTTATTATTATTGTTTGTGATTAGATTAATGTTTTGGTTAGTACTACCGCTATTACTATTACTATTATTATTATTTAATAGTTCACGTTGTTTTTCGACCATAGCTTTAGTATAACGTAACATGGTCCAATCGAATAAATGATCGTTATGATATTCTAATTTTATTGAAAGATCTTTAAAAAGCCGTGCAAGATATAAATAATCTGGTCTTTCATCGAACTTCAAATTCTTACAGTAATTCAAATAATCTTTAAATTCAACAGGCAAACCTTGACATAGAGTATCGACATTAACGCTCAATTTCTTCTCCAAGATTCGATCATATTTTTGTTTTTTTGTTGTTGCCTTTAAACCCTGCCATGGCAAAGAACCCTTACAGAAATAGACAAAGATATAACCCAAAGATTCTAAATCATCTCTTCTACATTGCTCGATACCTAAATGTGTATTAACAGACGCATATCTAGCAGTACCCGTCAAGGATTTATTCTCACGATATGGGATATGACGATGTGTATTAAAATCTCTATATTTTTTGGATAAACCAAAATCGATTAAATGAACTGTACTACCACGACGTCCTGTTCCCATTAAGAAATTATCCGGTTTGATATCTCTGTGAATAAAAGATCTCCCATGAATATATTGGATTCTGAAAATCATTTGTAAAGCCAACATTATGACAGTCTTTAAAGAGAATTTTCTGTGACAATAGTTGAACAGATCTTCTAAAGATGGGCCTAATAAATCGATAACCATTGCATTGTATTCACCTTCACGGCCAAACCATCGGATAAATGGAATACCAATACCACCACTTAGATATCTATAAACTCGGGACTCATATTCCAACTGTGGATGACGAGATCGAATGGATTCTAATTTGATAGCCACTTCTTCACCGCTAATCAAATTTGTCCCGTGATAAATATCACCAAAGGATCCACTACCAATTTTTCTACCAATTCTAAATTTTCTACCCACTCTTAAATCCATTTGCTTAGTTTATTGATAAGGTCTCGTAGAATCAAAAATATAAATATATATTTGCGTATTCACTCTTTCAAATACAGTTCAACGTTAGTTGCGAAAGACGAATTTACTATTCAGACAAAATTCACAATACTTTGATATGCAAGCATACAAGTAAACAAATATTCCGAGGGTTGTATTCAATTAAAAATATAACGTTTATGGGGGAATATGATTTAACTGATTGTTTCATTCTTCGAATATGTTATACTGAGAAAAAATAGAAATGCTCAACAGCACTACACAACACGATTGCATTCCTTTTTTATTTTTTTGTTTTGTTTTTTGTTTTTTGTTTTTCTTGTTTTTGTCTGTTCGTACATAATGATTCCTCGACAGCAAAAAAAAAAATTTTTTTTCCTTCTTCGTTTCTGTGTCCAATTTTTTCCCTTTTGGGAACTGCTGTTGTTTCAGGGAAGAACATTGGAGGTATGGGTGTATACAAGATAATTGACAAAATCAAGCATTTAGGGTTTATCATATCAAAAGATATTTTTCTACAGATGAAGAAGAGAAACCATGTAGGGTTGAATAGAAAATTCAGCCCAGACGTTCTGTGTGCTTTTCCCAGGAGAAAAACGGAGTTGTTAGGGGGAGGGGGGAATTAACAAAAAGAAAAAAGAGAAGAAAAAAAGAAGCAATGATGAGGTTTGTGTACGATATTTGGAATATAATAGACGGTTAGCAGATGAAGATATATACAGTGATAATCTGTAAGGGAAGACTTTGTCTTTGTAGAGGTGGGAGGAGATAAACACAGAGAGAAACAAAGAGACGGAGATAAAGTAATCTTTAAATCTTGGAAATCCAAAGTAGACTATAAAGGGATATATTAATTAAAGGTTGTTTCGAATGTAACCCTCTCTTTACCGCTCTCTCTCTCTGTCTCTGCCTCCTCACGTTAACATCAGGATACAGGAAGAGAGGAAAAAGAAAGAAAGAAAAAAAGCAGGGAAAACATTAAAAAAAAGAAACGACAAGACAATTGGGATGGGAGAACACATGACACTAAACGATGTATTAAAGGATTAAATAAAATAACATATATAATACATATATGTTGCAAGTACATTCAAACATGTTAAATACCCATAATTTTCTTAGCTGCACTGGTTGTACTTAACAAATTCTTGAGACTTTCTTGGTTAAGTTTATGCAGAATAACACATTGAAGGGGAATACTGACAAAAATTAGGCATTAAGAACAACAGCAACAATAATAACAAAAACTTAAAAAAAAGAAAGAGAAAATGAGTGAAATAATAAATATCCCATCTATACAGATGGTTGGTCACAGAGCTTTTAGAGGTTTATATCCAGAAAACACTTTGATAGCATTTAATAAAGCATACGAAGCTAATGTAGACATTATTGAAACTGATCTGCAAATGACACTTGATGGTGTCATTGTTATAAATCATGATTCCGATACTGGTAGAACATGGGATAAAAATTTAGTGATATCCGAATCCACATGGGATCAACTCAGAACTTTGAAAAATAAGTCTGATCCCTCTCAAAGAATGATGACTTTAAAAGATATGTTATTTTGGTCTTTAGAACATCCAAATTGTCAGTTAATGCTCGATATCAAATTCACCAATGACAAATTGATTCTTTTACGGATTTACTCTGAACTTCTTGATGTTAAAAATGATCTCGATTTCTGGAGATCAAAACTGATTTGGGGAGTTTGGCTTCTGGATTGGTTTGAATTTGGTGTTCAAACTAATGTTTTTAAAGATTTCAAAATCATTGTTATCACTATGTCACTCGATATTGTCAACCAATTTATCGATTATTCAAATAAATTAAATAATCCACATTATAAACTCTATGGGATTAGTGTTCATTTCATTTCAACTTGGACTCAATATTTTAGAGACATTATGGTCTCAGTTTTACTTGAGAAGGACGTTAAATTGTTTCTATGGACTATTAACAATAAGATCGACTTCAAATATATTGTTGGCCTGCCTGTATATGGCACCGTGACAGATAATATCATAACTACTAAAAAATATATTATTGAAGTTTATAAAGAGCATGATTCTCTACAAAGAAAACCTGAGCAAGATGACGTAAATAGATCATTGTTAGGAAAATATTATACTCCTGTATGGAATTCATGGGAAGGAGTCAGATTTTATACTTATACTAAAATATACAGATTTGTTGCTGTTTTAGCATGTTCGGAATGGGTTGATAAGGAAATATTAGGGATATCCTTTGCTTGCTTGCTATTTAAATTACTAAAATTGATTCATTTCTTTTAATGATGTTATGACTAAATTATTATAAGAAATCACATATTACTCTTATTCATATATATATATATATATAATCTTAGTGTTGATTTGAACTATAATATAATAAGCATATTATTGAGATAAATATATCTGACCTGGTTAGTATAAACAATGTATGCATTATTATAATAAGATACTCTGTTATGTAACTAGTGAGTTTCTTGACTTTTGAGAGATCCTTGTTGTTCCTTCAGTAATTTCTTTTTCAATTTTTCTTCCTTTCTAATGACCCGTTCGTTACCAGGTGCAAACCCACCGTTACCATACAATGCCCATTCAGGAGTCTTCTCTAAGTAATCCATATACGTGAAATCATCACTTTTCTTTAATAACTCAAAAAATTTATCAAATGCAATATGTGTATGCCATTCACCATTAATCTTAAATCTGCTATTGGCAATCAGAATGCAATTAGAATGTGCGTGTTCCGCAGCTAGTTCATATGGTAATCTACGTCTCTGCAATTCAGCCACAAAATCTTCTACAAATTTTTTACATTCTTCATTATATGGAATATTTTGCATGGTCAAACTATTAACATCATTTTTGGATGCACCACTGAATGTAGCGCCTTTCACTTCAATGAAACATGGTAATCCACGCTCTACTAAATCAGAGTAGGAGCTTATATCACCCATATTAAAACCTTTCACCAAAGTTAATCTGAAAACAGTTCTTTGATGAGATTGAACAGTCTTGATAATATCTAAACATTCGATCATCCTTTCCCAGAAGTCTTTATACAATGGTCTATCTACTTTTTTTAATTCTTGTTTAGTTGGTGCATCGATAGATACATATAATTGGGTCACTTTACCTATGTTTCTTAGTGCCTCTGGGTGTTGTGCATTACAAACAAGGAACGAAGAAATTTCCTTTTCATGTAATAGCTCAATAAATTTGTTAATATGTGGGTAAAGGATTGGTTCACCAACAAGAGACAAAGCACAATGTGCTACTTTAAAAGCATTAGCAAATCTATCGGCCATGACTCCAGGAACACCCCTCATTTGTTTAATCATAGAATAATGTGCATTTAATGCACTCTCCAGTATATCTTCTGGTTCATCTATTTCCCATCTCCAATTCTTGGAAACTGGGTTAGTTCCATGTCTCCAACAAAAGACACATTTGGAAGAGCAGGCTAAGGAGGGTGTCAATTCCATACATCTGCTTGACGAAATATTGAAAAGAGACTTCTTATAGCAGGAACCTCTACCTCTCAATTCATTCTTGGTCCATCTACAAATTTTGACACCAGAATGAGATCCAATAATTTTATAACCTTGTTTTGTTAAATTTTTATACGTTGGACTATTCTTTGCAACCATTTGTTTAATCTCATAACTATTCTTTGAGCATTTATTTGAATCGGAACCTGCAAGATCTTCTACATCGGCCAATTGCTCATTGTCATTATTATCACTATTTGACTCTCCATCAGGGGACTCATCATATGCATCTGAAACTGTCTCATCATATTCGTACAATATTGGTTCGTCTTCTTTTAACATTTCACCAAATAAATTTGCCCAACTTTTAATTTCTTCATTACCGCTTGTCTTCATACATATTTTACCAACAGGAAAAACTCTTCTGCCACCTAATTTGGCTACGAATTGGTCTACCTTCTTGGCTTGATAACAGAATTTTTCTGGCCATGATTCAGAATCACCTAATCCCAATACTGTGTAACCAACTAACTTACGTAATGGGTAGGCATCTAATCTTTGATCATAAAAGTTCTCCTCTAATGTTTGTAAGAAATAATCTAATGGACAATCCACATCATAGGATGGCAAAACTATCACATATAAAGAATTTTCAGTTGGAACGTCTACAAAATAATCATCAATATTATCTAACTCATCCAAATTCATTAGGATTGGTTTTTTTTCTAATTCTGTGACTTTCATTAGTTCATTTTCAACAATTCGAGCAGCCTTTTCAGTAGCACCTTGTAAAGAACTATAAAAAATGTAAATATCCGACTTCAATAATTTTTCATTGGAAACAGTTAATGCACTTTTAATTAATCTATCAGACTTTTCAGTTGGCGATTTTTTTTTCTTTTCTGCACTAAAACGTTTTGGTATTCTTTTTGGTACTATCTTTGGTAATTTTTTTAACGGTTTGTGAGAATTCTCTGCTGTATTGAAAGCACCTGTGAAATCAACGGCCAATTCATCCACATCCTTTGGATTCTGTTGTGTGGAATTAGTATTAGAGTGGTTTTCATCATTCTTCTCAGAGCGTGCACAACTATCACTATGTGTATGGTTGTGGCCATGTTTAAGGCCTCCACAACCACCTTTACCACCACAACAACCTTTTTTTTTAGTATCAGATTTCGATTTACCACCGCATCCACCACCATTTTTACCACACATACATACATGTTTCTTCTTCTCTGTCTTTAATGGCTCTTGTGCTGGTTTTATCTTATTATCAGCATTTTCAAGTTTCTTATTTTCAGTGTAAAGAATCCCATAACTGAAAAATAATACCAAGGCAATAGAAAATCTACCACCAAAATACAAATAGATGCCAATGAAACCTATCACTGTAGCAGTAGTTTGATTGTTGAAGGTCATTGTGTTCCGTTTGATAATAAGTAAATGTTGTAACCCAGTCAAAAGTATACAGAAATATGTATAGAAGACTCCGATATGTCGTCAAAAGTTTAAGAACAATCAATATGATTTTCTTTGCCTAACACAAGCACTGTCCAGGATTATTTAGTCGAGAATATTGTATGACCTGTGTTGTTACAATTAATGAATTTTTCTACCTTGACTAAACTCCCATCGTCTTAAGTCATTAATAGAAAAAAGAAATGACTGGTAATAGTTTTTTTCTTTATTTCATAACAGAGCATCGCTTTTAGTCGTTTCTTTTTCCTGTTATTTTATTTTGTGTGGTTAAAACTCTCGAGAGAAAAAAAGAATCCGCCGATGAGAGAGAGCATTATTGAAATAATGGATGGGACTTACTATTATATATACATACATACATATATATATATATATAATTGTTTTGTTCATCCTTCTTTGTGCTTCTAGTTAACCCTACAAAATGTCTTGTGACGGTTGGTGTTGGATACCTCTTATTTATTGGAAGTCACAAGGATGGTCTCTTGAAGCTTACTCGATCTTGTGAAACTGTTATCTCTAACATAATTAAGAGCAACATGGATATTTTCAATTTTGATTTTATTTTGCTTGTCTTTTTGTGGGAAATATGTGTTGTAGAAGGAAACTGTATCTTCATTGATCGTAAACTTTTTTTCATTATTAGAGTGTCTTGCAATATATGACTCTAGATCTGATTGAACTGATTTGTATTTTTCAATAAATGAGTGGTTTTGTATCTTGATAGCAATCCATAGGACGAAAAGGTCAAATGTGGAATCAAAGGAAATGTCGTCGCTAGTATTATCAGCAAAGCATGCCGGTAACTCAGTTTCAACAAAACCTGTATCATATTTCAATATTTTATCCATAGTCAATAATTGTGGCTTAAATTCTTTTAACCATTGTTTTTCCCAATTTTTCAATACATTTATAGAATGTTTCAGTATCTTTATTTGAGACTCTCTATATATTTTTGAACAATAGCTTCTATACTCATCAATTTCATATTGTAAATATTCATGGTCGGGTACTTTATACTTTAAAATGTGTAATTTATTTTGAAGAGCATTTCTCAACCCTTGTAATCCATCTAATCTTGCTCTAATTGAAAAAGATACTATTTCAGAATCATGCTTAGATAAAAATGTGAATACTTGTAATAGAGATGTCAACGATGTGTCATTACTTGTATTTAATAGATATGTGATTCCATCTTTGTAATTTTCTGCTGTTCGAGTTTTATCATCTGCCAGGTTACTCTTTTGATCAACTTCAAATGCATATGTTGTATAATCATCAATAGTTGGTAAAGATATTGATGGTTCATTTTTCAAAATGTTCTCAATCACAGGTAACGGTAATTTAATCTTTAAAGTCACTGAGTCGCATATATTGTCTTCCAATACAAACCCATATCCGTTAAGTAGTTCCTCGTTACCCTTTGGACCATAATTATTGAACAGTTCATCGCCTTGTTCTATATTATCATTTAGCAAAGTTAAAATAAACGAACGATTATTGTTTGTGGACCATTCAACTCTTGAAGTATAATCATGATTCAATAAGTCGATAATAGGTAGTAGCATAATCGAGTACTCATCACAATTTTTAGGATTGATAAGATATTCAGGAAATGCTCTTGATGTAAAAATAAGATGAGACCATAAATATGCTGAAAATGAACACCAATGGGTTGGAGTGGAATTAACTGTCTTTAAAATGATTTCATCATATATTTGTTGCATAGATAATTCGTCCCATTGGTTAAACAATTCCAAATCATTTCCAATGTTCAATTTAAAAGATTGTAAAAAAATATTGTTTTTAATTAAATTATGCCACTGCTCGAAGATTGCATATAATCTTTCTCTGATAGAGTTACCTAAATTTGTATTTTTTAAAAGATTAATTTCTCGAGGATTCCATATTAATGGGGAGTCTGGTACTGTAGGCAAAACGTTTATATATGGAGCAAATTTTTTCTGTAAATCAAGGGTATTATTGTCAATCAGTGTAGGATTACTATCATATTTTAATTTAGCTAATAGAAACTTCAGTAATCCATTATTTTTGGTTCCAAATACCTTCTCTGCCAGCTCACCAATGATCAATGCATTCAATGGGGCAATGAATCTAGGGGTTTGTAAATCTTGTGGATTGGAATATATACAAGTAAATCCCTTCTTTTCGTCCTTGATAAATTCTATTCCCTTAGGTAACTGAATGCCATTCTCTTGACCCCATCTTAATAATTCTTCCATTGTAATAAGCAAGTTTTTTCTGTTGCAAACCCTTTTATGTATATAACATCAGCAGGTTAGAAATGTATATTATCAACAACAAGTGCTAATAAATACTATATATTTGCAGTCACTGGTTTACATCATTTTAGCCAATCTAACTTTATAACATTTTAATCTCTTTTAAGACACATCACTTCTTCAAACTGTTTGTATCTTTGCGATTCTTTTTTTTTTCTCTTTTTAGTTTGGGAAATTACGATCTTGTTGAAATCTGTATTTATTACATTGACAGACCTTCTTACAGTGATGAAGATATAATAAAACATGTGGCTATTAGAAGTGAGAGGAGATTAAGGTCAGAAAGAGGTATGCAAACAAGTTGAGATAAGTGATACTTTCTGGTTTACAGGAATATATCGTAGTTGTAGCCGTGGTTGGTTGTGCTTTTGCTATTTTGTTGGATTTCTTCTGTGAGAATACTATGTCTTTTACTAATAGAACTGTGTCAAGTTATCGATTGAATAAAAAAGAGACACTGGACCAACATAAAACGGTGCTTTCAATAATTTCAACATCAAATTCTAAAATTAGTCCATCTAAAAGAAGAACTCTGAAGAATACTCTGAGATCAAGAAGATATTCTAAATTATCAGCGTCACCTAAAAAAAATGGTATTACTTCTTCATCTTCGCCGTCTAATTCATTATCTCCTATTAGAAAAGAGGTTGCCTATAATTCCTATAAAGTCTCATCAAAAGATAACTCCCCCATAAAATCAAATCAATATGATAATTCTAACGAGGATTCTAATACCAAAAAATCAAATACTACTGTTATTGCTAGTACAAGTACAAATACAAATTATATAAAATCACCTATACTGAAAATTAAACCATTAAGTAAGCAGGATTTTGAAATTGGTCTTAAATTAGGCAAGGGAAAATTTGGTAATGTGTATTGTGTTAGGCATATACAGAGTGGATTTATCTGTGCTTTAAAAGCGATGAAAAAAATTGACATTATTCATTATAGATTGGAAAGACAGTTTATTAGAGAGGTTGAAATACAAGCATCACTGAACCATCCAAACATTGCTAAGTTGTACGGATATTTTTATGATGAGAAAAGAGTTTACATGCTAATAGAATATATGCCATACGGTGAGTTATATAAACTACTAGAAAAACATGGCCCATTTAATGATATTATGGTATCATCATTTATTTATCAAATTGCAGATGCATTGGAATACTTACATCAAAGAAGAATTATTCATAGAGATATAAAACCTGAGAATATTTTAATTGGTCCAAATAACCAAGTCAAGTTGACAGATTTTGGTTGGAGTATTATTAATCCATATGGAACTAGACGTAAAACTCTGTGTGGTACCATTGACTATTTGTCGCCTGAATTGATTACATCGAAGGAATATGATCAAACAGTAGATATATGGGCATTGGGTGTCTTAATGTATGAATTGCTCGTAGGCTCACCACCATTTGAGGAGAATACAAAAGAGATGACATATAAGCGTATTATGAAAGTTGATATAAATTTTCCAGCAACAATGTCCCTGGATGCACAGAATTTAATTAAACGTATACTATCTACTGAACCAAGAAACAGATTATCTTTGAGAGATATTAAACGACACCCATGGATTCTTAGAAATAAAGAATTTTGGTAGTATATACTACACTGCTAGACAAGATCGATACTATTTTCTCATTTATGAAGATCTGTGCATATATGTTAGAAAACAAGAATGAAAAGAGAGAGAGTAGAGATATGGTTGGATTTATTCTTTTTTTTCTAATCACATTTTTGATAAGATCATATTCTATTATTGTTTACTATTTGTTTCTCTTTACTTGTTTTTATGTTTATAGCTATTACTAGACTATTATAAATAATAATATTCATAAATATATATATGTGTGTGTGTATGTGTGTATGTATATGTTTTTAAGTTGTATGAAAAGTTGGGCCTGTTATAGACTTTCATATTGACTATCCCCTGATGCACAGTATTTTATATCCTTTATAGAAGAAAGAAATCATAGACTTGGTTTATATATATAGGTTTTTCTTTGATAGATAACTCAGAATAGTCAATCATTTTTAATTTTTATCAAGTATGCAAATATTTGGTCTTTTACTGTCATCTGATTTTAAGCTATTAGTTTTATTATTGCAATACAGACAGTAAATTAAACAGTTATATAGATATAAAAATAACAAATCTATCAAGTTGGAAATATGACACCCACAATTGGTCATTTACTTGAAGGATCATTATATTCATGTATGTGTTGATGTCGTTATGTTTGTATTCCGTTTCTCAAGTATAAATGCCGCTACGGTTTTGTAAATTTTATTAGGCTCTAAACAAACGGAATTAATTCCGTAGTAATTTCTTAAAAATTTTTCATTTTTAAGCTTTTCGGCTCTTTTTTCCTGCCAAAGTTGTTTACTAAATTTTTTTTTTAGTAGGGAAGAAATAGAAGAAGAAAAGAAAAAAATATAGAAAGCATTATTTTGGATAATGTTAGATAAAACAGTATTTCTTTGCAAGAGTTCAATATCATTTTTATTCTTTTTTAGTTGTTAATTTGGATAATTGGCCAATTGGGACAGGAAGAATTGTTAGTGGTTGCAGATTACGATAAAAAAATATATATATAATGGCACCTCCAACTTTGTCTTCTCTTTTGAAACAGTTAGATGTTCACTCAAGTCAAAATGAACATGTTGACGTCGAAACTACTTGTATTGCGTTGTTAGATGGAGGTTGTACTAATAAAACTCAGGTATTAAAAAACTTGTTGGTTTCCTTAATTAAACAAGATAAATATCAAAGGGCATTTAACCAATTGAATAAGTATAAAGATGATAAGGTAGATTTAAATGAAATGATCATGGAAATTGGTTACATTTACTATAAGATTAATAGATTTGAGGATTTTGAGAGGTTGGGAATATACGAAAGGGTTAAAGATAATGTTAATAAGGACTCATTAGAGAGGGGGTTAAGTCATTTATATGCCCAATATGCTTTAAAAAATTCGAATACAAATTCAAGAGCATATGAGTTGTATAGAAGTTTAATAAAGACTAATAACTCTGGAGGTTTGGATAATCCAATTGAGTTGGCTTGTAATGAAAGAGTTCCATTGGCATCCAATCCACATCTACAAGAAAAACTTCCATTGGTATCTGAATCTAATCCAGACTCATATGATTTATTATTCAACGATTCTATGATTTTAACTTCAAGGGGTCAATATTTGGATGCTATTGAATTATTAGAAAAAAGTTTACAAATGGCAATTGAGGAAGATTATGAAAATGACATCTTTGCTATTCAATTACAATTGTCATATGTTTATCAATTGTTAGGTGAAAATGGTAAGTGTAAGGAGATTTTAAAACCTTTAATAAATAGAATATCAGCAGATAATCCACTATATTTAATTGCAAAGATTAATTATATGGCATTGCGGGATTTATCTAAATATGAAGATAATTTTAATTTGATTCTAAGAGAGTTAAATTTTGAAAGAATTCATTCATTAGTTTCTAAATATTTTACATACCCACAAAACGTTTTATTGAAAAGAAACTACCAGATGTTGAAGTTATACAGTAAATCAACCAGTAAACCAAATAGTAATTCTTTTAATTATGTGAATGTTTCTAAGTTGTATGGTGCTATTATTGATGATATCATATATGAACCTTTCAGAACTCAAGCTAAAATATTGTACCATAAATGTCTTGAAAAGAAAAACGAATTCTACACAAATTCTTTAGTCTTTGGTTTATTAATCTTAACTATACAGATGTTATACAAGGAAAAGCAGTATGAGAATGCAATTAGATTATGTGAAATATATTTATCACAAGATAAATTTTTGACAAATAATCGTTTATCCATCTTTATCTATTATATAATTTTCCAATTATATGACATCACGGATAAGGACTATATGAAGGAGCAATTATTAAATAAATTAATGGATAATTGCAAATTGACAGATTATAATTTATGGAGATATATTGGTTTCCAATACTTAAACTTAGACCAAATCGGCAAAGCCAAAAAAATTTTCTTAGAAAAGATGGAGAATAACGAGAATGATGCTTTGATACAATCTGTAATCAATGAAGAACAATTTGATATAGACAAAGCAGCTTCGTTAGTCTCTGATGTCGATGTTGGAAGGTTAATTCAGTTGAACATTAAGCCATTCGAATCAATTGTAGATAAAAGCAAAAGTAATTTAAATAAACATAATAAGATTCTTAAACATAAATTGAAGACAAAAAAAGAGAAAAGAAAGGCACAAAAACTTAAAAAATTCCTAGCTAAACGTAGTGATTCAATTAATTTGAATAATAAACCAGATCCAGAGAGATGGTTACCATTAAGAGATAGATCAACATATAAACCCAAGAAAAAACAGTTATCCAAACAGACACAGGGTGGTACAATGAATAAGAAATCGGAACAAACGTTTGATATTACAAAGAAAGGTACCAATAATAATAAGAAGAAGAGCAAAAGTAAGGGGAAGAGCAAAGGTAAAGGCAAAAAATGAGAGCTTATATTGAAGAGTGTTACTTTTTCTGATTATGATAATTTTCTGGACATTTTCATTGAACTACATATATATATATATATATATTAATTTTACCTTCCTCTTTTTTTGGGGTTTTATTAAGAAATGTTAATGTATATTATTTATATGTATGGATTTGTGGATGTGTGTATTTATATAGTACAGTAAAATATAACATAACGTAATATAGAAGTAGACACAGAAATAGAAATATATCTATGTATTTAGATATGGGAAGTATGTGAAAAAGAGATAGAAAAAAATTTCAAGTGAAAAGTGTATCTTCATCTCTTAAATATTCACCTATATCAGCTTGTCTAAAGGCAACAATCGCAGTTGGTTGTAAATTTTTTGATTCAGATGTACTCTTGGCAGATACACCAAAACCTAATGGGATATCATGCATAGAAAAGATTATAACACCAGCGTGTTCTGGGATATCATCAGACATTTTACCAATATGAGCTTTAAGTACATGATTACCATAAAGGAAAGGCATTTCACCATTTGGTTTGATCCATATTTTATATTTAGCATGTTGAGCTAAGATAGATAAAGAAGTTATATGTAATCTAAATTTACCAGTCTTTGTAAATTTTCCTAAACATATCCCAAGTGACATTAAGTTTGATCTTGCAACACTAGTAGCTAATCTTGCTACATTTTCCGGCACATAATATACTCTATCCTTTTGTAATCTAAAAACATGTGGGTTTTCTTTGTTGTCTACCAGATTTGAAATGTTTCTACCTATATAACCTGCCAATTTTTCAAAGACTACTCTTGTTTCATCTTCAGTAAGTTGTCTCATTATTATTATTTTTGTTCTTCTTGCTACTGTCCGTTAATGTGAGTGTTTATCCCGTATGCTGTTTGGTATTGTTATAAGCTTAAAAAGGAAAAGAAAGTAAAATCAGATAATGATTGGTAATCAGATTCAGTACATTAGTATATTATTGCAAGGGTCATATTCTATTCGATACTCTAACCTCATCGCAAAACTTCTTTTACTCTTCCAATTTTTCACCTCTACTTGTATTTCTTGCAAGTTAAAATAAAAAAAAGAAGAAATTTCAAAGTTGACATTGACTCGTTGATAGTGATCTGGTACAAGCCAGTATTATATGAAATAAATTAATGTTATTAACAATAATGTCCTACAGACAAGGCTATATAATATTTGAAATACATGTGTATATAGTAGGAGATCATCTATGTTAATCACATAATCTGATTCACAGTAATATGTTCTTATTATATATTTTGTACAATGTTTTTTTTGTTTAGTTGCTAAATAGAGAAAGAGAAACTGTTACTGTCTCTTTATCCCTAACATACTTTCTTAAATGCGTAAACTTTTGCGTAATAGACTTGTATCATTATCTAGTGAATGCATAATTATAGGTTGATGTTCCTATACTTCCGTTTGCTCACCTATTCACTCTTTAAAAAGGGCTGGTTCTCCATATAACTTTAAATAAAAGAAAGAATGTGACACTTTTATAGTATCTGGATGTGTGTATTTTATGTGTAATTTTTTTTTTCGCGGATTATCTAAAGGAAGAAGGTGAAAAAAAAATATAGATAAGAAAAATTTTCTCGAAAAAAAAAAGAAATAAATAAACTTTTATAAACCTCATCTCATCTCATCTCAACTCGTATTCTCTTTGTATTTAAATTGTACTCATACAGTGCATGCACTACGGAAATATTGGTTTTCTGTATAGTGAACAGGAAACAGTGGGATAAATCTACATTTGCAGTCACTAGAAGATGTCTTCTGAAAATTTGGCACTTATGCCATCATACGATGACGAACAAGATGAAAATGCTTTAAAAAGAGGCGCCATCAGTAAATTGACAAAGGCAAGGAAGGCAGATTTTGATGAAGATAAAAACACACAAAATAAGGTCAGTGGCAAAGAGGATAATCAAGAGCCAGAAAAGAAAAAACAAAGAGTGGGTAGACCTTCACAGTTGGATGAAAATGGTAACCCAATTCCAAAACCTAAGAGATTGCCAAAACGTAAAGTAGCTGTTATGGTTGGTTACTGTGGTACAGGTTATTGTGGTATGCAATATAACCCACCAAATCCAACCATTGAAGGAGCCCTTTTTAAAGCTTTTGCTGAAGCAGGTGCAATCTCTGAAGATAATGCAAAGGACTTGAAAAAGAATGGATTTATGAGAGCTGCTAGAACTGATAAAGGTGTTCATGCAGGTGGTAATCTGATCTCTGTTAAATTAATTATTGAAGATCCAGATATTAAAGAAAAAATTAATCAGCATTTACCTGAAGGTATTAGAGTATGGGATATTAGCAGAGTCAATAAAGCTTTTGATTGTAGAAAGATGTGTAGTTCTCGTTGGTATGAATATCTGCTACCAACTTATTCATTGATCGGGCCAAAACCAAATTCTATTTTATACAACGATTTAGAAAAAAGTAAAAAAGAGTATCCTGGTGTATTGGATGATGATATGGAATCAGTTGAGTTTTGGCAAAAATTTAACGAGAAATGTAATGAAACATTTTCAAAAGAAGATTTAGAACAGATTAAAAATTACGTTCCACCTCCAAAGGATCAGTTTGATGGAGAAAGTGAAATTTACTTAAAAGTTAGACAATACAAAGCTTTAGAAAATTCTTTACGTAGACAATACCGTATATCAAAGGAAAAATTGAATAAATTTCGTTCTTCTATGAAACAGTATGTCAATGCTCACAATTTTCACAATTTCACACAAGGTAAGGATTTTAAGGACTCAAGTGCAATTAGATACATGAAACAAATTAAAGTCTCTGAACCATTTGTTATTGGTGATGCAAAGACTGAATGGGTCTCTATCAAGATTCATGGGCAATCATTTATGTTACATCAAATCCGTAAAATGATTTCAATGGCTACCATGGTTACTCGTTGCGGTACTCCGGCGGAACGTATTGCACAAGCCTATGGTCCGCAGAAAATTAATATTCCAAAGGCACCAGCACTGGGATTACTATTGGAAGCTCCTGTTTATGATGGTTATAATTCTCGTTTACAACAATTCGGTTATGATCCAATTGATTTTAGTAAACATCAAGAAGAGATCGACGCCTTTAAAATGAAGCATATTTATGATAAAATTTATAAAGAAGAAGTTGATGATAATGTATTTAATGCATTTTACACTTATATTGATTCTTTCACCAGAGTTACTGGTGCTAATGGGGAGGAGAGTGAAACTAAAAAGGGTACTAATGTTCAGAAAAGTATTTTTGAATTTTTAACAGCTAGAGGTATCCCAGGTATTGATAAAGATGGCAAGCTAATCACTAAGAACAAGCAAGAAACAAGAAATGAAAATGAAACTAAAGAAGAGACTAAAGTAGAAATTAAAGAAGAAACTAAAGATGCAAATGAACACACTGAATTCATTGATAAGGAAGTAAAATCATAAATAATTATAACTAACATATTACTACTTTTTCTCATGTAATTATTTATTTTTTTATTTTGTATTTATAAAGAATGTATATTATATTGATATTTTGCATAAAAGGATTTATCCTATATTTTTGTATAATGATAATTGTATCCACTAGAAACGTTGAGAAATAAATGTACTAACTTCAACCAACTACTAGTAGAATTAATATCTTTTTGTAAAAAGTTGTAATTTGAATATTATGGAATACATAATCTTTACTATCATGTAATGTAAAGATAAACGATTTGTAACAAGCAAAGTGTTGGATTCCAAGCTTTGGGTATGTTCAAATGATTGGTTAACTAATGTTTGTGTCATATTAAAGAAAAACTCAATCAAGTGACTTGCAATTATTGGGAAAATTCTAAAACAGGTTACCATATGGGTTATATTAATTTGGTCTTAAATAAGCCAGCAAGAATAAAAAAAAGTTGTATAGTTGCATAATAGATAAGGGCCAAATACTGTGTACGTTATGAGTGTATAATTTGAAACTATTGTTAATATATATATTGCCTGTATTTTGGAACTTTTCATTGTCAAAAAATTTTCCAAAATAATTGAAAAGACTTCCAAAACATAAAATGAAGAAAAAAAATTAAAGAGTGTCTCTGTAAGGGTTATCTCAAGTGATATACTAAAATATGGATATTAATTATATATATAAACAGTTACTGTTAAAATAGAATGTTCTATAATGAAATAGATAGAACAATAAGATTTTAGCAGACGCTAAACGATAAATTGTTGAGTAATAATCATTGAGAGATTACCAAAAGTTGTTGAGTCTGTTTATTAAATATCTTACTGTTTGTAGAGAAAAATGGCTTAATGTTAACATATATAAAGCCAAAGATTTCATCATACATTATTTTTATCTTATTTACAATCTTTGTGTATTATTATTTCAATGTTGTATATAGAGAAAGAAAGTGAAGAATTTTATTATAATTTTGTATCCTAAATCTGTTTAATACAATATTGAGAATGTTTACTATATATCCAATGAATACAGGCGCTCATTCTCAACACTTCCAAATTATATAATTGGTTGGTTTTAACTATTAAATAGATTAGTCTTGGATAGTCGTCTTGTTCTTCTTAACCTATTAAATAGATTATGAATATTAATGCTGATAATTACCTCTGGCACTATCTCTCAATAATCAAGGGTTTTTTAAGTAAGCTTCTTAATAATTTGCCACCAATGCCCATCCGACGATCATATGTTCGTTCAAATACACTCACAACCTTGGGCCCAGAGTTTCGGTTATTCCAAGTCCTTCACCTCGATATTAGGGGTTACCCGCAGACTACGTATTTCAGGATTTCCAGTTAGGGCTCCTTACAGTTTCAAAACAAAACTCAATAAATATCAAAGTCAAATCCTACACATAACTTATTAAAATTGTCTTCATTTTAAATTTTTTTTTATCATACTACTTTGATTTTTGTTCTTTTTATACTATCTGGTACTAAAATTGTATTTTTATAATTTAATTTAAATTGTAAGTTTTGAGAATTAGCGCCTGTAGTAATTGGATAAATAGTATACATTCTCAGTGTTATATATATATATTATACAAAATTATGATTAAGTTTTTCGACTTTTTATTTATATATAATATGCAAGGATGATTATAAAAGATGAGCAAGGAAAGCAACATGATTTTAAAAAAATGCTGGTTTTATATATTTTCATATTTGGTCTATCTTGTCTACGTATAGCACCAAATTGTTGACAAGGCTTGTTTACATCTACTGATAAGCAAACATTACATTCTCCACATTTTACTATCACTTAATGTTTACTAAAATCTAATTGGCCTATTATTTATTCTAGAACGTTCGATTTCAGCAATAATATATACTTACCTCGGAGTAAAAAAAAAAGAATAACATGTTCAAATATATTTATCCTCGATAAAATAATATTTATTTCAATTTTTCTTACAGAATATATATTTAAACACTAACACTTGTTAATACAGACCTTTCAAAAATTAATCTCTAAAATTAATCTTAATTTATTTTAAATAAGTTAAACAAATAATACTATTTTACAATACCTGTGAACAAAGCGTGATCTAGCTTAATTTGAATAACATACTCACCTATGTACAACTATATATACATAAAAAAAATCATAACAGTAAATATTATCAAAAATATGAAGGAAAAAAATGATGCTTATACAGAAGTTTTAACTTATATTGCATTAATATTAGATTCACATTTTTCTAACTTTTCTGTCCAAAATATCAACAATTGCTTTTCTATTTCTTTAAACGATAAGAAACAAGAATAATTTCGTATGTATAATTCCTAAAAAAATATTTTCCATGAACTCATTATATTTGTAAATCTCATCACCACTTTATTTTATATAAGAACAGTAATCGCTGGTAACAATGGTAGAACCATATTTTAAAAAACAAACATGATATTAATAATCAAGATCCAGATAGTAATTTTTCTAATTTCATGATTTCATCTAAAGATTTTGCATTAGACAATTGCTGTTTTAGCTCCTTCTTTCTCTGTTCAGACATCTTCCCTACTACAAAATTCATCAATTCAATATTTTTATCCTTTCTTTCTCTATTCTTAGGAACAGAAACTTTTTGTAATTGATCTTTAACCATATCACTACGGTTTTCAATCTTTGAATTAGCCAACCTCCTTTCTTCTTTTGTCACATTTTGGAAATCCAATACTTGTAATTTTGGAATATATCTTATAACATGTATCCTGAAGTCTTGCAAATGACAAATCGGATTACCACGTAGAGATAAATTTGTCAATGTTTTAGGAGCATAATGTAATCCTTTTAATTGTGAAATTGATGATATGTTATTATTTGCCAACACCAAATTTCTTAAATGTCTTGGCAATCCTTTCCCATTAACATATTTAATATCATTTCTACCAAGTAGTAAGGTATGAATATCTGTACGATTTCTCAAATTGGGTAATTCTTTTAATTCGTTGTTTGTAAGGTCCAAAATGTTTGTTGGTTTTGATAAATGTTTCAAACTAACTGGCATCGACTCAGAGTCACTTTCCAATTGTTTATCTCTCAAAATGATACATTTATCTGTGTTTTTGCCACCACTGCAATGATCCACATAGTAGCCAGGTGCATCAATAACAACACTTGGCGTAAACTTCATGTTGCATCGACTATCTTTGAATATATATACTTCAATTTTCTTGATAAAAATAACAAATAAATTCTAATGTTCTAACTCTTTAAGTTGGATTGACTTAATCAATGATGATAGCAAATATTGTATTGACAATACACGTATTACCCTCTCTTATTGTTTGAACAAATTCTGATAGTTTCCAAAAATTCAAGCTAGTCTGACTTGATTCATAATAATTTTTCACCTCATTGATTTTTTCAATAATTATAGTAATTTTTCTTTTTCAAAAGGAGAAACTCTTAGAGCCTCAAAACTATTTTTATTTCATTTGTTCAGTTCAAATCGTCAAATATAAGAATGACTACTATTAGATGTAGCATTAAAAGTTTCTGACTCTTTGACCGCAGCTGTACCAACTGGACTATTTATTCTCTTTATGTGAAGTAAGCTTTTGAAAAGACTTTACTTTTGTCACACAGAGCAGTTTTACCGAAAGAAGTGATAAAATATATACATAGGAATATCAAATATATACTTACTTATATGAAAAAACAGAAAAAAACAAAATGATTATTCCAAAACAAGATGTAAATTATTCACTTTATTTGGTTACTGATTCTGCTATGCTTCCACCAGGAAAGACTTTATATGATCAAGTTAAAGCCGGGTTAGAGAATGGTGTGTCCTTAGTGCAAATCCGTGAAAAAAACACTGACACTAAGAATTTCGTGGAAGAAGGTCTACAAATCAAAAAATTATGTCATCAGTTTAAAGTTCCTTTAATTATTAATGATCGTGTTGATGTGGCTATGGCAATTGATGCAGATGGTATCCATGTGGGACAAGATGATATGCCTGTCCCCATGGTAAGAAAGCTTTTAGGTCCTGACAAGATCTTAGGTTGGAGTGTTGACTTTTCTCATGAGGTGGAACAATTGGCTAAATGGGGTCCAGATATGATTGATTATATTGGTATTGGAACTATTTTCCCAACTGCCACAAAGAAAAATCTAAAGAAAGCTCCTATGGGCCCACAAGGTTGTTCTAAAATTATAACTGCTTTAGAGGATAGTGGTGCCACTTGGTGCAAGACTGTAGCTATTGGAGGGTTACATCCTGATTGTATTGAAAGAGTCATTTATCAGTGTAATGCATCCAATGGTAAAAGATCCCTAGATGGTATCTCATTAGTATCTGATATTATGGCATCACCTGATGCTGCCACCTCTACAGTAATTTTACGTAAAATAATCGATGGTACCCAATTCAAATTTGTCAACTTTCAACTATCCCCATCTAATGTTACTGCTGCTGATGTCAAAAAAGTAATTTCACAAGTCAAACAAACTCGTCCATTAGTTCAGCATATGACTAATAAAGTTCATCAAAACTTCGGTGCCAATGTAACTCTAGCTCTAGGATCATCTCCAATTATGTCTGATGTAGAATCTGAAGTTAGGGATTTGGCTCAAATTCCCAATGCGTCGTTGTTAATAAATACTGGATCTATAGCACCAGTGACTACTTTAACAACTGCTATTAAAGCTTACAACGAATTTAAAAGGCCAATTGTGTTGGATCCAGTAGGATATTCTGCAACTGAAACCAGGCTAATATTAAATGATACTCTATTAACATATAGTCAGTTTATATGTATCAAAGGAAATTCTAGTGAAATTCTTGCTCTTTCTGGTCTAACTTCCAGTAAAATGAAAGGGGTTGATGCTACAAGCACTGAAGCTGTTACAAAAGAATTGTTAGCCTTAGCGACTCAAACGGTGGCTTATAAATATAGGACATATGTCGTATGTACGGGTGAGACTGATTTCATTGCTGATGGTACTTTATCAGGAAAATTAAGTTTATCCACAGGCACTGATGGTATCACAGCCAAAGACCTACCTTGTTATTTAGTTGAAAATGGTCCTATTCCAATTATGGGTGACATTACTGCGAGTGGCTGTTCTTTAGGTTCTACAATCGCTTCGTTACTCGGTGGTTTAAATGAAGATGGTATTGCCATTGACGCAATTGTGGGTGCTGTTCAGTTGTACAAGTCTGCTGGTAAATTAGCATCTACCCGTGCTCGTGGTAGTGGTAGTTTCCATGTGGAATTAATTGACGCTTTATACCAGTTGTTTAATGAAAATAAACCAGAAGAATGGACTGCTAAAGTGAGACGTCTATAAAAATGTAGATAACTATAAACTATTTTAACTAGTAATAATTAAAGAAATAAAAAACAAAGGACAAAAATTATTCTATAATTATATAATGAATAGATATGCATAACCATAAAAAAAATAAAACATTAATTTCAAGAATGATATTAATCTTTATGTAGGAATAAATATAAACATGATAAATAAATAAACAAAAGTTCAAATGACAAAATATACAGGAATCAAAATAAAACAAATATTACCACCCCAACCCAACATAGCCCTAACTTCAAGTATAAGTAAAATCAATTATCCAGTTTACCTATGTATGTTTGAATATATTTAAGTTAATTGGTATATGAAAGATTACTTTTTTCGCTGGGTAACATCAACCCACTCTTTTCAAGCTTTTTATATTTCTCAATAACACTCTTCTTCATCTGTAGTTCTTCATCTGGAGTCAATCTTTTAACCGTTTCTGTTGGCAAAACAAAGTTAAATTTACCTAATGCAAACTCTCTGTCTGACATTCTACTTAGAATATAAAGTTGAGATCTAATATATTTGACAACATCTTCCAAAAGACTAATATCGATATTTTTTCTACCAGCGAACAAGTTTCTCCAAACAGCTGTTGCCAAAGTACTATCATCTGAATAAAACCCTTCATCATATGCCAGTACAGCCCCCTTTAATTGAGTGTCAAAATCTTTCAAGTATTGATCGACAATCCTCCCTGAATGAATATTCATCTCCTCAAACAGCCTTATTTCAATATCCGAAAATGTTCTATCAACCAATTTTTGTTGATAATTCCTACCATATTTAAATGGCATAGCTCTCATTCTAGTGAACAACATCCATTCATGTAAAACAGTGATTTGGAACCATTGTGAAAAAGTCCTTGGCAATCTTAGAGTTTCATAGAAATACTTTGCTGATGGAGACAATTCTTCACCTTCCACTTGGAGCCCTTGTTTTCTACAAATACTATAATAATAGGAACCAGCTACAGGACCTGCCCTAACTTTATCCATATCTAAACGAAATGTACTAATAACAAATTCACCTAATGACTCCTTCCACTTAGGCAATTTATAATCCTTGGATTCATATTTAGAACGTACTAATGGCTCTATTTTTCTCTTTGATTGAGTTTTTTCCTTTGCTTGCAATTGATAGTTGATAATATTACTACTCAATAGTCTGATCTGGTTACATTGATTAACAATTTTTAAACTTTTAAATAGTAGGGTAGAATGCGAATCTAGTTTGTAAAAACAAGAACCAACATCTAAAACTGACTTTAACATTGTAATTTTGTATTGATCCCACTTTTACTTCTATTTTTTTGTTTTTGAATGACAAAACCACAAAAGGGATAAAGCAAAAATAAACAAAAACTTTAATTCCAGCTTTAACCAGACAAACTGTGAACGCTGATAACTTTTTATATGATTATTAGACTAAGAATACGGAACAATTTAGCTATCCTTGTTTATGTAACCTTAATTGTTGCAAAAAACCTTTCGTACAACAGTAGTAATAATAACTTTAAAGAATTAAAACGTTTCTTTTCTCCTCTTTGGTTTATTTTTCATATTTTAAAAATATCTTTATTTTTGTCATCATACGAGCTCAAAAACAGAAGAAAAGTGTCTCAACTTCTGTTCAGTACACTATTCTTAGAAGAAGAAGATGCTAACAACGACAATTAAATAAATTACTGGATTTGTTACTCATAAAATAATCCTTAATATAAGACTCTTCAGGATGACAGTTATTTTAACTAGTTAAATAATATATTGTATCCTTTCAATACTATATCAACCTAAATTTGTTCCTTTCTTGCCGTACATATATAATATATATATCTGTGTACATATTCATTGCTGCATTTAACAAGTATGTTAATGTCACTTCTGTGTTATAACAACTTACTTCACCGTACCATCAATTACAATAAGACTGTTGTTACTGTTTGTATTTGTATTTATATTTGTATTTGCATTTGCACTTTGAATATCTGACACATTTGTCCCACTTTGTACGATATTTTGCATGCCAGATGCTACCTCATTTGTAGTCGTGGTAATTTGTTGAATTTGTTCTTGTTGAATAACAGATTGAACCCCTTGTGACATAGTCTCCAATTGCAAGAATGCATCCATCTTAGTCGGAACCCAATCATTTGATGTAATGTTAGATTTAATTTTTTGTAGTATTTGATTCAATAAATCCTCTACAACAAGTGACTCTACCTGTATTTTGCCATTTATCGCTGTCAATACATCGCTAGAATTCCTCCACTTAGTTAAAGTTTCAATACCTTTAAAATGTTTATAATTTAAAAGATATGTTAGAAGATCCATTTGCTTTCGAAGTTTCTTATTGGCTATCACATTAACGTCTGCTTGTTCCAAATAATTCAGTGTGCTGATACCAATGTAATTTATATTTGTTTTAGTGCCCTGTTCCTCAAAAAATAGTCTTCTTCTATATTCTAATTTTTTTAAACGTTGTAACAACCTCTTGGTAAGTTTTGTATCGTGCACCAAATTTATCTGTTGGGCTAATTTTTCCAAATATTCATGAGATTTAATAATTATCATCTCTTTATTACCCTTGTTATAGTCATTTTCATTTAAGTATCTCAAGTTTTTCAATTCATCTTCATTACATTCATATTTTTGTAGCTCCTTTAAAATTTCCTTTTCTATTATATCAAAAGTATCAATACCAGACACATTATTTTTGATCTCAAAAGAAGTTAAAATTTCGGGTAACAATGAGAGTATTTTGGTATAAAGTTTTGTTTCTCTAAATCCACCTATATTCATATTATATAACATTTTTCTTATTGAAGAAACATCCTTAATAAAGTACCATTCATTAGAATTTAGTAGCAAATTCTCTGGACCCTCAGTGACAATTTTTTGTTGAATATTAGAAAGTTTATAATCACCAACAATTAGGCCTTTCAATGAAAATATTTCCACATGGACCTCATTTTCCACACTATAATAAGTACCTGAAGAATCACGATATACACCAAATACCTCTTTGGTAGCATATGCTTTTCCCTTAGTTTGAGCCAGTTCAATCCATTTATCATATTGTTCTGTTGTGATGTTTAACAAAGACTTTACTCTTTCTGGTAACCCACCTCGTATCCATAATCTGCCACAACAATATAAAGAATCCATATCAACCGATTTTTCAAAAATATTGTCATGCTCTTTTTTGTTTATCCAATAAAACCTATTCCAAAATCTATCAACACCTAAAAATTGCACATTTTCACCCTCATAATTTCTTATCATATAATCTAGACCTTCTATTTCCGAAGTGAATTTTTTCATATTATTTTTAATATTATCAATCTCTATCTCCATAGTCTTAACCAGGTTGGAATCTAAGTTTGTGTTACCTTTAAATATTTCCAATTTAGGTTCCCATTCAGATAATGTTGATAATTCTGCAGTCTGATATTTTACTAGCCTTCCTCTTTCATATCTAATTTCATTGACTAACTTTGGTACACCATTAATCCATTTCTTAATGTCATCTGAATAATTTGCTAGAATATCCGTCAAGACCCAAAGTATATCAACTTTCTCTGAAATAGTCAGTTTTTTACAAAAATTGAAGAAGATATTTTTAGGAACATTACCATCCAACATTTCAGGCACAATTTTTTCAGTAAAATTCATTACAATCCTTGTATACTTTGATATATGCATGCTATCTTGCAAGACTCCCAATAAAATAATCAACCAATAACCATTACGAAACTCTCTTTTCGACAATCTTTCTGCCCAATTAATACCATTATAATTTAAAATGTTCGATAATTTGGAATCTAACGTTAGTTCATTATCATCAATATCATTATTATCGAACCATTCTTCCACAATTTGACATCTCCATTGGCCTTCTTCATCAATGACTAACGATAATAAAGATATAATGATAGTAATATATAATCTCATCCCATTGGTCCCGATAGCTTCCAGTTTTTGATTACTTGCTGGAATATTCGACAAAATCTCATATGTTACATAGTTCTGAACAGACTTATCATTTTTAGAATTGATAAAGTCTCTAATAATATGGTTTCTTACCCATTGACTCCTTTGAACCTGTGGCTTATTCTCTGAGAACTGATTTATCTGAATATTGACTATCTCACCAGACAATTCAAAAGGATCTGTACATTTAATGGAAGTGATCAAATCATCTAAGTTGAAAAGAGTGAGGTGTAACACTTGATGGAAGGCCAGTAAAAAATGATAAACTTCGATTAATTTATTAATTGGATTATTTGTATTAGTTGGTGTAAAGTTATCCTTTAGGGGATTGTTGATTGATGATACAGAAACATTTTCTAGTTGATCGTTGAAATAGAAACAATCATCGAAATAGTTGGTAATACCGACAAAGGGAATAGAAAAATCATCCTTTATGATAATCTGCTCAATTAAACCTTTATCGAGCTGTTGATTTAATTGTATATTTGCATCATGAGTATTATCTAATGATTTTTTCGCCAGTGAAGAAGAAGAGGAAGAGAGTAGGGTCGGAAAAAAAAAAGTTGCTGGTTTATCAAAAGTAAGTATTGGTATACTTGGCTGATTTAATTGATTCCAATTAATTATTTCATTGTAGAGACGAATATTTTTCATTTTTAATGCATTTAATAAATCAGAATTTGAATTGCAAAATAATAATCTGATAAAGGATTCGATTAATGAATCTTCAATATTATTGGTAATATTCGATGTAGAAAGCTCATTAGATTCTGATAATTCATTTTTTCTTTTAATCATTGACCCATCAACAATATACTCTGAGTTACTCTTATTGTCATCACCATGATTATGTGCATTGGATGAAACCTGTTCAATTAAGTATTTATAATATTTAGGCACTAAAACATCGCCAGTAATTGCGTCTTTAAGTTCGTCAAAGGTCTGTTTTTGCTTGATAGAAAAACAATTTGTGTCTTTGTCCAATTCCACAGAATCATTAAGTAACACGACTGTATCTCCGATAGAAAAAGTATCCTGATTACTATTTTTATCATATAACAAATGTTTAACACTTGTTATCAACTGATACAAATTATAAGTTTTTAGTTGATAAACATATTTAGCCAAAGTAGATTGTAACTCACTAGGTATTAGATCAAAGATTTTTTTAAGGTTTTGAATATCAATATTTAAAGCATCAAAAAATGTTAAATTGTGATCGGAGGACAACTCTGCATCGAATTGTTTCCTATTATAGAAATCTAACCTGTTTAAATATAGTGCATATTCTACAAACCGTTCTCCAGTTTCGCTAATTGACCAAATTTGATCATGCGAAATTGAAGAGACAGGGTTTGTGATGGGAATCGAGACTGGTTCACTTTTATATAAGACCATTAATGAATCAATCAATTATTATGAAATGTTCATATACACATATATTGATTGATTGACCGACTGACTGACTGATTGATTGATTGATTTACTGATTAATTAATTAATTAATTAATATCAATAAAGTTGAGATAATTCTGACTCTGATACATAGAACAAGTACAATACACACTCCCTAGTGAAAAACATACACATACAGCTATAAACATACGCAGAGATCTACCCTTCCCATCAAAAACACCACCCAAGATTAAAAACAAACTCTTCATTCTTGTTTATTTTTTTTTTTCACAGCTTTCTCGAACAAAATGAAAACAAATATCTGCGGAAAGTAAAAAATCCGAAACTCTTTTTTGCGGAAAAAAGGCTTTAACAGATTTTAACTGTTTCCGTCGTTTCTCTGAAATGTATATATAAGCACTTGCAGTCTTATATATACATTTATTGTTTGCACATTCAAAATTCTCCTCCTATTTCCTTCTTTTCCACGCAACAACGACGCTTGTCTTATTTACACATGTAAATAGATCTCCTATTTTGGGTATGCGGCTTTAAAAGGATAAACAACAGGCTTGTTGCGGAACTTCTGAAATTTCCGAAACTCTGTTCTTGTGTGATATTTTTTGTTGTTTTTTTTCTTGAATTGAAAAATTTTTTTGATTTGCTTGTAAATGCAATTTTTTGATCTCATCTCATCTCATCTCATCTTATCTTTAAAACTTTCTTTTCTTATGTCCTTAAGATCATATCCCAATAAGTACTCTTTGTTAGCTCAACAATTCTATAGGTTTTCTTGAACCTGTTGTTCTCTTCTCTTTTGCCAAAAAATAGCTTCTGAGATCAAGAAGTTAAAAAAACAGCTTAATAATTAAATAAATAAAGTAATTAATAAATAAAAAAGAAAGACAGAAAGAAATTTATGAGTTAGTACTTCTTCTTCCCCTATATTTATTCCCTAAATTTATTATTTATTTATTTATTTTTATTTTTAAATAGTATATTATTGATACACAACAACATGGAACAGTCGAATAAACCTCATAGAAAGAGTCGAGATAACAAATCCACTGCTAAAAAGAAACTACATACCCAGGGCCACAATGCAAAGGCCTTTGCTGTTTCTGCCCCAGGCAAGATGGCAAGACAAATGCAAAGATCAAGTGACAAAAATGAAAAGAAATTGCACGTTCCAATGGTGGATCGTACACCAGATGATGATCCCCCACCAGTAATTGTCTGTGTAGTAGGGCCTCCTGGTACTGGTAAGACAACTTTAATTAAATCTTTGGTAAGAAGAATGACAAAGACCACTCTTACCGAAATCAAAGGTCCTATCACAGTGGTCTCTGGTAAAAATAGAAGATTAACCTTTTTGGAATGTCCTGCAGACGACTTGAATTCAATGATCGATGTAGCCAAAATTGCTGATTTGGTTTTGTTAATGATTGATGGTAATTTCGGGTTTGAAATGGAAACCATGGAGTTTTTGAATTTGGCTCAACATCATGGTATGCCAAGAGTACTTGGTGTAGCCACCCATTTGGATCTTTTCAAGTCACAATCAACTTTAAGAGCTTCCAAGAAAAGATTGAAACACAGATTCTGGACTGAAGTATACCAGGGTGCTAAATTGTTTTATTTATCTGGTGTCATCAATGGTAGGTACCCAGATAGAGAAATTTTGAATCTCAGTAGATTTATTTCAGTCATGAAATTTAGACCATTGAAATGGAGAAATGAACACCCTTATCTTTTGGCTGATCGTATCACTGATCTGACTCATCCCGATCTAATCCAATCCAAGGGAAAGCAGATAGACAGGAAAATCGCTCTCTATGGATATTTACACGGTACTCCTTTACCTTCTGTCGGTGGTACTAAAGTTCACATTGCTGGTGTCGGTGATTTCTCCATATCACAAGTAGAAAAACTACCTGATCCATGTCCAACCCCAGCTTTTCAGCAGAAATTGGATGAATATGAAAGATTAAAATTAAAAGAGGAAGGAAGCAATTCCTCTTCTACCCCAACTGTAAGAAGACGTAAAAGATTAGATGATAAGGATAAATTAATTTATGCCCCTATGTCTGATGTCGGTGGTGTTCTAATGGATAAAGACGCTGTTTATATCGATATTGGATCAAAGAAAGTCAACAATTCACAAAGTTTTGTTCCAGGACAAGAGAAAGGTCAAGGTGAACAATTGGTGACAAGTTTACAGAAAGTTGATAGGAGCATTGCCGAAAATTTCAAAAATGTAGGTTTACAAATTTTTAGTAATGGTATTGAATTACATAAAGTTGACAAGAAGGGGGAAGAAGAAGAAGAAGATGCAAATGAAGAAGAAGAAATTAACTCCGAATTAGATCAAGGTAGATCTTCTCTAAGAAAACCAAAAATTTATGGAAAATCTGTTCAAGAAGATGATCTTGACATTGATAATCTACCAAGCGATGAAGATGAGGATGATAATGTGGATGGAGATAAAGAACTAGAGTTAGTCGAAATTGATTTTCATGATCAAAATGATGAGAAATTAGTTCCAGAGACCGATTCAGAATTCGAGTTAAGTGATGGAGAAAATGAGGAAACTTGGGAAAGAGCCATGGCTGGTAAATTGAATAACGAAATCAAGCGTAAAAGAAGATGGAATATCGGTAAATTGATATATATGGAAAATATATCACCAGATGATTGTATAAGACGTTGGAGAGGTGAGGATGAAGAAGATGAAGAAGACTTAGAAGAAAGTGATATTGAAGATGATGAAGATTTCTTTAAGAAAAAACAAACTAATAACACTGATAGCAAGAATGGACAGAATACTGAAATCGCCGATTTAGAAAAATTCATTCCTTATTTTGATACTTTTGAAAAGTTGGTGGAAAAATGGTCTGATCTAAGTTCTATCAGAAATAGATTTATTGGTTCTACCAGAAGTAATTCCGCAGACGACTCTAATTCTATGGATGAAGAAGAAGAAGAAGTTTTTGGTGATTTCGAAGATTTAGAAGCTGATGATCAGGAAAATGTTGAGGAAGAAAGTAACAACAATAACAACGAAAGCGACGATTCGTTTGCTGATTTTGAGGAAGAAGAAAAAAAAGATTTAACCATGGAAGAAGAACGTAAATTAAACGCAGAGAAGAAGGAAAAATTCCGTTTACAATTTGAAATCGAAGAAGGTGACAATTTCAAAGAAGATGATCCTGATAATGAATATGATACATGGTATGAACTTCAAAAGGCAAAAATGGCTAAGCAGTTGGAAATCAACAAAGCAGAATTAGAGGAGATGACTCCTGAACAACGTCAAAAAATTGAAGGTTTCAAAGCCGGCTCTTATGTTCGTATTGTCTTTGACGATGTTCCTATGGAATTCATAGAAAATTTCGAGCCAAGGTTCCCGATCATTATGGGTGGTTTGTTACCTACTGAATTAAAATTTGGAGTTGTTAAAGCAAGATTAAGAAGGCACAGATGGCACAAGAAGATCCTTAAGACCAACGATCCATTAGTCTTATCCTTAGGCTGGAGAAGATTCCAAACATTACCAATATACACAACCTCAGATTCAAGAACTAGAACTAGAATGTTGAAATATACTCCGGAACATACCTATTGTAATGCCAATTTTTATGGCCCGTTATGTGCTCCAAATACACCTTTTTGTGGTGTTCAAATTGTGGCCAACAGTGATACTAGTGGTGGTTTCAGAATTGCTGCTACTGGTGTTGTGGAAGAAATTGATGTTGACGTAGAAATCGTGAAAAAATTGAAATTGATTGGTTATCCATACAAGATTTTCAAGAACACTGCTTTTATTAAAGATATGTTTTCAAGTGCTATGGAAGTTGCTAGATTTGAAGGCGCCCAAATTAAAACTGTATCTGGTATACGTGGTGAAATCAAGAGAGCATTATCTAAACCAGAAGGTTATTTCAGAGCAACTTTTGAAGATAAGATTTTGATGAGTGATATCATCATTCTAAGATCATGGTATCCAGTACACATTAAAAGATTTTATAATCCAGTTACTTCATTATTATTGAAGCAGAAAACAGAGTGGAAGGGTGTCAGACTAACAGGTCAAATTAGAGCCGCCTTGAACATACCAACACCGTCAAATCCAGATAGTGCTTATAAAAAGATCGAACGATCAGATAGACACTTCAATGGATTGAAGGTTCCAAAATCTATTCAAAAGGAACTTCCATTTAAATCTCAAATACATCAAATGAAACCACAAAAGAAGAAAACATATATGGCTAAAAGGGCTGTTGTTTTAGGTGGTGAAGAGAAGAAAGCACGTTCATTCATTCAAAAGGTTTTAACTGTCTCTAGGGCGAAAGAAGAGAAGAAAAAAGCTAAGAAGGCAGATCAACGTAAGGAAAGATTGAAGAGATTAGCCAAGGCTGAGGAAGAAAAATTACAGAAGGATAAAGAAAAAAAGAAAGAGTTCTTTGCTAAGAACGGTAAGAAGAGACCATATGGGGATGATGATGGTGGTGCTCGTAAGAAGAGATAGATCCTTTATATATATACTATCTCACGCACTTTTTCTAAGTAATATACAGTAAATCTATTGAAATGAACTATATACAACTACAAACATTATAAGAATAATTAAATAAAAAAAAGGAAAAATAACAAGCAAGAGACGTTATACTTTATGTATCTGTTAGATAAACCTGACTTGTGTGAAAAAGAAAGTACTACAAGAAAAGCTGTTGGTAAAAGTCTGAATTTAATACTACTTTACATACTATAAATATTTTTATTAAACAAAAGTACTATCCTACATATATATATATCTATATATGTAGGTATATACATCACAAAATAAAAGCTTTCTTAATGGCTTGTTTTATTCTTTGTCATTGAAGTTATTATTATTATTATTATTATTATTATTATAAAAACTTGATCAGATAAATTGAGATAGCCATTGGAAAGCTTCCAAGTAACCGTTTCTCATGACCACAGAACACATGAATAATTCGACTGGTCTTTGACCTTCAACTCTATTTGGACCAGTAGTGTTTAATAAACCTAAGGCAGAACGTAATTCAGCTTCAGAGACGGCGTTTGGTGCATCAATCTTATTACCTAAGATAACGAAAGGAACGTCTTTCAATTCAGCAATGTTGAAAAGGGCATCTAATTCAACACGAGCTTCATTAAATCTTTCTGGATCAGCAGCATCGACTAAAAATACGATACCGTTAACTTCAGGAAAATAGTCCTTCCATAAACGACGGGCTTGAATATGACCACCTAAATCAAAAGTGGTAAATTTGATATTACCGATAGCTAATTCTTCAGAAGTTGGATGCCATGTTGGTTGTAAAGTGGCTAATCTATCATTTTTCAACATATGCAAAAGAGTGGTTTTACCTGCATTATCTAAACCAAGAAACAATAATTTACCATGCTTGTTCCACAAACCTAAAGAGGCCAAAATATCTCTAACTAAATTAAAATATAGAAATTGAATGTGACAACAACAACAAAATAAAAAAAAAATTCCTTTAATTTTTTATTATTTTTTTTTTTTTGAAACTAAGACGAATAAATAAACAAAAATCTAATAGCATATTAAATTATTAAAATTCCAGATTCAGTTTTGGACATAAAGCATATACAATTGATTTGCTTATTTATCTGCTTACTCGTCAGTATATAGATTGAATTTTTTTTTTGTTTTGTTTTAATAGTTATATGTTAGTATTATGCAAAGTTAATTATTTTATCACCGTTAATGCTATTACCAACAAAGGTACTTAATAAACATATAGCAAAAAAAAAAAAAGAAAGTTTATAGTAATTTAACACATACACCAACCAAAAACGTCCCAGGAAAGCATATTATTATTTGTTCAATATATATTATTATTATTATTATTATGTAAATTTTTGTTTTCCAAATTGGTATATCTAAAGCACTAGTGCTCGTTTGTTGAATATGGTGTAGTTTTATCTAGAACGAAGTAACAAAATCCTAGATAATCTTCTTATGAACTCTCTTTTTTACATTAACGAAACGTTTTGTTTGGTTCTGTTGTAAATTTTGATCATCTTTCCTGTTTGTTCAATCGTTTGTAATTTTCCACGTGTTCTCGACTTTCGGTGAGGAAAATAAAGAAAAAATAAAAAAAAAAAATACGAAAATATTTCTTTTTTGGAAAGTAGATGCTTAGTCATTATGATGACTCATCAGAAAACCGGCTATTCGTTGCAAATGATAATAAAACGGAGAATACACCCAGCCGCAACAGAAATTCGCTACAAAAGCATGCAATTTTGAATAAGACTCCACAATATCATGATGATTTCTGTCTTGTAGATGCAGAGTATTAACCTACTAACAAGAGTGAATACTACATATTCATTGTATCTAAACAGAATTGTGTCCATGAAAAAAAAGCAAAAATTACTCTTTCTCTCTGTCTCCCTCCACCCTCTCCCTCCCCCATACACTCAATTATGCTTAACCATAAGTCAATAATCTACAAAGGGTGTCTTGATGCTGAAATTACCTTTCATACCAATTAAATCATAGAAGCTATTTTTCCGATTTTGAATAGTACCATAGGGCGGAGAGTTTGACGACTAACAAACCATCTAATCCTTCAAAGAAAGGAAGAAAAAAAAGTGATGCTTTTATCAGATCACAAGGTGTAATGATCTGTTGAAAACCAATCAAAGATAATTTTAAAACATCTTAATTGGTTTCCTTCTAGTTGTTATCACTTCTACTGTCACTTCTGCTGTCGCTATCATTATGGATTTTCTTTTCTTTTTCTCTTTCTTTTTCTTTCTTTTTTTTTTTTCTTTTATCTCTGAACTGTTGATCCTTTGCGGTGACAGAACAGAAAGGAGAAAGAGAGAGAAAGCGAAAGGATTAAAGGTGTCAAGAAGCTACTTACAGATGAGGACCAGAGATCGTGTACTCGCTGTCTACAAAGAGAGAATTCTGGCTCAGTCTACTTTCTCCTGTCACAGGTTGTTGTGTGATCTTAGATTCTTGATCCTTCAGTCGAGTTATGTTTGATTTTATCATTACAGTTACAGAACACTGACCATTATACTACACCACTGCAAACTTTCCCTTCTAAAAGTATAATTGACGTGTAAACTTTATTATTAATATTTACTATCAATTGGTTCCTGTGCCCAATACTATATTCGATCTCTAGTTTTTAGTACAATTATTTCCTTTTGTCAAGTTTCATTGTGAATTGACTTTTTTTTTTATACACAACTTTCACAAAACACACATACAAACACACACACACATATATATATACATACATATATATAGATATATAGATATAGATATATATATGTTTATTAATGGACCCTAACAATAGTGATAACAACCAATCTAATAACCCTACCACTGATTCAAAATCCATCGACACTAGTTTCAATTTAACTATACCTCCTCCGCCTTTCCCTAATAATGAGATTAGAGCAAATACTAAGAATACTACTACTAGTAATAATGTAAATACGAATAATGCCAATACACAAACAATAAATGTGGTTCCTTTAAAGCATGAAGATATTAATACATCTAAAAACTTTATACCGAATATGGTCGAAAATACAAACTCTTTAGTATTAAATACACCAAACCATCTGGATACATCCGTTGCAGAAGCCTTAAATTTTGCACAGCAGTCGTTACCTACAACCCAGATACCACCACCTTCGAATATAAATTCTTCTAATAGTATAACATTAGCATCAACTACAAATAATACTGCTACTAATACTAATGCTAATACTCCTAACACTTCTTTAACTGCTTCCAAAAAAATAAAATCTCACCATATATCCATACCTACAAAGGATGGATCCACAAGTCATACAATCACTACTTTCTCATCAAATAAACCATCATCCAATGAATTTGTTAGGAAACTCTTTCTTATCTTAGAGAATAATGCATACCCGGAAATCGTACGTTGGACAGATGATGGCGACAGTTTTGTGGTTATAGATACAGGAAAATTCACATCACAGATCTTGCCCAACCATTTTAAACATTCAAATTTTGCAAGCTTTGTCAGACAATTGAATAAATACGATTTCCATAAAGTTAAAAGGAAACAAGATGAAAAATCTAAATACGGTGATTTGAGTTGGGAATTTAAACACCCCTTATTTAGAATACATTATGAGAAAGGTCTTGATAATATAAAGAGAAAAATAACTGTACCTAAAAAGGATGCTAATAGCAATACAAGTAAAGGCAACTCCAGTAATAACAACAATAGTTATGACGGCAATTCAACAAATTACAACAACATAAATAATATGAATAATTCAAATGGTCACATCATTTTAACTGAAAAACAAAGAGAAAGTTTATTACAAAATACAGTTAGTAAAGATACATTTCAGACTTTGAGAAATAAAGTAACACGATTAGAAAATGAATTAAAAAGATCGAATGATGAGGCAAACAATTTGAAAAATGAAATCGATAGAATGACAACACGATACACAACACTTCTAGAGAGTTTGATAGCGTTTAAAACTGTTCATGAAAGTTTAACTTCCAATTTCAACACCGTCTGTTCTATCTTAGTTAATAATGGTATCAATGTACCACAGCATCTCTATAATAACATCACAATGAATCAAAAATTACCAACATATAGCCAACCAAGTAAAGAGACTTTAAAAAACCAAGGTTCAACGAAATCTTCCACATCACCAGTTCAAGCTAGAAACCAACAAACTATCTTAAATAATATTGACAATCAAGTACAGTTAATGAATAACTCTACAAATAACATATTGATATCAGTGACTCCCAACAATAAACAGAACTTACAGATTTCTGAAAATGCTCAAATAATAAATTCCAATAGCAATGAATCAATAAATTCATTAAATATGAACAGTAATGTAAATAATAAAAATAATAATCATAGCATTATTAATCCACATAATGGTAGTAAATTAAATACCACAAATGATGTTGGTAATACCAATGATAACAACACTAATAACACCAACAACAACAATAATAATAATATTCCAGTAAACACTAATGAGGTTACTCTGAGAAAGGGTTTTCATGTTTTATTAGTAGAAGATGATGCAGTGTCTATACAGTTATGTTCCAAATTTTTAAGAAAGTACGGTTGTACCGTTGAAGTGGTCACTGATGGGCTCTCAGCAATCTCCACTTTAGAGAAATTTAGGTATGATCTAGTTTTAATGGATATTGTCATGCCTAATTTAGATGGTGCCACAGCTACTTCTATAGTGAGAAGTTTTGATAATCAAACTCCAATCATTGCAATGACCGGTAATATTGAAGATCAAGATCTGCTAACTTATCTACAACATGGTATGAACGATATACTAGCAAAACCTTTCACAAGAAATGATCTACATTCGATGCTTATTCGATATTTAAAGGATAGAATCCCACTATGTGAGCAAAAAATGAATTCACCAGTGAACAACCAATTATCAGCAAATATGTTACGGCAAAATCAACGTACACACAATAGTCCTCAGTTACAACAAAATAATTCCATTACCCCCACCCTATCGACTTCTATGATGTCACAACCTCAACAGTTAAACAGCTTTCCAATTCCACAATCACTACAGCCTCATATATCTATGGAGTCTTCAAACACATCTCATGTTCTAAGTAATGATAGTTCAAAAAATATTAACAGACGTCCTACTACTTTTGATACTGATGAACGATTACCAAAGAAACCACGTGTATGAGTAATCATTCTGAAAAAAAAAAAAAAGAATATAAAAAACTTATGGAATAGATCTTTACATTTATTGCATGCAGGACATATCAACAAAATTATCAATTATTCTTAATACATACTTTTATTCTCCATTATATATCTATATAGTTATGTACCTAATTTGCATATTGAAGATTTCATAATACATTAAGACAAAAATTACAGTACATATTCACCAAAGCAGTCCTGTTGTATACTGTAATCATCACCTTTTATATATATGTGTATGCCGATCTATTTTAAATGGATATTTACACTTTATTTCTTTTTTTATAATATCTTTATTCTTCAATCGCCATTGAAACAGTCTCATCAAACCGTACTGACGTCCTTCTTCTTCTTCCTCCTATATTTATAACATCAGGTATTTCTAATTCAAATTCTTGTCCATTTTTCAACAACTCTTGTAAATCAGGTCTCTGATTTCTCATAGAAGATTTTCTCCTTGCCATTTCATTATTACGATTTCCCTGATTTTTATCAATATTACCACGGTTAAGTTCGTCCATACTATTCTTATTCAGTTTATTATTTTTTGTTATTTCATCTCTATCATATTCCTTATCGTTTTTATGAATGTCCAAATGTTCCAATTCCTTTTTGCAACGACAACATTTACAGATAAATCCATATTGAACCCTTAATTCTCTTCTTCTCAAAATAACCCCATGTAACGGGTTGACATAGGTGATATATAATTGTTCACCTTTCTTGATTTCCTTCCTAGCATATAAACTCAATTTCAACTTCGAATCGAATTCATATCTAACATTAGGTTCACAATGATGATTGATAAATGAGGAAATAAAATATATTTGGTTATTAGACAATTTGTTAATATTGAATTTCCCTATGCAAAAAAGGAAAGTCTCAAAATCGATATCATCTGCCAGTGTTGGAAAACTCTCTATAAACAATGCATAAACTTCTCTCCATTTGTTTTCAAATTTATCTACACTGGTTTCAGATTCTTGTATTGAATACTGCCCCCTAACTCTAACTCTTTGTGATACACCACATAAAGCTTTTAAATACTGTTTGTTTCTCTTTGACGAATCTTTATTCAATAATAATTGAGCAAAAATGACACCCAGAGAATATGCTGAATCATTAGAAGTCTTTTGACAATGTGCCTCAAATTTGTTCCAATTGGCACAATTTACCACCTTGTTTTTGTTGCCCTTATTATGTTTTAACGCTCCGTGAATAATATCTTTACTCTTGCATTTTTTACTGCACCAAACTGATGCACATGTATTACAATCTAATCCATTTTTCATAATGAAATGTGAACTGATGGAGCCCAATGACAGATTACACAACGCACAAATTTTACCACGAGATATTAATGCCAGCTTTTCGATCGCTGGAATAATACAGATTGGATCCTCCTCAACATAAATCAATTGACCTGGTTTAAAGTCTTTCTCAGCAAACAGCCCTCTCCCCATGTGATTATTTGATGTGCTCAAAATCTTAATATTTCCTAGATATTTAGATGACTGGTTTGAAGTTTTAACATGATTGAGAGTTAAGTCAGGACACATTTCTGGGACTTGAATCAGATGGGAATAGACTGGTAATTTTGTCTCATCTAAGGAATAAAGATTCTTTTCTACTAACATAGTTTCAAACGTCTCCTGATCGAAACTCCATCCCGAACACCTTTGAACAACCCTAGCAAATAATTGGGATGACGGTAACACCTCCGTGTCGGGATCTTCTTTCCACAGAGATATGGTTGCGTCACACAGTTCTTCAGATGTCGGTACCTTGTCTTTTCTTGAGTCATCTGACGGTATATCATTCAATGAAAGCATTTTAATCTTCAAGTGCATTGGGAATAAAAAATATGTGTCTATCAAGTTTGGGTCTGTATATGAGCAAAGATGTTTAAACAAGAATGATAAAAAAAAAAAGATAAAAACAAAATAAAAACGAATAATTAGAAGATAAGGGTACAACCAAATAGCACAATCTATGGTTTAATTTTGTTGACAATTGGCTTATTTTGTTTTGGATGGGTCATCCACATGTAAACTCTTAATATTTTCTTCACCCTTCCTCTCTTTTAAGATGTTATTCTACTATACTTCTACGTTGATTTAAGTTGTTTTTTTCCTTCCCTCCCTTATACACCAATTTCTACTTCTTTTTTTTATTTTTTATTTTTTTGCTCTTTCAGCAGTGCCATTAGAAATTTTTTTCTTTAAAGAGAAAAGAAAGTCAAAAGGAACTTTGCAGAGAATACACGAGAGGAGTAGACATTACTATTAGCATTGCAGTTTGTATTCTGGGTCAGTAAGTTTACAAGTATTCACATAGTAAATGAGTATATAATTAGAATAAAGTAAGAGGATAGGGTTATTCCAGTATGTTTAAGAGTATTTTTAGAAACAATATCAAAAGATTTTCATCTACAGGGGTCAAATATGCAGAGAATGCAACAAAAGATTTCAAGTTGGGTTCCAGAGGTAAGACATCATCTTCGATGAAACAATGGATCCCTATATCCATTTTTGGTGGCAGTTTTTTGTTTGGTTGGTATTTGACTAAGCATATGACTTTCACTGATCTAATGGCATACTTGCGATATGATAGTTTACCACAAGATGCCCTGGAAGTGGAGAAGTATAAGGGTGAAGTGCTTGCTAGGTTGGAGAATCTATCTATTGTCAAACAGTTAAATGCGAATGGTTATGTGGAGATACATAAGCCAGACATGACTGGTCAAGTCGATGGTAGGAAAAACAGATTGGTCTTACAAAGCCTTCTCAGCCCTGGCGCCATCGCAATTCCACCAAGATTTTATTACAATCCAACTACTAAGGATACTGTGGGAATTTACCATTTGGGTATGAAGTTGACTGGGTATCCATTTATTGTTCATGGTGGTATCTTAGCCACTATATTAGAAGATTTAATGAGAGAAAGTGTCAAATTTGTTCTAGATAAGAAGGGGGAAAAAATCAAGGATTTGAAAGTATCTTATCGTATGCCCACTTTAGCTAACCAGTTTGTCATTGTTCGTACTACATCTATCGAACAAAATGGTAAAACTGTCAAATTGAAAGCAGATGTAATGAATCAATCTGGGCAAAGAGTATTAGTTCAAGGTTCTGGTTCTTTTAAAATTTAAAAAAAGAGAAATAAAAGCAAAAAGAGGAGGATAGATAAAAACAAGAAATACAACAAAAGATAGTAATCTCTCTCTCTTTTTTTATTTTTGTTATTTTTTCAATCTTATGCACATTATTATATTTTGAATGCATTATTTCTATCATTATGATAGAATATAAGGATAATGTTCCATTCTATTCCTTATTTACTTGTAATTAGTCTTATTTATGATATAATATCAGTTTTTTAGTTTGATTTAATATGACAAAACGTAACATAATATAATGCATTTCAGTCAATTCTTATTCCGGTTTTACTTTTAAAATAAAAAGAGAAGTCTTAAAATATCTTACTACGTAAAATCTTTATTAATCCAATTCACACTACCGTCACCTGCTACTATACAATCCATGAATTGATCATGAGGCTCTAATTCAACTTCAGGAACAATCTGTTGTTTTAAACATACACCAATAAGTAATGGTCTAGTCTTATATCTTAAAATATATCTTTTGATGAAGTCATCATAATAACCGGCTCCCCACCCCATCCTGGCCCCGTTTCGAATATTAAAGGCCACACCTGGAACTATCATTATGTCCATCTGTGGTGGTAGAGGATCCGGAATTTCTCTTGGAGGTTCCCTTAATTGATATTTACCCTGTGGTTTCCATTTGTTGATTGTATCGAGGGAGTCCACTTTATGGAATGTTAAATGAGGGTGGTCTATTGGTGTATTAGATTCTGAATGTTTTCTCAATTTCACTTGACCTGTCTCTGTTGTAGATGTACATCTAGGAAGATAGACTTCAATGTTAGTCAGATTACTCTGAGTCCCTGGGTGAAACAACCATTCTAGCATATATTTGGTATCTACTTCACCTTGGTCCATGCTAAGAAAACAACCAATTTTCCTCACTAAAGAAGAGTCAGAAGCTGTTTTATGATATTTGGTGATTATCGATTGCAACTGTTTAGATATCTTCTGTGATTGTTCTGATATGTCTTGTTTTGGGATTGATTTTAACACTTTTCTTAACTGTGAACGTAATAATGTCTTTTTGAACATTATTGTCGACATTTTAATAAGTAGTTGAGTGGGAAAAAAAAAAAAAAAGAGAGAGAGAGAGAGAAAGAGAGAGAGAAAGTTGGATGGTCGTGTTCACTGACACCTTATTTAAGATAAGTTAGTAGGTTTTAATGATTTTTTCTTTTACTTTCATGTTTTAATAAGAAAAAATATAAATCAAAAAGAAAAATAAAAGACTATATACACAAGTATAATATGACCTGAAAAAAGTCTCTACTGGGAATTCAAGAAATGTCTTTAAAAAGAGCACCGAATCACTCATATAATCTATCTTCCGATCCTGCAGCAAGACCATAGTGTGTAGAACAAAACCGGTTCCGGCTTCCTCGGGCTCGACTGGTTGCCGGAATAAACCGGAGATCTTGTTTTTCCTTTTTATTTTTATTTTCGTGTGGATGTTGTTATGGTTGTTATGTTTGTTTGTGCAATGTGAGTCATATCGACAGGGAGATATCGACAGGCAATACTCTTTCTTTATTTACTCTTGTGCTGTTGGTTCTGGGACAAGAAAGCCAGTGGCATATGTGTTGCTAAACTAGTGCATCTGCGACTTTGTGTTTCTTTTACTGTGTCTTCTCTGCAACTGAGAAGGTAATTATAACAAAACTGCTCTTCTGCAGATGGTGAGATCATCTTTATATCCTTTTTTTTTGTATTGTTTTATTTGCCTCTTTACTTGTTTCCTCTTTTAGGTTTCGTTTCTTTGTGCTACCGTCTATTTCTTTCTTTCTTTTTTTTATTTCAATTTTTCAATTTTTCAATTTTGTATTCTGCTCGAAGTTTTTCACTCAAGGTACTGTGACTAAACAAATCTATCTATATATGTATATGTGTATACGTGTTTATATATATAAGCATATATATATATATATGTGTGTGTGTGCTTGTTGGTTCATCTTCCTCATGGTTACTGTAATCTTGTTTATTGTTGAATAGTTTCTGTTAAACTTGTTTTTCTTATACTCAACAAAATAAAACTGTTTTATTTTGTTGAGTATAAACAACTATCATACTAGGCAAACAGACATTAAATAATGTTATCTTCATATTCTACCCTCTCCAAGAGAGCTGTATCTTCTACTCTATGTAGAGCTATTCCTTTCTATAGAACTTTAGCCTCTGCTGTCAGTGGTGCCCCACTAGATGCCTCCAAACTTAAAATTACCAAGAATCCAAATCCATCCAACCCTCTACCAAATGATAAATTGGTCTTTGGCCAAACCTTCACTGACCACATGTTACAGATCGAATGGACCCAAGAAAAAGGTTGGGCCTCTCCTGAAATTGTTCCTTATGGTCCATTAAAGCTAGATCCTTCTGCTGTAGTGTTCCATTATGGGTTTGAAGCATTCGAAGGTCTAAAAGCTTATAGAACACCAGAAAATAAAATCACTTTGTTTAGACCAGACATGAACATGAAACGTATGAATAAATCAGCGGCAAGAATTTGCTTACCAACTTTTGACGGGGCAGAATTAATTAAGTTGATGGGTAAATTGATTGAACAAGATAAACGTTTTGTGCCTCAAGGCCAAGGCTATTCCTTATACTTGAGACCTACCATTATTGGTACCACGCCAGCTTTGGGTGTTTCCACTCCGGATAGAGCCTTGTTATACGTCATTGCCTCTCCAGTGGGGCCATATTATAAGACTGGTTTCAAAGCAGTTAGATTGGAGGCTACTGACTATGCCACAAGGGCATGGCCAGGTGGTTGTGGTGATAAGAAATTAGGTGCCAACTACGCTCCATGCATCTTACCACAGTTACAAGCTGCTCAACGTGGTTACCAACAAAACTTATGGTTGTTTGGTCCCGAAAAGAATATCACAGAAGTAGGTACCATGAACGTTTTCTTTGCCTTCAAGAACACTGCTACGGGTAAGAAAGAATTGGTTACAGCTCCATTGGATGGTACTATCTTAGAAGGTGTCACTAGAGATTCTATTCTAGCTCTAACAAGACAAAACTTAGATCCAAAGGAATGGGATATTAATGAACGTTACTATACAATCACTGAAGTACAAGAAAGAGCCAAAAAGGGCGAATTATTGGAAGCATTTGGTGCAGGTACTGCTGCTGTTGTATCTCCAATCAAAGAAATCGGCTGGCACGGTTCTGATATCAAAGTTCCATTATTACCAGGTGAACAAACAGGTCCATTGACCAAACAAATTGCTTCCTGGATCGCCGATATCCAGTATGGCAGAACCCAACACGGTAACTGGTCCCAAATTGTTGCTGATTTAGATTAGATCGGATTAGATTAAATCAACATAAAAAAAAAAGTAAGAAAAGATGATTGTAATAGTTTTATTAGAAACTATAATATAAAATAAAATATGAGGCTTTTTGTTTGTATTTTTTTTTTTTATCTTCTCTTTTATTAATGCTATTTAATTAAGTATTTAAGAATTCTTATATATTATTTCCTTTAAGCTATGCGTGTAATCAAAACCAGCCAAGCTAACTTAGATAACATAAAATTCAAGTAAGGATAGAGATATGATATAATTTACGTGAATTGTATCTTTTGAAATGTTGACTGATGATATAGAATCATTACATAACTCAGCGTATCCTTCTATTAATCACAAAAATTAAACCGTCGTTAAAACCATAGAGAGAAAAAGAAATAACAAGTCCTCTTTAAGCATTGGAGAAATCCAATCATAGCTTCTTATCTTTCGTTTCCTGAAATGTTCAAATTTGATGCACAGCAAATTCCAGAAACAAAGGAAAAAGAAGGAAAGAAAAAAAAAAAAACATAACCTGGAATTGTTATGATAAGGGTTGTTTTCAAAGGAAGAAAGTAAGCAGGACTGAGAAAAACTCAGATAGAAGTCATATACGTAACTACAAATGCATGACTAATTGACTTATTACATGTAAAATTCTTTCTTCTTTGTCAGCACTCTTTTTCCTCTTTTAATTTCTCTTTTTTAGTTATATAGAAGGATGTATGTGGGTGTATGCATGTGCATTTCTGTACATACGTTTTTGATGAGATCTCCGATTGGACTACAAATGAATATTTATAAAAGCTTTATTGAAATTGAGATCAATCAAGTATAATTAAGATCTATACTAATTAATTGTTTAGAAAAAAGAAAAATCTCCCTGCCTTTCTTTTTATTATTACTATTACTTTGACAGGGTTGTTGTACACATACGTATTAATATTTTCTATAAATATGAGAAATGAGCTCCATTAGGTCTAGGAAAGGTTGTAGACAATGCAAAAAATGGAAGATTAAGTGTGATGAAAATAAACCTAGATGTAATAACTGTTACAGAAGAGATGTTAAAGACTGTGATTATAGTATAATTTTGAAATGGGGTGGGAGGCCTTATAAGAATTTACGCAGAATGTCAGGACACTCAAGAATACCACAATTAAAATTGAAAAATGGAGTTCTCATTTTAAACAAGAATCATTCAAAGACACAAAAGAAGACTTCAGGGGATATTTCCAAGTTGGTTAATAATACAAAACTTATTTCATATATAATTGAACCACTTGAAAATTTTGTGATCAGATCACCAAGCTTTTTACCACCAATATTAACGTCTTCACGTTATAATATGAATGTTTTTGAATTTTATTTGCAAAAAACGTCTCATATGTTAATTCCAACTGGTCCTAAAAAATACTTGAAGAATCCATTTAAATTGTTGTTACCACAAATGGCTATGCAAAATGAAACTTTATTATATCTGTTATTAGCATTTGGTGATACACATAAAGGAAATTTTCTGAATGAACCATCCACATTTTTGTTATCCTCATCATCCAAAAATCATATAACTGATTCATCTGCAAGTTTGGCGACAATAAATTCAATAGAAATGTATAATCAATCTTTAGAAAAATCATCTTACTATTTAGACGATATTTGGTTTTTAAAGAGACCTCCTGCTATTGCAGACTATCTTTTATTTACTGTATTAAAAAATTTATCGGTCTCGTTAAATAATATTGTCCAAAGAACAAGAGATGAAACTTTAGCCACTATTTTAATGTTGTCTATGTTTGATATATTTTTCAGTGATAACAGAAGAGTATGGAGGAAACATTTACTTGGTGCACGAACTTTGATTAATGAAAAAATTAATACATTAGATGTTGATTCATTTAGAGTAGAACTATTTTATGATGAAATGGATCCAACATTTTTTTTAAATAGATGGTTTACCTATGTCAATATTATCAGTTCATTATCTTCCATAAATCAAAATTCAATGGATTTTCAATTCAATATATTTAAACATCTATTCTACGAAGTTCAAAAATATGAAACAGACAAAGATTTTCTTTATAGTAAAAGATATCATCTAGATGATATCGAATATTGCACAGGATTGGACCCCAAAGTATTATTATATCTAGGCCAAACTTCATCTTTAGTTAATCAAAACTATATTAATGAAGAGGTTGTAATACAAGCACGAAAACTAGATCAAGAGTTAATCCAGTATCTTTACGTTTCTGAATGTGCAAGAGATAAAATTCGTAGGCAATATTATCAAATAAATGATAGTGGTAACCATAAGGATAATATTGCAGATAAGTACCAAACATATGAACTATTACGTGCTACCAACATAATATATGGACTTACTGGATCCCTTCAATTGAAAAGAAGAGTATTTGGATATTCTTCAAATCATTATGAAGTCGAAAAACTTATCCAAGAAATAACAAATCTATTAATCAGATATATTCCACCAAAATCCTCCACTGCTGCATGTATTATTTTTTGTTTATTCTGTTGTGGGTGCGATCTTTTTGATAACTCATGCTTATCTTTAAGAGGTGTTTATATGGAAAGGGTTATTACCTTAGCAAATGCTGGTGTAAAAAGTGCATATATGGCAAATATTATCATGCAACAGTGTTGGAAGTTGCATAAAAATTGGTGGGAATATTTAGAAGAAGAACAATTAGATGTTACTTTTGCAATTTAATATCTTTGGATATACGTACATATTTGAAGAACTTTGATACATATTCATTAGTCTTAACAATTTTTAGGACACTATACCAAAAAGAAAAGAGGAAAAACACATATATAAGTTATCTTAAATGGCATAGATCATTATAATCTGAGAGAACTATGTATTAGTTCGCAATAACTATTTATTTCTAAAAATAAAACTATGCAGCTCTGTCTTGATTATTTTTTCCCGTCACTGTTTGAAAGTTTTTAGTTGAAACAATAGAAGATATTCATATACGTACAAATGTAGCCTCTTGGAAAAGCATATCTATCAGTAGATCCTATACTAGTTAATACCGATTTGATTCTTAAATAGCTCAACGCAAAGCATTTTCTGAATGTTTGTTTCTTCAGAAAGGTAAGGAATTGAAAATTTCGTCAGAAAACGTAAATTTTTTCTAAGTTCCGTAAAATTCCGGTGCTTCAATTTTTCTACTTTCGTTTGTATAAGGAAAGATTAATTATTTAATGGAACAGGATTCTGTTAAAGTCAGATTAGATGAAGTAGGGTCTTCTCATAAAACCATGTAGTTGTTCTTTCTACTAATGTCCTTTGATCAAGGTAAAAAGAGCTCAACTAACATCAACATATTGTCTTAATATTCTTTTCCTTTTATTATCTCTACCAAATTATTTAATGAGTATATCCACAATATGTCAACAAAAGTTGTCAAAATACACAAGAATAAAAGGGTAGTCTCTGTTTGCAATTCATGTAAAGAAAAAAAATTAAAATGTGATAAAGCAAGACCTAGTTGTTCAAGATGTCTTAAATCTAAAAAAACATGTGTATATCCCTTTACCATGTACAACACTACAATAATAACTCCACCTGAAGAAATATCTAGATCTAGTACTTCTAGTCAGACTGATAAGGTTTCATTGTCGCTCCAAACGGGACTATTTGAAGAACAGATATCGCCTGTAGGGTTTATTGAGGAAAGAAGTGGGGCTATAAGGTCGCCAAGTTCTAGTGAAACAAGTAATTATGTGTCATCAAGGGATAGTTATTGGAAACATCGTGCTTTAAGTAAACGTACAATGGCTGATATGTTATATAAAAAAGAAAATGAACAGAAAAATGGCAATACAATATCATTGGAATTATGGAACCCAAACAAATTAATAGTCTCCTATGGCTCAACAACATATTACGACTTTGCGCTTGGCTCTCACGGTTTAATACAATATGATCCTTACACAAGGCTACTATGTGGAGCTTTACATGGAAATACTGTGACTGAACTGCAGTCAAAACTGACGTGTATATCTAATGATTCTACAGAAACTTCAAGTAGCGAAAATAAAAAGAAAAAATTGGGCCCCTTAAATTTTTTGGAACAAGCTATTATTAAATGGGTTAAGATGACTAATGAATATGTAAAAAATCAGTTGCCACTAGATTATTTCAACACAACTTATACAATTGAGGATACTATGCATCCTAATCTACTTTCATCAATTCAAATGATTATTAGAGAGATCGAAATTATCATGATAGACAAAGAGCATATTAATTATTATTTAAGGTTGTTTTATGAAAATATATATCCATATTACCCTTTAATAGAGATTCCATTATTTGAAAAAAAGTTGAAGGACATTTTAGTTGAGAATCATAGTAACCATTATGAATTTAACGTATTTCACCAAAATATTAGAATTAAACTCGAGACATTAGTTATGTTCTTACTAATTTTATCTATTTCTCTTAGATCTACTTTAATCAAATCAACTAGGTCCTTATCTAATTCTGGTATGATACAGATGTTAGATAAAAAGAATGCTAGTGATATTGCCACACAATTAATAGTGTTTGCACAAAAATTGTTATCTTTGTTGAATGGTTTCAAATTCACTAATGAGAATATATTATGTTGTACAATCTATCTATTCATTGCAGAACATTTGCATGCAGGAAATAGAGCGATTCATGTCACACATGATGAAGTTTTAACTTTAAATTGTATTTCAAATCTTGCAAATACATTAGGACTGTATAATGATCCAGGTCAATTTGAGAGATTTAAAAACAGCGTTAATTTTGAGCCTCTTACTATTTTATTCAAGAGAAAATTGTGGATATTACTTCAATCTATTAAATTACAAACATGTACCCTGGATGGCAGCTTTAATGAAGTTGATTTGAAACATTTAGAATGGTTTAAACTCCCTAGTGATGGAATATCAGCACACTTAAATGGCAGATTTAAAGAATCTACTTTGGTTGATTTCAAATTGTTCACTATACAAGAAGATATTTATGAGTTTCATATACTACTTGGTAAAGTAATGTCGTCAATTTCAACAACAAGCCAGATTCAGTATCTTGATAACATTACAGAACATATAGAAAGATTATTATCATTTATGGACAATAAATTTTCTTTAGACGCTCTAACTAGTATAAAAACTAATAGTTTTACTATACAAGAAGAATCCTGGAGACAAGCTGTTATGAATTTAGATGCTGTGAAAAATTTATACATTGTGCAAATGAACATTATTGGAAAATCAAGTGTGGTAAGTATTTATTCTTTATTGTTTTTCTATTTTGAACAAAAATGTATATCTGAGAAAGAAGATCCTAAATGGATAGAATTGTATGAATTATATATGATTAAAAGTTTTGAACTGTTCTTGGATTTGACTTCGTTGACAATCAATTATTTAAATGGCTCATATTCAGAATTCATTTTGAGCTCTCATCAATTTTGCCTAAATAAAATAATAATTTTCACATTAATTAAGATATGGAGAACGTTATTAAGTTTTGCTTTAAGGTTAAGTTACAAAAGAGAGATGCTGAAAAGATCAAAATATGATGTGATTAATCATGAATTAGAATTAGTCAATAGATGTTTGCATAGGTTGGTTGATATTTTAGCGAAAACCGTAGATTTTACATCCGTTGAACTTGAGGATGACTACATTGGTGCAGATCAAGCTTTACAGATGATTAGATATATATATTATATTATCCAAGAAGATGTAACCGAAATGATTAATAATTTCTGGAATAAAATCTGGAATACCAGTAGCATTCCGGAACGAATTGTTGAAATAATCAACATTAAATGGGGTGTTGGACCAAAGAATACGGACTTAGTTAAAGAATATTTGGCTAATGAAGAAGTTTTGGGAAATATTATTCCCAATTTATTAGAAAAATTAAACCAACTCATTGATGATTCAGCTTTTACATTTCCTACTTTTCCAGTATCTACATCAGATGACCAAGTTTCAAAGTTGATAGAATACCCTGATACAGATACTCCAGATATTTTAAATTCGCTTTTAGAAGCCAACTTTGAATTGTTTACAAATATGATCAATGATAGCATGGGAGAACTTCCAGCTCTACAGTAATGTGTTTACTACTTGAGATGTTTTGAAAGGACAATAGTTACATTTTTTATTTTTCTTCATTAAACTGCATATGAAAAATCGACAAATTTTATTGGGGCATAAATCAAATGCATTTATAACGTTTGAATTATATTATTTAGAAAGGTCATATTTAGTTTATTCATAGAAAAATTGTAGAGTTGGTAGTGAAAGTGGCATTAATATATTGTTTACTAATGGTTCTCGAGATTCTACCATCTTTAAAGCTCATGTTGAAGTATTAAAATGGCATTATTTCTACTGCAACCAGCTTCAATATAGCTCATGGATTCAATTTAAGAGAGGCAATTTATACTGCATTGAAATATGCTCAAAACACACACTCTATTAAAATTGATGACAATGAATTACTGAACTATGCATACCAAATTGAAATACTGTTGAAAATAATGGTTCGATATGAATGTTTTACTGCTCATGCACTTGTACTAGTTACTAAACCATTAAATTCAGGGTTAATTATTTAAACTTCTTTGAAGATTTTATTTAATTTCCACTTGTTAAACTATATTGAGATGTTCATGTTAACTATGATTGTATAAAACAAATAGCTGATAGTACTTTACTGTTGGAAAAATGTCAATTTTTCATTGCACCAGATTATTCTTATTTAGCTGGTTATGATAGAGTGCATTATATTACTGATTCAAGATTTCCAGAATTAGAAGATGTGGAGAAAGAATTATAGATTGTAAATAGAATTAGGGAAGAGATGAGTTAGCATTAAAAAAATTATGAGAAGAATTCAATATTAAAGTTGATAGATACTTTAAAATTATTAAAAGGGGCCTTGATTCAAATAATTATTTTTAGTATTTTAAGGATGCAGTTGAGAGAGGTAATTGATAAGAATTGGTAGCAACTTTAGCACCATACATGGTGGCTCATGGTGTTGCTACTATGAAGTATATGAATAAAATCACTTCCCCTGAAGCTGGGTTATATGCTGGAACAGCTTATTTTCTACTGTTATTTGTTATACTTATTTTGTGTTTTGTGAAAAAATATACATGGTTCATTAGGTGAAATAATTTTTTTCTTATATTTAGAAGAGGTGGAGGAAGCAACATAAAAATTTCAAGATAAACATAATTTACTTACTGATATACAGAATTACGGATATGTCTATTTACTCCTGGTGCTAATACACGGAGAGCAAAAAAATATATATACAACATCTATCTAAAAATTATTGAACATAGTCATTACTTATTTCCTATATTTTTAAAAAATATCTACATTCATTTAATTGTGTCTGTGATCCTTTCATATTTCTTTTGAACTTTTTTTTACTTTCCATTATTTTCTATGTTTGAAAAATGTCCAGACTCAGAAAATTCCTATTTTTCCACTTCTTGGTGTGTGTAAGGCATATTACTCTTAGGAAGTATTCGAAGTGTGGATTAGCAGGCTACACACCTTGGAAACCCATGATTAGTTTAATTTCTTTATATATGAGCTATATAAAAGAACGTATGATGAAGGTATGGTAAAACCTAAAAAGCAACAAGAAAAGAATAACTTTTTCATAAATGAGATCTTGTGTTATAATGATTTTATACAGTCATCGACAATATCAAACATTGATCCTGATTTATGTGCTTATCTCTCAAAGGTATGTGAGTTATCATAGCCTTGCTAATTATACTTTTCTAGGGTTTTTGCATAAAATTTCCTAACAAATACGGCCAAAGATTATATAATGTACACTATGTTATAGGCTATTTCGATGTTTCGATAAATCTCCCTTTTTTATTAGAAGCATTTAATATTTTAATATATTGTTTTATTAAGTTTGAAAAGAATATCTATATATATGCTGAATAAAAAATGTAAAAAGAAAGAAATGATTAATAGCATTATAAGATAGTTTAATTTACCTTTATCAAAGGGATCCTATCTCAACAGAATAAACTACATTATGATTCCTGGGTTTCAAATTGTTCTGGAGTTTCACCTTTAGCTGAATTATAAATAATAATACCATTGTCCTTCGCATTTCTTTTCTCATCACGCTTATAAAAATATAATACTACAAAAGTCCAAATAGACAAACAAAAAGATGCTACAGCAACCCAAATAAAACCTTTAGGAAACCTTGGTGCTTCTGAAGTTTTCCATACTAAAACATTAATCCATGCTGTTGATGTCTGTGCTAACATATTCATTACCACTAAAATAACTGCTCTTGAATGGACATCTCTACGACAAATATCATTTTGCCACGAATATAATACAGGAGCCATGGCCCAACCAAAGTATTGTAACATAAATGCAAACCATTTGGCACCTTCTTCAACATCCCAAACAGCAAGAATAACATTACCAGTAAAATTGAATATCTGAATAATAATAATTGCTAACCAACGTGAATGAAATTTATCTGCTACAAAACTTGTACCAATCAAATAGATCATACCAAGACCAGGAGTAATCATGGAAAGTTTATTCAATTTAGGAATAGAGTACCTTTTCAATGACTTCAACCATAACAGATAGGCACCTGAAGAACCATTATTATTATTCCAACAAAAGACATTCCACAATGTTAGGATATAAATTTTCCAATCAAATATTATTCTTTTCCAAATCTTGAGATCAAATAATTTATCAGATAGATTGGTATTTGCTGTTTGATTCTCTTTAACTCTTTTTCTGGCCAATCTAATTTCATCATCAGTTAAAAAAATGGAATAACAGTTATGTGGATCACCTGGTAAAGAATAAAATCCAATAATACCGACAACAATGGATACAATAGCATCAATAATAAAATTCCATCTCCAACCAGATAATCCATTACGACCATCAAGACTTTCATAGACTGCAGATTGAATGCCACCTGCAGAAAGAACACCGATATATTGGCCAAGATAATAAAATGCGGAACGACGAACCATTTCATCGTGTTTGTAAAATGATCCAAACAAATATTGGTAAGCTAAATAACTTGGTGCTTCAAAGGCACCGATAAAAAATCTTATTGCTTTCAAATGGGATACAGAATTAACATAAGCAGCACCAATGGTTAACAGAGACCAACATATGTCTAAAAAGGGCAAAACATAGTTTAATGGGATGCTATGTAAACAAAAAAGGTACGGTATTTGAAACACAATGTTCCCAACGGTATACATGACTTGGGTATTAACTAAATCGTTACCTTTAAAACCTAATTCTTCTTTCATACCAGAGACGTATGCATTATTCAAATTAACTGTATCTAAATATTTGATCCAATAGGCAATACATGAATAGAAGGCAAGAAGAATATCTAACTTAATTAATAGTTTCTTTTCGGCATATGATGTATCCTCAGCAAACCAGTGATACCATTTGTTTGTAGCATTTTGCTTTTGGTTGATTCTATATTCCTGTTCATTGAAAAAACTCCACCATTTCCTATTGGCTTCATCTCTATATTCATATTCAACGTCTTCCACGACTTTAACATCAATAAATTTTTGGTCTTTAGTCTTTTCTGAAGGTAATGATGTAGTGGATGTACTATCATCCTTAAAGGAATCCGAACTGAATTCAATGATATCTTCCACATTTCTTTTAACTGGAATAAAACCCCATTTCAATCTTCTATAGGGATCGACGATAATTTCTTTAACCAAGGACATTACTAACAATTATGTTTGGTTTATGTGCGTGTTCATTAGTGATAGCTTTTCTTCTCATAGTTGAAAATACTAAAATAAAAATGAAATAACGTTGCTACAAATATAGTAGGAAGATGAAATTAAAAAGGTTTAAATACTTTTCAATAGGTACTTAAAGTTAATAAAAGTTTAACCCTTCTTACAGCTCTTCACTATAAAGCCACAGTATTGTGCTTATGAAGAATCAATGTGATTATTGTGTACTGTTGTAGTATCTTTTATTTTTTTCAATCCCCACAATTACATGCAAAGACAGCCACATAAACACAGTTTTTAGTTAAATCAAGCATTGCGTTCCCGATTTCTCACACACAGTTGCTTCTCAATCATCCCATGTAACTAATAATCGGACTTAAAAGACAAAGACTTGACTCATGAATGCAAGGTTTCTCCCTTTAAACGCTTTTTATTCCCAACCGTGAAATTTTTCACTTCTCACACAGTTTTTCATTTATTTTTTTTTCCTCGATGACTGTGGAAAACTGTGGATGGCTGTGTCAAAAAAAGATATTTTCCACTGGATATTTCTTGCATGAGTCAAGTTTACTCAAAAAAAAAAAAGAACATAATAAAAAAACAATTAAAAAAGTAAGAGGGGCAATGTTCAATGGTCAAGACAAGATGCAGCGAATATAGAACTACGCTACAGGATGATATGAGTAATTATTTAGCATGATTTGACTGCAATTACTATCTTTGTTGGTTTTACTGTGGTATACATATATAAAGTGTGGGTTGTGCTTCTGAAAAAACTTTCCAATAAGAGGATTCCATCATAATGTCAGCACACAGATAATAATAACCCGACACACCCTACACTGTTATGACACAAGACCAAAATTCTTTGCCTCCATTAGATTCTATATTCAATCTTTACGATTTTGAATCCATTGCTTCTAAGGTTCTACCAAATCAAGTTTATGCCTACTATTCTTCTTCTGCAGATGATGAGGTTTCATACAGAGAAAATCATTATTCTTTTAGTAGAATCTTTTTCAAGCCAAAAATTCTAGTCGATGTCACTAATATTGACATTAAGACAAAAATCTTAAACACTCAATTAAATGCACCATTCTACGTTAGTGCAACTGCACTATGTGGTCTTGGCAACCCAATGAGTGGTGAACTATCCATTACTGAAGGGTGTAGTGAATTAAATGTACCACAAATGATTTCCACTTTTTCTTCTTTCCCACTTGAAGATATTGCTGCCGCTCGTAACTCAGAAGAACAAGTTCAATGGTTTCAATTATACGTTAATTCAGACAGAAAACTGTCACATGAATTAATTACCAAGGCTGAGAATTTAGGAATGAAAGCCTTATTTGTTACAGTAGATGCACCACAAGCCGGTAATAGAGAAAGAGACTTCAGATTTAAATTTTCTGTCACAAATAATAATGGTCCAGATGTTGCACAAAAGAAGAAACGAAACATAAAGGAAACAAACGGTGCATCAAAAAGTTTATCAAAATTAATTGCCACTGATTTGACTTGGGAAGATATTAAAGTCTTCAAATCACTAACTAATATGCCAATTGTTTTAAAAGGTGTCCAAAGAGTAGATGATATTATCAAAGCAGCTGAACTAGGTTGTAGAGGTGTCGTATTATCAAATCATGGTGGTAGACAATTGGATTTCTCAAGACCACCGATTGAAACTTTAGTTGAAGCCATGCCAATTTTAAGAGAACGTGGACTAGATAAAAATTTTGATATCTTAATCGATGGTGGTATTCGTCGTGGAACAGACATAATAAAAGCATTATGTCTTGGTGCTAAAGGTTGTGGTATTGCATCTCCTTTTCTATATGCCAATTCTCTTTACGGTGCTAAAGGTGTTAAGAAAGCTATTGAACTATTGGTCAATGAATTAATACTTTCAATGAAATTATTAGGTGTTACTAAACTTTCCGATTTAAATCCAGATTACATCGATATCTCAAATTTACACTCGAGGCACTTACCATTAACAAATTTTAATATGGGTAACGATGTTCATAATGGATCGTCATTTAACTATTAAATATCGATATATTTATTTTGTACGTACATATAAGATGAAAGTTGATTATTAACGATATAAGTCGCTGATAGCTTTATCTTGTTGTATAAGAAATTGCTGGTTTAGCTAATGTTAGCAGTTTTCATGGATCAAGGTTAATAACTGTCAATTACAAAATCTAATGGGAAATATGTCCAATATGGCTGATGAGGCATAATATAACTTTATCTATTTCGGTGCAATCCTTGTTTACTCCTTAGAATAAAGGTACTTGTTTTGTGTAACTACCAATTGGTTTTTTATTTTTGTCTATTAAGATAAAAAGATTGCAATGAAAAGTAAAAATGCTTCAAGTATATAGTATGTACAACAAAATGTTAGTTTCTTATTGATTTGCATTGGATCTGTGTATTTTTTTTTCTTAAGTAGTTGTATTTGTGTATAAACGAGACAAGTGGAATAGCATTTACGTTAAGTAATATTATCAACATTATAATTTGAGCCTTTTTATTTTATATAGTATTATCTAATATACTCAAGCTAAGAACTTTAGTTTACTATGAATTAACAATTTTCAGGACGCTATTAGATATTTAATATAATTAGGCAAGAATTTATTTTTTATGAAACAGCAACTTTAAACAAACTTTGAGTAGTTTTGTTGTTATGTCTTTTTTTTCTATAACTTACATGTATGTTATGTATAAAATATTTTACTATAGTTTTTATGTATAATAATGCACAACATTATGGTGCTGCCTTCTAACTTTTGAACATATACTGAATGATATCCAGTACAGTTACGTGAATTATCCTCCAGTCATTTTTGGTTTAGTTCTCTAATGAATTGTACAACATCAATACTTTCCCAATTCAAATGTTTTTAGTTGCAGTTGCTACCTAGTTAACTAGTGATAATACAAAAACATCTGCTGTTAGAATATTGCAATTTACAATGATGATGTTATTAAATAAAGAAAAATAAATTTGGAGACATACTAAATTTTTATTAAGGTTTATAATAATACCAGTAGATATCATTCCTGTTGGAAATTAAACAACTGTTACCACATGATTTATGAATAATCAAGTTATTTTATTTGTACATCTGCATGTATTGAAATGATTAAAAGGTGAAATGTTCTTTGATCAATTAAAATTTATTGAGATTGAAAAAGATAAAGAATGAGAAAGAGTTAGGGGTATAGTATATAGAGACTTGTTTGAGTTGGTGTATTACATAAGCCAGAAATGTTTAACTTGTCAGATAGTAAGATGTTGTTTAATATAGTTGTAATAATAATTTTGGATATGTTACCTGATGATCAAACAAACATATTAATATATAAATTTCTATTAAGAGTATAAAAGCATTCTAAATAATGATAGCTTTCTTGGTTGAGATATGAATAATTAATAATATTGATAACATCAAAAATATCTTCAGTAAGTAATAGTAGCAGGTTTATTTATTGCTCATATAGATTATCATCTTTGTCTATCTAATTGTCATAGTGTTGTATTAGTATTGGGATAATCAAAGAGATCATTTTAATATAATGAATTGTAGTATCACAAATAATTCTGTTAAATTAATACAATTAATAATCTACTAGTGTGATGTTTATAATGTAGAATATAATTATAGATACATTATTGGAAGAGTTGTTAGATCATTTATAACAGATTAGATAGTTTGAAACATGTTAGTTGTGTTCTTGTTCTAATACTTATATTCATATTGGTAATATTACAGTTAAGATCCAAAATAGCACACAGTTTAGAGTAAATAGCAAATTAGCCTCAGCATAATAATTAATGAGTTATTATACATATTCAGAGTTTATTTATATTATTTATTATACAAAATGTTTAAGGTTGTAATTGATTTCGAGATTTATGTTGCTATGTCTAACAAAGAGTAACAAAATTATCAGATGATTGGGATATGAGTAGAGTAAATAATGTCCATTAACATTGCTACAATAAAAATTAATACATCCATGTAAGTTATAAAAATTTATATTAAAGAAGATTCGAAGATAAAAGGAGTATACTGTATAATATTGTATCTTGTATATTTGTTATGTAGAAAGAAAAGACCAAGCAATACAATAACAATTTATAGTATTGCTAGCTTTCAACTATAAATATCAATAAAACTTATAATACCACCAATATCCTATTGTAAGTTATATTTTTTTATTATATTAGTCTAAAATGAACTCTACTAGAATTTTTGATTCCGAAGCCTTGCGTCAACATCTATGAAGCAATATTAATATATAGTTGGCGGCTGCTTTGTACAATTTTTATAAGAATCTATCATCTCTTAATATTTATGTGTCGTTCTATATTTGATTTTTTCTTTTCCTTCCTTTTTTTGTTTGTTTTTTGCATATATAATATTTAAGTATAGTTATTAATTTCATTCTTATACAAATTTTTTGAAAATCATTAAAAAAGTCCAGACAAAAATTTGTAAGGATTCTTATAAATAATATACAAAAATATAGATATTAATTATATCTATAAACGTTTACAAATCACATAATGGTCAATTCTAAACTAATAAACTCATTATTTTTGGCTGATCTTGAATACCTGAACTGATCTTAAGTTATTTTATTTTCTGGGCAAACCTTAGAAGATAGAATACCAACCTTAAAACTAATAATTACCTCTGGCACATTCTCTCAACAATCAGAGATTTCTTAAATGAAATTTTCAGTAATCTGCCGCCAACGTTAATTTGACAATCATTTGTTCGAATACACTTACGACTTGGCTTCAAAGTTTTGGCTACTCCAAGTCTTTCCCCTTAATATAGGGTGTTACCTGTGGACTGCGTATTTCAGTATTCCAAATAGAGCTTCTTACGAAATTTAATACAACTAACCATTGTGAAGAACTCAAATTAAGAAATCAAAAATTAAGACAGTGAAAAATTCTAGCATTAGCATCTGCACTTAAGATGCTACTAAAAATCATAATCATGATTAATTAGTATAACCCTTCATACATAAATTGCAAGTATATTTTTTTACCTTCTTATATAATAGAAAAAAACTGAGAGTATCATGAACAATATTTATAAGAAATAACTATTTACAATCTATAAAAGGAATTTGTGAAATTATTACTTTGTTTTCTTATCTTGATCCTAATATAAAATTCCATCTTCGAGACAAACAATCTTTCTCATCTATATATATATATATTTACTAGCCTATATTATAACAATACCAACAGTTTGATTTTTAGTAATACCTATCACATTATCTTGAATCATCTTCTAAAATACTAGTTAAGATTTACTCAATAATTTTTCTACCCTAAAAATTAAAGAGTATAACGACCATCATACGCTCACCAGGTTAAAATTGGTAAAAAAACTCAAAAAAACGATAATAAGAATAGAATGCACGAAACAGTTGATACGTTTCTTAAAAAAAATACAGTATTCTATAAATATCATTTATTTTATTTTTCTTCAATAGTTAGACTTAAGATTAAGACAACTTTTCACAATACACTATTTAAATCTTTAATTTAGACTGGTGCTTATAATTTTAGTAATGTCAGACCAGATTTGCTTCTATGTCACAAGATCGATTAAAATATGACACTACCTACACCATCACCCTTGTTAACGGTGACAGTTCTTCGTCTTCAGAAGTTGTTGATATTGTCACCCCATCTTCATCCACCTTATACACTACTGCTTACAACCATCTAAAGGGTAAAAATACTACAGTCTAACAAAAATATTATATTTTCTTTTGTTTTTCTATACAACTGTCCAATAAAAATAAAACAAAATCCACTTGTTTATATTAGTTTTAACCAATATATAGTTCAGAGTACTTCTCTTTTAAAATCATTTTAAAGATACACTCAAAAGAATACTTCACATAGTATACTATAAACATCTACTACCTACAAATTCTTATATTTTAACACATATTATTTTTTAATCATAATACTTCTCATTTCTATTTTATACTTTCCATAAAATGTACTGGAAACCCTCTATAAAAGTGTCTATCCTACACACTGAAGTATCGAAAGACTGGATGAGTTTTTTCTGTAATGTTAACTCTACCATCTAGCCTTAAACAGGATTGTTACACGCTACAACAAGGAGGAAGACTTACGTACCTAGTCTATCTTCCTCCATTAGGACTCCTTTTAACAGTTCTTCTTTTTTCAAATATTTGCAACTTTGAATAACAATGCGATCTCGAGGAAATTCTATCCACTGAATTCGGAAAAACAAAACAAAATCTAAGCTTTTTTTAATGGACATTTCCCTTTTTGGGATAAAGCCGTAGTGTTTTTGTCATAATAATTTTTACTCTATTGTCAACGGCTTTCGAGCTAAATCTCACGAAAAATATCTGCAGTCAGAGAAAAAAAATTTTTCGACTTGTAAAAGAAAGCAAAATCTTTAATGGGACATGTAAAATCCTTAAATTACACAACTACTGGAATCCTGTTGTAGGTAGCCATTTTTCTTTTGAAGAGACAGAGATTAGTCCTTTCAATCTTGAATTTCACATGGGTTAGATAATAAAACACCAAATAAACATAAATAAATATCTCAGAAAACTTCCTAATTAATTACTTTTGTTAAGACCCCTGCTAGCCAAATCTGTTTTAATGATAGAGTGTTTTCTATTATTATATTTTTGAAACAGACATCCAACAATTACTACAAAACACTTTGTTTTCCGAGGATACCTGTCTTCGATTTTCTTTCATATAGATCAAAACAGGTTATGTGGGACTGTTGTAATAATAGTAGTCATGCTTCTACTTTTCAATAAATCATTCTAAAATCTTCTGGATTTGTCAAAATCCTTAGAAAACACAATCATTATAAATAATATAAAGAAACTCAATCAAACATACAACAAATATGTCAAATATACCTTTTTTATAGCAATGCTAATTATGAAATAACAAAACAATTTATCATAACAATAATATTTCTGAAGAATACATCTGTGTAAATATAGACGATTTTATTTTTTTTAGATTTTCAAATATTATCATTAATTATATTAATATGATATTGTCTTCAAATAGTCAGTGATACACTTAGGCATTATATGCAATAAAAAACACAACAAAACTTTTTTCAAGATAAATTTTATACTAATGGGGCGATATTATCAATAAAGTAGCAGAGATTTCTAATATTACACATGAATAATCATTCAAATACAGAATAAACACAAGTTACAGCGAGTAGTCTTCACTGCTAAATTAACACTTGGACAAAAGAGTGGTTTTAACAATAAATTTGAAAGATAAAATCTCTTTTGAGCCATATATTGAAGATGATAGCTTACTAAATTTTACAATTGTAACATAAAACTACAAATATTTTATGGTAATTTGGATACTACAATATGAAAATTTGTTATTAAAAATAAGCAATTAAACGAAAGGAACAACATTTTTAGTTTGAATTTTGAAAATTACCAAATTTAAGGAATATTGATGTCCTATATCTCTGTTAAGTGTAAATTAACCTTAGTATACTTGGCAATTAAAACTTGAAAAGGACTCTAATAAATAAATATCCTTAGTCGCTAGTAATTATTAAAACATCTCTATTATACGTAAAAGCACCAAATTCAATTCAAGATATAGCTAACTTACATTTATCTGAGTATTATTCAGTTTTGTGATTTGTTATAAATCTATTAAATCTTTTTAGTATTCCTAAAATAATAATAGCAATATACACTTGAATTGTTTTAATTTTCTTTTTGCCTCTAAAAGAATAAATATACTCACCGATATTAACGTCGTTACTATGTCTCTCCAAGATACTGTACCGTAATTAATTTTTGCTTTTCACTATGTTTCTAAAACAATACTTCTAACACCTCCTCAAATTTATAAAGCATGAAAATTTTGATGGTTTCGTAGTTATGTAAACATTTTCTTATTATCATTAGAATTAGAGCTTTTGCTCTTCAATGAATTAAAATATGTTCTTAGGACAGTATGCTTTATAACATAATATAAAAGATGTTTACTTATATCTGTTAGAAGTGTTTTTTGTTTTTTTAAAGATCTCTAGATATCTGATATTCAACTGTAATAATATAAAAGAATCTCATAAATGACTGTATCAATTTTCCCTATTAATTGAATACTAATTAGAAATATGCTTGGGATAAATCAATTTGAACTTACAATTTCATTTCTATGAACTTCATTTTTTTTATATAATACAGGATACGACAATCTCTTGTTATACTAAATTCCTATGGGTCAAAAGATTTTGTATATATCATAATGAGTATGTTTTGGACATTATTTCTGTTAACTATAATAAATATTTATACAATAATGAATCAACTACTTCTTATAGGTTGCGGATTGCATACATTCCAAACTAGAAGAAATGATTCACTTCCTAATACTACATAAAAACATTGACGCAATAACATCAACATCTAATACGATTAAAAAAATGAATGTCCAAATTTTTCTGATCAAAAACAACAGAAAAAAAAACTGTTTTTCTTGCGCTGAAGTAATGAAAAAATGCATTTCTTTCGAAGTGAAAATAAAACATTTAACATAAACAACTTTATCTACTATGGATTGTCTTAAAAAACTTTAGCTTACGTATTGACTGGCTATTCTTCTCAACAACACCATATTAGTTTTCAAAGAAATTACAAACTTGGTATCCACTAGAATTTTCCAATCCATTTGAAACAAAAACAATAAATACGATGAATTATTGAAACAATAATTATAGCATATTCCCCCTTGATGTCAAATCACAATTAAAATTCATAATTAAAACGTTTATAGTATTATAATTACCTCTGCTTATTTGGAAACATCTATTAGCCCATTTTACGATGAAAACAAGTAGAAAATTTCATGTGAGTGAGATATTTCTATTTTACTATTATGTGATCATTTAAAGGAAAATTTCTCAATGTTTGTTCCAAACAACAACAGGCAAAATGTCATGCACAAAAGTAGTGTAAAACAACATATTTGTGCCAGTTGCATAAATGTCAAAAAGGAAATTGCAAGATTTGAAAACAAAACTATTATTTACAATGAAATTATGCAATCTTAAATTCGACTACGTTATTATAGTTAAAAATGCCAAATAAGCGAATGCAAATAATTTCTAGGCTTTAGCATCTATTGCAACTGAAATATTTTGATAAATGATAAAGATTGGCAGTGTTGTATTGATGCTAACTTTAGCAAGTTAAACTTAAATCAGGTTCCATAGAGACAATAACTTATGTGGAGTTATATTTTAACACATATGATAGAATTGATGATTAGCACAGTAGTATTGAAGATAGTTGGTTTATCTTAGACAATAATGAATTTTATATCTAACATTTCTATTACTTGAGCCTTAGACAAATTGGATCTCCATTTTATTAAAAACTATGCAGAAAATATATATGGTGTTTATAAACAAACACACATTGATCCTTCACTATTTCTTTTTCTTGAAATATTTTCTTCAAAAAGTTGTTTTAATGATCTACAAAAATCACTTTTAAATAAAAAAGTAGTGATTATCTGCCTATTATTCAACAGTTTTGATAAGTATACTAATAATTAAATAAAAAGAAAATAAGGCAAAAGCTAGTGGATATTATTTTACAAATAAAATAACAGAGAGACTTTTCTTACCTATGGTTATAATATTATATATATCTAGAATCTTTATTGCTATATCATAATAAATAGAATTCTAAAATTTATTAGTTCACCATTAAATAAATATGAAATCCAACCTTTATTAATGCGTTTAAATAATTTATATATTACAACATCCAAAATTTTTCACATAATACTATTAATACTTACAAATGAATAATATTTAATGACATAGTTATTGGAAAAGATAATACAAAGTGAAATATTAAAAACTAATGGGTGTATATTATATTTCTATTATTTTGTATATTTTATTAAGTCTTAGGATATAATTAGATGTAAACATTTCAAGTATATATAATGACAGTTTGATATTATTTATTTCACACAATACATCATAACTAAAAGTTGGATTCTTATAATACGTAATTAGATTTACAATAAGCTGTTAATAATCAGTGGTGTGTATTTGTTACTTGCTATATTGGCAATCTTACTTAAAATATACACTACCATTAGATTAATAATTAATTATACTCCCAGGAAGTACATTCCTATAATATTTAGTAACTTTGGTGGTTTCCTCATTAGAAATGTCTTCACCAAGACGCTGGATAGATTATCACCAAGTGGAATAATTTTTGGTTTATTTGTTTGAACGTTATTGAGGTCTACCTGCTCAGGTAGTTTCACAAGATCGACAGTCTCTGGGTCTTTCGATATTCCTTTTACTTTACTCCCATTCAGCTTAGTTCTCTTAGATATAGGGTTCCCATTCAGTATTTGATTCAAAGATACAGATCTTTTCATTTTCACATCTATTGGAGTAGTTTGATTGTTTTATATTGTCTCTTTAGAGTATCAAATATGATCATTGATATATTTCAGTAGGATCTTCAGATATTTGGTCTCTACGATAGCATTGAAGGATTCCATATAGATAGTGACGTATTCTTCACAACTGAAATGAAAAAAATATCGTCCTTGAGACGCATAAAGTTGTATTTAAGAAGGTCAATAACTTATACAACCCCTGTAGTCATGCTTTTTAGGTAAAGAAAGGAAAGCGTCATGGTGATGAGAATGAAGTAGACTACTAAGGTCATGCTCGTAGTAGTAGGACAAGATTCAATATTTTTAGGTAAAAATAAATTAGACCAACTAAAAGTGTTCTGTAAATAAATTATATTTAAAAAAAATATTTTATACAAAAAGTAAATAAATAAAACCGAGGTTAGTATAAAAAAAAGAGGCATTTGTACTTGTACTAATAATCAACAGGTGCTGTAATTTTTTTATACTAACATCAGACAATCACAATAAATGATATATTACAGCGTCTGTCAATTATTAGTACAGGTTCAAATGCCTCTCTAAAACAGTATCATAATTAGATCAAATGAATAAGAGCCATTAAAATAGCGCTGAATAGAACATCTGAGGTCAAACTAGCTGCCAAACCTTCATATTTTGCAACTGTAACACTTTCCGCAGAATTAGAAGAAGAAGTAGCAACACCTACAGATGGAACAACATTGGAATGGGCAGATTCCATGCTTACGTCTGAAGGTGCAGTAGCAGTAGCAGCAGAAGCTGTAACAAAACCTGTCTTAGCACTTTCTGGACATGAAGGAGTGTATGTAGTGATAACAACACCGTCTGTAGTATAAACTGTGCTAACTCTCAATACTGGTTCGCCATGTAGGGCAGTTTGACCGTTTTGGGAAGAAAACGAAGAGGTAGCGGTGGATAGTGAGCAAATTGGACATTCAGTGACATCTACCATGCGTGTGCTCTCAACAATAGCGGTTGTGACGGAGTGAGCAACATTTGTTTTAGCAGATGCAGCTTCACCAGCAGCATGTGTCTTACTACTGGCACCAATAACAGAACCATTACTGTTGCTTGGGGTAGATGTTGTTGCAGTAGTAGCTGATCTGTCAGTGGCATCTATAGCAGAACCATGACTGATTGAGGTAGATTTTTTAGAAATGGTGGTTGGTCTGTCAGTAGTATTCATAGCAGAACCATGACTGTTACTTGGAGTAGATTTTTCAGAAGTGGAGGTTGATCTGTCAGTAGCATCAATAGTAGAACCATTACTGTTTGAAGTAGATTTCTTAGAAATGATGGTTGGTCTGTGAGTAGCATCCATAGCAGAACTATGACTGATTGAGGTAGATTTCTTAGAAATGACAGTTGATCTGTCAGTGGTATTCATAGCAGAAGCATGACTGTTGCTAGAGGTAGAAGTGATGGTTGATCTGTTAGTAGCATCCATAGTAGAACCATGACTGATTGAAGTAGATTTCTTAGAAATGATGGTTGATCTGTCAGTAGCATCCATAGCAGAACTATGACTGATTGAGGTAGATTTCTTAGAAATGATGGTTGATCTGTGAGTAGTATTCATAGCAGAACTATGACTGATTGAGGTAGACTTCTCAGAAATGGTTGATCTATCAGTAGCATCCATAGCAGAACTATGACTGATTGAGGTAGATTTCTTAGAAATGACAGTTGATCTGTCAGTAGCATCAATAGCAGAATTATGACTGATTGAGGCAGAGTTTTTAGAAGTGATGGTTGATCTGTCCGTAGCATCTATAGTAGAACTATGACTGATTGAGACAGATTTCTTAGAAGTAGTGGTAGATCTGTCAGTGGCATCTATACTAGAACTATGACTGATTGAGACAGATTTCTTAGAAGTAGTGGTAGATCTGTCAGTGGCATCTATACTAGAACCATGACTGATTGAGGTAGATTTTTTAGAAGTGGTAGTTGATCTGTCAGTAGCATCCATAGCAGAACCATTACTGTTTGAAGTAGATTTCTTAGAAGTGATGGTTGATCTATCAGTAGCATCCATAGTAGAACCATGACTGTTGCTAGAGGCAGATGTTGTTGCAGTGGAGGTTGATCTGTGAGTAGCATTGATACTAGAACTACGATTGTTGCTAGAGGCAGCTTTTTCAGAAGTGGAGGTTGATCTGTGAGTAGCATCCATAGCAGAACCACGACTGTTGCTAGAGGTAGATTTCTTGGAAGTGATGATTGATCTGTCAGTAGCATCAATAGCAGAACCATGACTGATTGAGGTAGATGTTGTTGCAGTGGCAATTGACTTGTCAGTAGCATCCATAGTAGAACCACGACTGCTGCTTGAACTAGAATTGTTAGAAATGGTGGTAGATCTGTCAGTAGCATCAATAACAGAACCATGACTGATTGAGGTAGATTTGTTAGGAGTGGTGGTTGATCTGTCAGTAGCATCCATAGTAGAACCATGAATGTTTGAAGTAGATTTCTTAGAAGTGAAGGTTGATCTGTTATTAGCATCCATAGTAGAACCATTACTGTTTAAAGTAGATATTGTTGCAGTGGTAGTTGATCTGTCAGTGGCATCAATAGCAGAACCATTACTGTTGCTTGAGATAGATTTCTTCGAAGTAGCAGAAGGGGTAGAGGATGACTTAGGTTTACTGGAACTACTACTTGAAACAGATGCTTTCAAAGGCATGACATTTTCAGGGAATTCACCTTCATAATTACCAGGAGGTGCGTACTCACAAACAACATAATCACGGTAATAGGTGCCACAATATTTTACAGCACAACCAACCTCCTTGGTGGATCTCCAAACAACCTGTGTAAAATGTCCAGTTGCCATGGAAAAGCCAGGATGGCTGTAATTATAATGAGCAATTTCACTATACCAGGCGTCCACAGCAGCGACTGCATTAGGAAATCCCAGGGCAAGGTTTTCACCGTATGGACCATGAGAGTGCACAAGTCTACCAGAAGAACAATCATAAACGGCAGCATACTTCTCAGCATATACAGCTAAAGTATTAGACCAGGTCAAATTACCAGTATCAACATGCAAAGCTCTCAACTTATTGTGTGCGAGAACAACAGCAGCCTGTTCTTCTGGAGTCAACGCATATTTAGTATAATCAGTAGATGTTGTTGCTGTGGTGGTTGATCTTTCAGTAGCATCAATAGCAGAACCACGACTGCTGCTTGGGGTAGATGTTGTTGCAGTAGTAGCTGATCTGTCAGTAGCATCAACAACAGAACTATGATTGTTGCTAGAGATAGATCTTTTAGAAGTGGAGGTTGATCTGTTAGTAGCATCCATAGTAGAACTATGACTCTTTGAAGTGGATTTCTTAGAAGTGATGATTGATCTGTCAGTAGCATTGATACTAGAACCATGACTGTTTGAGGCAGATTTGTTAGAAGTGGTGGTTGATCTGTTAGTAGTATTCATAGCAGAAGCATGATTTATTGAGGTAGATTTTTTAGAAGTGGATCTGTCAGTAGTATTCATAGTAGAACTATGATTGATTGAGGTAGATTTGTTAGAAGTGGATCTGTCAGTAGTATTCATAGTAGAACTATGACTGTTACTCGAGGTAGATTTTTTAGAAATGGTGGCTGATCTTTCAGTAGCATCAATAGCAGAACCACGACTGCTGCTTGGGGTAGATGTTGTTGCAGTAGTAGCTGATCTGTCAGTAGCATCAACAACAGAACTATGATTGTTGCTAGAGATAGATCTTTTAGAAGTGGTAGTTGATCTGTTAGTAGCATCCATAGTAGAACTATGACTGTTTGAGGTAGATTTGTTAGAAGTGGCACTTGATCTGTGAGTAGCATCAATAGCAGAACCATGACTGATTGAAGTAGACTTGTTAGAAATGATGGTTGATCTGTCAGTAGCATCCATAGCAGAACCATGACTGATTGAAGTAGACTTGTTAGAAATGATGGTTGATCTGTCAGTAGCATCCATAGCAGAACCATGACTGATTGAAGTAGACTTGTTAGAAATGATGGTTGATCTGTCAGTAGTATTCATAGTAGAACCATGACTGATTGAAGTAGATTTTTTAGAAGTGATGGTTGATCTGTGAGTAGTATTCATAGCAGAACTATGACTGATTGAAGTAGATTTGCTAGAAGTGATGGTTGATCTGTCAGTAGCATCAATAGCAGAACCACGACTGCTGCTTGGGGTAGATGTTGTTGCAGTAGTAGCTGATCTGTCAGTAGCATCTATAGTAGAACTATGACTGATTGAGACAGATTTGTTAGAAGTAGTGGTTGAGCTGTTAGTAGCATCCATAGTAGAACCATTACTCTTGCTTGAAGTAGATTTCTTAGAAGTGGTAGTTGATCTGCTAGTAGCATCAACAGCAGAACTATGACTGATTGAAGTAGATTTGTTAGAAGTGATGGTTGATCTGTCAGTAGCATCAATAGCAGAACCACGACTGCTGCTTGGGGTAGATGTTGTTGCAGTAGTAGCTGATCTGTCAGTAGCATCCACAGCAGAACTATGACTGATTGAAGTAGATTTCTTAAAAGTGATGGTTGAGCTGTTAGTAGCATCCATAGTAGAACCATTACTCTTGCTTGAAGTAGATTTCTTAGAAGTGGTAGTTGATCTGCTAGTAGCATCAACAGCAGAACTATGACTGATTGAAGTAGATTTGTTAGAAGTGATGGTTGATCTGTCAGTAGCATCAATAGCAGAACCACGACTGCTGCTTGGGGTAGATGTTGTTGCAGTAGTAGCTGATCTGTCAGTAGCATCTATAGTAGAACTATGACTGATTGAGACAGATTTGTTAGAAGTAGTGGTTGATCTGTTAGTAGCATCTATAGCAGAACCATGACTGTTGCTTGAGGTAGATTTCTTCGAAGTGGTAGTTGATCTGTCAGTGGCATCTATACTAGAACCATGACTGATTGAGGTAGATTTTTTAGAAGTGGTAGTTGATCTGTCAGTGGTATCTATAGCAGAACTATGACTGTTACTCGAGGTAGATTTGTTAGAAGTGGTGGTTGATCTGTGAGTAGCATCAATAATAGAACCATGACTGTTGCTAGAGGTAGAAGTGATGGTTGATCTGTTAGTAGTATTCATAGCAGAACTATGACTGTTTGAGGTAGATTTTTTAGAAGTGGTAGTTGATCTGTCAGTAGCATCAATAGCAGAATTATGACTGATTGAGGTAGATTTGTTAGAAGTGATGGTTGATCTGTCAGTAGCATCCATAGTAGAACTATGACTGTTTGAGGCAGATTTCTTAGAAGTGGTGATTGATCTGTGAATAGCATCAATAGTAGAACCATGACTGATTGAGATAGATTTGTCAGAAGTAGCAGTGGATCTGTCAGTAGCATCAACAACAGAACTATGACTGATTGAGGTAGATTTTTTAGAAATGGTAGTTGATCTGTCAGTAGTATTCATAGTAGAACCATTACTGTTGCTTGAAGTAGATTTCTTAGAAGTGATGGTTGAACTGTTAGTAGCATCCATAGCAGAACCATGACTGTTGCTAGAGGTAGAAGTGATGGTTGATCTGTTAGTAGTATTCATAGCAGAACTATGACTGTTTGAGGTAGATTTTTTAGAAGTGGTAGTTGATCTGTCAGTAGCATCAATAGCAGAATTATGACTGATTGAGGTAGATTTGTTAGAAGTGGTGGTCGATCTGTCAGTAGCATCAATAGCAGAATTATGACTGATTGAGGCAGAGTTTTTAGAAGTGATGGTTGATCTGTCCGTAGCATCTATAGTAGAACTATGACTGATTGAGGCAGATTTCTTAGAAGTGGTGATTGATCTGTGAATAGCATCAATAGTAGAACCATGACTGATTGAGATAGATTTGTCAGAAGTAGCAGTGGATCTGTCAGTGGCATCAATAGCAGAACCATTACTATTGCTAGAGGTAGATTTGCTAGAAGTGATGGTTAATCTGTTAATAGCATCCATAGTAGAACCATGACTGTTGCTAGAGGTAGAAGTGATGGTTGATCTGTTAGTAGTATTCATAGCAGAACTATGACTGTTTGAGGTAGATTTTTTAGAAGTGGTAGTTGATCTGTCAGTAGCATCAATAGCAGAACCATGACTGTTGCTAGAGGCAGATGTTGTTGCAGTGGTAGTTGATTTGTCAGTAGCATCAATAGTAGAACCATGACTGATTGAGGTAGATTTTTTAGAAGTGGTGGTCGATCTGTCAGTATTATTCATAGCAGAACCATTACTGTTGCTAGAGGTAGATCTCTTGGAAGTGATGGTTGATCTGTTAGTAGCATCCATAGTAGAAGCATGACTGTTTGAAGTAGATTTCTTAGAAGTAGTGGTTGAATTGCCATTAGCATCCATAGCAGAACTATGACTGTTACTTGAAGTAGATTTCTTGGAAGTGATGATTGATCTGTCAGTGGTATCAATAGCAGAACTATGACTGTTACTCGAGGTAGATTTCTTGGAAGTGATGATTGATCTGTCAGTGGTATCAATAGCAGAACTATGACTGTTACTCGAGGTAGATTTTTTAGAAGTGATGGTTGATCTGTTAATAGCATCAATAGCAGAATTATGACTGTTGCTAGAGGCAGATTTTTTAGAAGTAGTGGTTGATCTTTCAGTAGCATCGATACCAGAACTATGACCGTTTTTCGAAGCAGTTGTTGTTGCAGTGGTGGTTGAGCTGTCAGTGGCACTTATATAAGTTATCTGGGCTGTTGATGGAAAAAAGTTTGACCAATCTCCAAAAGGTATTGTGTAAACAGGGTTAGGATTTGATGTCGGAGTTATAGTAATTGGAGCTACAGTATGTGTTTTTTGATATAGAGACATAGATGTCCAATTTATGGGGGCGGTTGCCGAATGAATTGTTGACCAATGAAGACTTTTATAAGCTGGTTTCAGAGGCATAACATTTTCAGGGAATTGACCAAACATATTACCAGCAGGTAAGTACTGACACACAACAAAGTATTGATTGGGCGAACCGTCAAAAGCGGGCCAAAATAAATTTGCAGCACAACCAACCTCTGTGGTGGATCTCCAAACAAGCTGTGTAAAATGTACAGTTGGCCAGGAAAAGCCAGGATGGCTGTAATTATAACTATTAATTTCATCAAACCACATGTCTACAGCACCGACTGGATTAGCAGCAGCTCCTGCGTACATGCTTTTACCAATATTGTAGTCGTAATCTGGAGGGTCTTCTGGAATGTCCTTGTATACATCAAATTTGCAAGCCCACCACGCAGCCCGTTTGGCTAAAGCATCAGACCAGGTCAAATTAGGAGTGTCAACAAACATAGATCTGTACTTATTAGTTGCCTCCAGAACAGCAGCCTGTTGCTCTGGTGTCAACAAACACTTAGCATCATTAGATGCATTATACGGATTATTAAAAATTATTCTGTCCACTGTTACAATAGGACCTTCACCTTCAATAGTAGCCGGATTCCAATAATCAGAAACTGGTGCAGCATAAGTAGTAACAGCATAAGATACTTGTGCCTTCGATACAGCAGAAAAAGCAGCTAAAAGCAGTGCCGCGCACAATGATAAGGCACTTGAGACCATTATATTATTTTCAAATATTCAGAATTATTGACTTTTCAGTAAAATATATAGTTTGGTGTGTATACTTTATGGCGTTAGTTTTTTTGGTTATTTGAGGTGATTCACTTAGTTCGGTTATACTGGTAGCATCTGGGAGTATAACGAGATGATGCTCATGCCTGCAAGAAGAGAAGCAAGAAACGAAAGAATATTCAGACATAATCCATAGTAGTTTTATATAAAAATGTGCTCATGACTTGCAATAAAAATGATCGTCTAATAGGTTCTAAATTTTTGACTGAACCAGAATAAGATATAAATAAAGTTTTGCAATAAATCTTCAATGATAAAAGTGTGTAAAGGAGTAGAAACAAAGAATGAAGAAGAAGATTTGTAATCTTCAAAAATTGGACTAAAAATCTAAGTAAAGCACAAAAACACAGCATAGCTGATCATTTTATTATCTCTAATAGGAAAAATATCACTGTGTGGTAGTTTCTTTAAACAAAAAAGGAAACAGAAAATGTTGAGTCCTCGAAAACCTTTCCAAATATAGAATTAAAAATATTGTTTATTGTTTGGGAATTTTCACATTGCAGAACAATAGAATCAGTTTTGTCTAGATATTTTACTTTTGAAAAACATAAAAGGGAAAGCTTACAAGTTTAAGAATGGACAAATAGTTTTTTTCCTTTTTTGCTATTGTGTTGGAAACAATCGTCTTTGTATTTGATGCAATGACAAAAAGAATAAAAGTGAAGAAAAAAATTACACAAGTGGGAAAAGAGACAATACAGACAATTCTGACCACACTATAGATATACATGTCTCTTTGTGTTCTATTTTTGAATTTTTGCCCCTGAATTATTTTAGAGAATCCCCACTCTTACAGGATCATCGCCCCTGATTAATTAGTTATTTGGCATTTATATCTCTTTTATACATATCACAATATTCTATAGTAAATCGATCTATAGAATGTACAAAATTTATTACTTCATTCACAATAAAATATTAACATTTTTGGCAGTGACCGTGGGATCGAATAGGAATGTATAATTTAAAAAAGGGGTAAAGAATTTTTATTGCATTGTTACTGTTTGTACATAAGTTATATAAAGTTATACACTATAAGAACCATCAACAATTTTTTTTCTTTTTTTAGTTCGTATTGCAAGAATCAGCACCTTATATGACGTTAGCATGTAGTAATATTTTTTATAATATTCAACAAATGTAGTAAAATTGTTCTTTTGTTAACCAAGAATTTATTATTTAAAGTTATTATTGTTCTATTAGAACATCTATTATGATAAAGATCTAAAATATAATTATTCTCCTGGCAGATTTGGATCTCAATTAGACTTTTTAGTGTGATATTCCTATTTCCGATTTTTTCTCTTTTTTCTGATCTAGTATAAGAACAATATAATTTGTAAAATTCAAAATTCTCCATTTAGGTGGAGTATTTTTTCTCCTTTTCGGATACACAATATGTAAGACATGCAAGAGTACTATTAAGCTAGAAAAAATGACGTATACCTTGTGGAATCCTTAAAATCTTTTACAATGTAGTTTAATGATAGCTATTTGGTTTAATTTTAAGACAAACAAGAAAAAAAGATAATTATTATTATATTCGACCTATTGTTATGATGTTGTTTATTTATACTAGGTCAAAGGATGATAGGAAGTTTGTATCTTTTCAAAATAGCAAGACTTGATAACAGAGCATTTCTTTTTGTTTTTTGTTTGCCAATTGGTGGTTGAATGGAATAACTATAATAGATAGTATACAATGAACTATTTTTAAGCATGTTTTTTTTTAGATTATGGGATTTATTGTTGTCCAAAGCATCTTCTTGTAGTAGTATTTAGGAATATTTCTGTTAGTAACTGAAGTGAGGTATTTTTATTCCTAAGTTTCGTAATATGTCTAAAAATGACAATTTAAAAACAACCCTAAAGTTCTATGGCTTTTGTAAAGAATTGACTTACAATTTAAAAAATAAAACCTAACACAAGTCCTTGGGACAAAAAATAAAAACAATCACTCTAGGACGGTTGCTAACTAAAAAAAGAAATAAACTTTGTTGGTCATTTTGCTCGTGGAATTAAACAAAGTACATTCCAACAAATAAATGCTATAGATTAGATAAATACTGAAGAATAACCTTCTTAAAGAAGATAATAACTTGTTTTTTCTACTTACTTAATATATTCATATTAAAACAGGAAAATATAATTAATTCATCTTGATATGGGTTCAAGCAGAAAATTAGTTTCTTTGTCGAGTTGCAAAACTATATTCAATCCCTCGTTTGATAGAAGAAGAGTTGAACAATCAAACTTGTTGTGATTTTTTACCCTAAAAAAGTTAAACAATCAGATAAAAAATTGTCCAAATGTAGACAAAATTTAACTGGTTAGAAATTAGTATTAAGTATTTTTACTTTTGCCAAAAGTTTTCTTTGCTTTTGTTACTACAGAATAATTGAAAAGTGAAATGAGGTTGCTGTGGTAATTGGTCTGAATATGCGTTTACATGACAAGAGCATGTTTTTCTGTTTTACTGGAACGTACAAGCAAAAAATTTTTTTATGAAAAAAAGGAAAAAGTTGAGTTAGCTAAACATAAACAATAATAGATGAGAAAAAATTTTCAAAAACGTTGTGTTTGTCTTTTTGTGTACATTTTTTGCCTGTTATAAAGCAAAAAAAAGCAAACCCACCGTTCCATGGTATTTTTTCTATCTTGCTTCTAAAAAGTCTTACAATATCTATAACACTATATTGTACCAGCTATATCGTGTAGACATGTTAGCTACATGAAGGGAATATTAACACAAATGTGTAGTTTTAATAATCAATTTTTTCTAATACTTCCAATTTTTTTTATTTTGATACAGCACCACCAATTTGAATTCACATTACAAATATAGATGGTACTTCTTTGGAGATATAAAAATTCTTCATTCTGTTTTTCAGAAAATTACAATAATGCCAAGTTGTGTTTTGGTTACTGAAAATTCGTCATGCAGATAGTGTTGATTAGTAAGAGTTGCTATTGTATCTTCATAATATTTGAATAGAACCGATATATGTATTAAACAAGGTTGTGCTAACATGAGGTGTTTTTGAAATTATAGGGGTGGGAGTTCTTTAAAATAATTCAGGGACAAAAATTTAAAAATAGAACACAAAAAGACATATATACCTATATCGTACTAACATGATAAAAATCGGGCATGAAATAATATTCTGGGTTTTTCTAGCTTTCATCTTTATTTAGAGGTAGGGTTTGTAGAAAACGGTTCGGCAACTTCATATCTCAAAAGTAGCAGATGTTGTCAAGATAACTTAATAATGGCCTGTCTTCTTTATCTACTTGCTTTTTCTGTAAGCCTAATTAAATTTTTTCATTCTTAAAATAAAAAGATAGAACAATATTTGTGCGCAGTCACAAGAGAATAGTTAACAGCAGAATTAACATTGTTTATCTTTATATATTCAATACTTCTTATGTAATTCCAACTGAGACGACGTACATAAGATTTAACAATGTTAATTTGATTTTTGGATTCATTGTAAAAAAAATGAACTTCAGATTTCAAAAAATATATATACATCATGTTCTAAACGACTATGTTTTGAGTTTTATATCATGTGCAATTTTTCAGCTGTTGTGTTCCTTGCATGGTATGAATCGCTTTACATACTTAACAATCAAGAAAAAAACAGATTAGTTTAAGATACTATTTATGGCGTTAGTTTTCTTTTTTTGCTTAGTTTTTCTTTATACTTGATATATAGAAATAGGATTAAGAACGAGGAATGTAAAAGACATATATTAAGAGGGTTGTGATGTTATATTATAAGCTTTAGTAAAAACAAGACCTAGGAAAAATAATGAATTACTAATCATTGTTGATACTGGTAAGACAGTTACAACTATGTTGTGATAGCTTTTAAGTGATCTCTTTATTAATGTCAATAACAGAAGGACCAAAGATTCTATTAAAATAATAATTTAAAGTTTTTAATATCTTTAAATATGTAGTGAATAACAAATATAAAGCATTATTTTCCCTTGTATATTTGGAATTGAAGGATGTAAGAATTCTTCTTATGGCTAATATTGTAAGTTTGTCTATTGGAGGATTTCCAGAGAGTGATAGTTATATCGGATTTTGTTAAGAGGCCTTTGATTATTAAGAGATATGTCAGGGGTACTCATCTTATTTAAATACATCTTAGTAAGAATATTAGGGGGCAACTTTAATATCATACAAAAAAAGAAGAAGGAATAATACAACATTAGGGTCATTAATTAGTAATATATAGAACTTGAGTAAGAGTGTTTATACTTATACTAATCAGTACAATTCATCCATTTACATATAACAACTCTTACAGAGTATTGGTGTGTGAGAATAGGAGAGTAGGGATGAGTATAGATGTTGTAAAAATAGGTAAATGAGGGAAGAGAAGTAGTAGAGTAGATGAGGAGATGTATGGAAATATAGGAAATATGATGAGAGAGAATGTAAATATTTATATTATGATGGGATATCTCCAGGGAAAAGATAGATTGGTACAGGGTGATAAGTAGTGAGGTAAGGAGGGTATGTAGGTGTTAGAACATAGATAAGTGATCTAAGAGGGAAAGTAAGAAATAAGCAGATGAAAGATTGGGAAGAAAAGGATAAGACAAAATGATGTGGAATGGAATAGAAAGAGAAATAAGAGGTCCCCCTATAAA